TTGGACAATTATCGACTGTGCAGTTGGTTTTGCTGGGATCGAGCACACACTAGACCTTATAGAACCGCCGAACACCTTCTATCTTAGTTGCGCGGTTTCTCCTACTAAGACTGTGGCAGGCAGGTGGTGCCTAGGTCTCTGTTACGCTCATATTCGGTGGTTTTGGTGGGCGGAGGCCGCTTACTACGTGTGGTCAGTGCGTGCAACAGTTCACCCAATGCAACACCCCACCAAAATGCGTGCCTACCAAAAAATGAAGCTTTTAACCACCACCAGAACGTTATTATCGCGAGACTTTTTGGTGGAGTACTAAGATAATCGTATATTTAATATATATCTACTAATATTTGCTGGGTAACCGCACACTGCGGCAGCGAGTGGTGGTTTTAGTAGGAGGCTTAGCGGGTGGTAATGCATTAGCACTACTACTTTTAGCCTCTATAACACAACGCCACTTTAGTATTTTTCTATTCTAAGCTAATAAAGCTTTTCGCTTAGCTATATTCTGCCTATCGCGAGATTTTTATGAGGTTATAGCAGCGCGTTCCTATGCCTTTTTAGCGCGCGCAGCAGCTAGTTATATAGCCCTCGCAGCCCGCTCTGTAACGGCGCAGGCAAGACTACTCGGATTAGTACCGGCGGTAGTGTCACTCAGAGGCATATGGGAGTGCGTGGGACATCAAACAAGCCTTGATTCGAATAGACACCTATAGGCCTTGTACGAAGGGATATTGAAAGTCTCTAGAGCTAGCTACAGGGAGTGTCTCCTTATATACTTATCTTAGTCGGATCTGAATCGGATCCGACCTTATAACGAGTAGTTAATAAAGAGGGCGGCGAATACTACCTCCGATCCGGCTCTAAGATTGGTCCGATACTTGGCGGAGTTGTAACATCGTTACACTACCCCTCTCTTAGTAGATAGCTAGTCCTATAGCTATAAGACTATTCTTATACCTCTCTATTGCAGTTCCTTCACGCTAGCGCGAGAGACTGTTTTAGGTGACTTTCGGCTTATTCTATACCTACTTTTCTTTTCTTTCCCTACACTTAATCATTCTATAGCAAAGTTATATCGTCTATACCTTTCTCCTAAGCTTAAATCTACTAGCTAAGAACCTAAGAAGATCCTAGCTTTAATAAGTTTTGTTTATAAAACTCTCTAAGCTTATAAGAAGCTCCTATAAAGTTAGAGATAGGGTACTAGATAGGATCTAGATTATATCTAATCTAGCTCACCTAATACTTTAACTTAGTACGATATAACTTACTAGTAAGGATCTAATCTACTTCCCATTCTTCTATACCTTGAATAGGCTCACTAGAAGGCTTAGGAGCTTCTTATTCTAAGAGGGGGTCTTAGAAGTTCTTATATAGTAAGTCTAGAGCGAATATATTATAGATACAAGAGCCTACTAGTAGTTAAAGTCAATATAAGTAGCTAACTTTCTCTAAGACCTTAAAGAGACTCTTCTAATTAGTAGTAAGCTTACGACTTAGATAGTCAATCGCTAAGTTCTTAGTATCTAAGAATACTATATCACTAATGTCCTAATTAATAGGGCGACGATAGCAGTTAACGGCGGATCGTATCTAGTTCTAGGCCTTCTCTATCTACTACTTAGCGGTATTCTATACGGCGTGCATATAGGTAGTAAGCGCTAGAGTATCCTTATAATTAAGTTTATTAGTAGAGGTAAGAATACTAGTTAAATACTACTAGTCCCAGCTTTGCTTAGGTACGAATCTGTAAAGGATCTAATATAGAGATATACTAATAGAAGAGTAAGGTAGAGAAATTTAAGTATAATTAATTAGAGGTAGCAGCCTACTTTAGTTATCCTAGTAGTAGGTTACGAACGGACGTAGTCTCTAATTAATGTACTTATTTATAATCTCTATTTAACTATTAGTTTCTTTATAATAGGCGGTAGATAGCTTAACTTTAACGCCTAAGATCTAATAGAACTTAAACTAGAAACTAGACACGAACTATAGTCCTTAATTAGAGATAATTATCTCTAGAGTATGTCCAAATTAGTACACTTACTAGATAAAGAGTTTAGCTATACTCTTTACGTTAATTATCTTATAATATAGAATAGAGATAGCCTATTTAGATAATTAGTTAATTAGAACTATAATCTAATTATATCTAGCCTTATCTTTAGAGAATTTCTTAAAGTTAATATAGAAGTATTATATTAGCTAGTTAGGAATTAGAAGAGGGTAAATTAGCCCTAGAACTTAGGTCTGTCTTAGATAGGCTTTATAGCAGGCTAGGCAGTTCCGCACGTATCTCTTATAGGTAGCTTCTATACCTTTCTAATAGTATTTCTAAAATAGTAGCTAATAAGTCTTCTTTACACTTAGGTAGGCTAATAAGACCTAATTATAGGCCTCTCGGATTAGTCGCGTATACGTAGAGAAGTCTAGCTATATATAGAGATAGTTCGAGTAGAGTAATAGTTTATTTTCTATCTAGTATGTATCTCTATTACCTACCTCTCTAATTTCTGTACCTATATTAGCTCGTAGTAGTGATATTTTAAGGCGTTTTATTACGACGTTAGGCTCGCGCGGATAGATTCTAGAGATATAAAAACTACTTAATATATTATTAGCTATAAAAGCAGATATATACGCTACCTAAAATATGCGTAGAAAATTACTTTTCCGTATATTAAGTAATCCTTAATTACTATAGAGTAGATTAGTAAGCTTAGTACTATACGCGGTTGCTAGAGGTAAGTACACGCTAATATTAAGTAGCTAGAGGCTCTAAGTAGCGTAAGACGGAAATACTGCGAGGAGTATTTAATTAGTATAGTAATACTTAATAAACGACGGCGTAAGGTAACTACTATACTTATCGACGAGAAGTATTCTATAGTCGCGTTTTGCTTTATCCTTCGTAAGCCGATTAAACACCTATGTTACACGGGGTATTGGTCTATACTTCTCTATCCTGGTCCGCACTAAGGCAGGTGAGTATTACGTTAGTGTTCCGTGAGGCTTGTCTGGCGATGCAGTGGAGTTGGCGTGCTTAAGGAGGGTTTGACAAGACTAATCTATTTAATAGACTAACTTGTGACAATCTTGTTAAGTAAAGATACTAGTAAGAAAGTATAATTTGAGTTGACCACAACGAGAGTAATAATGAAATCCATCTATCCTTATATCCTCATTGCTTCCAGTCCTGACATCTGGCCAAGCCCTTAACATCTCTGATGTCACTGGCATCTCCAGATGTCCTGGCATCTCCTGAGGGTCTGGCATCTCCAGATGTCGTGTCTTGGCGAGATGCCAAATCACGTGATCAGCGCCCCGCGTTGATCATTACCTTCTGACGTGGACGTCCATAGGCCTTCCGCCATCTCGTCATTTGTCAAGGAGAGAATCCTTCTTGTTACTTGTAACAACCTACTTAACCTAAGATAGCGCGAGCTTATTATTACTCTATCTAGATAGGCTGCTGTAGTAAAAAATCTAGTATTTTTTAACCTCTAGGTTCTATAGCTATTTATCGCGAAGACTATCTACTCCCTTAAAGATTATTATAGGATCTACTAAGCTTCTATCAGCGCAGATATACCTAATAATCATAATCTAATCTCTAATCCTATCTTAGAGTGCCTTACGTACTTTCTTTTGCTTCTATATAGCCTTTAAAAAGATTCTTTTAGATAGTAAGATCTAGCTAAGTAAGAAGCCCTTCTTATTTGTATTATAGATATTATGTGGCGCAACGTTATATTAATTAAGCTTAGCATAGAGGAGATTAAAATATAATTAGTAGTTAGCTAGGTTTTTAGCTAGATAACGGTCGTGGTCAATACTAGTAGCTTTTCTAATATATAAGTTATCGTAGTAACAGTATAAAAAATAAGTAACCTAGCTATTAAAGGGCTCCTATTCTGCAATAACGGCTATATAATTTTTTACTACCAATTAAGAAGGTAGTAGGCTACGTTTTAATAGTTCTTCTATATATTTTACTAGCTTAGATTCTTATAGTAGAGTGAGTAGTTGGCGTTTTTTTACAGCTACCTCTCGCGACTATGTTTTATTTTAGTGCCGGCGCGTTAATATTATAACCTTAACACTAAACTTTTTTACAGCTACGCGGTACGAGAGTTAACCTTCTGCATCTTGCGAATCGATCACCGCAATCGCTTTTTCGATAGCTGTCATGGTGGTGGAGATATCACGTGTTGAAAATGATGGGTGGATATTTTGATGGGGCAGATAGTGTTGCATTAGGTGAACTGTTGCACGCACTGACCACACGCAGTACTCTCCATTCCCGGCTTTACCGTTGGGTTTTGCACCGTTGGAGGCTCCGCAATCACCTTTCCAGGATGGCCACCAAGTGCAGCTGCTCCAAGCGCGCGATCTTGGGGCTATCACGGAAACAATGGCTGCCTCTTCGCCAGCTGTCGCGAGGGTGATTCCAAGGTTGCAATTGAGACACTTTACCGTACAGGGTACACTATTGGTTGCGGAGTAGATCTTTCCACGCAGACAATCTGGTTTACACGGGACGGAAAGAGGCTAGCAAGTCATTTCAAGAACGTGCAAGGAAGATTGTTCCCTCTACTAGGGTTGAAGGATAAGGTGGTAGTCGAAACCAACTTCACCGGACCTTTCGTGTGGAAGGAAAGAGCAAAGTCTTCAACAAGCTGTTCAGAGGATGGTTTCGATCATGGCTCAGCTAATGCTTCAGATACAAGTTCAGTATCCTTGAAAGGTCCAGGCGATTTTGATTATACACGGCGTTCAGATGATTCAGCGTCCTCAAGAGGTTCGGGTGATTTTGATGATTCAATAAGAGGTCTGGAGGAGGATTCAGATTGAATAAGTCCCAAGTAAGCAACCTAGACTAAGATCGATTAGGTATGTGTAGGTAGAGAGCTAAAATCTCATATAGCGACACGAAGCAGAGCTGCTTAAGTGCCCTGCAGCACTAGCCTGTATGTCTCACCACTATGATGTATTGCAGTCAGCGTCAAAGAGTGCAGGCTACGAGCTGGATGCGTCCGGGGCGTTGGCCAAGTGCGCACAGCGCATTACGAGGAAGCGCAAGGCCATCTCTTATGCCCAGCGGAAATGCAGCAACGCCAAGGAGATATGCTTTGGTCTGGGTAATCGCATTTGAGAGGAGAGACATGACTTCCCTAGAGGTGAAATGCTTCAATCATGGCGGTTGAAATGATGGTTTTGGTCGTTAGTATCATCGCGATTGTGTGTGGCTGGTTTAGTTCTGCGTAGCGGGAGGAGATGCGCATATCTAGCATCATATGTGTTGTATGTAAGTCTATCCTCATAGGGGCATATCCCGATTCTTTTGCCTCTGAATTTCTTCGCTCGCGCCTTGCTGACTGTGGACGGAGCAAGAGCTTCGATCTGTTCGGCAGTGCTCTTTCCAAAACCACCTATATAGTATTGTTACGCAAAATGGAGAAAATGAGTTGACTTGACGTGATCAGTAAATGGATCTCTAAAGCCATCGCCTCTTAACGTGGGCTTAAACATGATAAGAGGGTCATGTCGAAGTCCGATCGTTCTAAACAGCCGTGCGCAGAAAGACAAGTAACGAGTATCCGAGTCACCGCACTACTAGGGACTTAGTACCCTTACAGTTTTTTTAAATACATCGACTGTGGTGAGGGTGTAGTTGATTGGTATCCTGAAGGTTGGACCGATCAGCGAAAGCAAGCCGGAGATTTTATCGCGAGGGTCGCTACATGCGAGTTCGGCGTGGACCTTTACAATCCTAGCGAGATCGCGCAGCTAGTCTAATAACTACTTAGTAAACTAATGGCTTGCATCCTGTTGGGCTCTTCCTTCTTCTAGCTTTGAGCCGTGTAGCTTCTTGGGCTACTCCATCCTTATTATAACTATCCCAAGTTTATTGTCTAATTCCTGTTATCCCACTCCCGCAGTTTCTAAATACAGTACTAAATCAAAAGTTTCGCAAGTCAGCCGAGGCCCCACCATCACCGAAACTCAACGCCTATGATATTTTTGGTGATATCTCACCCAAAACTGTATATAATTTAATTTTGAAATATAGAGTATTTTCGTAAATACTAGTACTTTATTTACTAGCCGCGCGGAGCTCTACAAGCTGCGAGGCGGCGAGGCATTAAGTTAATAAGCTGTTCTATACTCTTTCTTGGTATCCGCCGCCAGCTATCTTTTAACGCGTAGCAAAAGCCATCTATCTATTCCTAACTTTTACTATAGTTATTATACTGTAGATAGAACTTATTTATACGTCGTTTCAGCTGCCACCAGAGATACTTAATAGGGTTAAGATCTAGTGAATACGCTGGCCAGTTAAGTATTATAATATAGTAATCTATAAGGAAACTCCATACAACTCTAGACGTGTATATACGCGCGTTATCCTGCATAAATAACTATAAGGGCCTATAAGAAGGTAGAAGGCCTATACGAAGGGCTTTAATGTAACTTTAGCTGCTATAGCCACTACGTTCAGCATCAGTATCCCTTTCTATTATTACTAGTAGGCTGCGTCGACCTCGCCCACGTTCATCCAACCATATAGCCCCCCACACCATCTACGTAGCTACCTTGCCCATAATTACTTCCGTAATCATGCAGGCCTTCCATTTTTCTTCTAGATATCAAAATCACCACTCCTGTTCTTAGTAAGTACTCTTCTGTATAGAGCACTTATCTAAGAACTTAACTATACGGCGATGCTAAGCAAAACTTCTATATCATATAGCAAACCGCAACCGCTTGCGGGCATATTTTAGAGTTAATTTTAGACGCTTTTTACAGCGATATTTAACTATATTAAGACGGTGGAGCATCCGATAAAGCGTGAACTTACTAGGGGTAGGTAAACGGGTGCCGTTAGGTTGCACAATAGTCGCAGCTTCAAGTAGCTGTTTATACTTAATTTTAGGCGAACGGCGTGCTTCGCGAAAGATAATCTTCTTCTAGTGCCTTAAAAGTATCTGTAGCCGGCCGCTGTAAGGTCTATCTGCTATCGTTAAGGTGGTGTTGAACTTTTAGTGGAGGCGGGTGATGGTAGAGAGCGCGCGTAAAAAGATAGCTGCAACTTCAGTTGCAGTACAACCACCACGTAACATGCCAATTGCAATATTTCGCTCCTCTATTGTCATATTTTGGCGACGGCAAGTAGTTTGCGACATTCTATGATTGAATTGGTGCGCTGTAGCGTTAGTGGGAGGTATTCAAAATGTGGACGGTGGGGAGTGGGGTTTTGGTGGGGCAGCTTGACTTGCAAAACTTTTGACGCGTGGCTGTAGTATTTAAGTGGGCTACGTACCTTAGACATTTTTTCTCCCTACTACTTCTATTAGTACTTAATAATTATTATAGTGATTGTATAACTAGAGAGAATCTTCGATACTATCTATAAACGTGTCTAGTATAGGTCTCTAATTGAGAGTGCCTAGAATTAATCAGGATGTACCTTGAGTTTAGAATAGCGTTTATCGCTTGTCGTTAGTTAGCTAATCCTTTCCACAGCACGCTTATGCATTTAAGCCTATCCTAGTACCTTAGCTCACTCACTTAATCATGTTAATTAAAGGCTAGTTATTACATAGCTAATCTACTAATATAGTCCAAGAGTTTCTCCTACTATACTTCGGAATATTCCTTTTGGATCAAATTTCTCTCTTACACTCTTGAATCTTCTGAGGTGTTCTGAATCGATCTTGTTGTTTGCCATCGTCAGATTGAAGATATCTCTTGTATTCTTAGTCCAGTGTGGTCGACATGGAAATCGTTCGATTAGGCCTTTCGCCAGCCTGTCATAGAAACCCTCGTTAAACCTTTTGCCATCACCCCAGTTAGGTTTGAAAGTTGGAAAGTCGAACATCATAGCGCCTTTTGTCCAGTCTGCACCGTCCTCAGTGCCAGTGGAGACTTGTCCAAGTAAGTCATTGTAAGGCTTGCCGAACTTGATATTTATACCAGAACGATACGTGGATGTCATCACAATCCCTTTCTTGAGTTCGTTGTCGAATGCCTCTCGCACATGCTTAAGCACATCATTTGCCATTGTGACCGGGAACGCAAGCTCAAGAGTCAAACCTCGAATTCCAAGGTCCCATTGTGTTCCGTAACCAGGATAGAGTCCGCCGATCAACACGTCATAGTTCCAGCCGTATACCGGCCAAGTTAAGATTGGTTTGTCTGTTCTCTTATCACGGAAGTTCGGTGGTGACCATAATGCAAAGAATAATGTCTCAGCAGCCATGTTAGACGTAGGTAGGAACTTGCCTTCTAAATATAAGTAAATGTGCATCATAATTTTGCCCAACACTGACCAGAGTTTAGCAGACCTGCTGCAAAATCAGCTTCAGTCTTTGTGACACTAAAGGTTGATTGAAAGCCTTCTTGATCGGACAACCCTGCCGGAATCGGATCGTAATAACGATGGTGAAACTTGCGCAGATAGGGCCACCACCAAAGGTTTGCAGTTCCGTACGGCGCAATCAGTCCATAGATGTCACCGTTAATTACTTTATTCTCAGCGAGACTAGGCAGTTAGTCAATCCAGTATAGACAATTATCCAGACGGACAACGGAGTACTCACATGTCTTGCTTAGCATAAACCTTGAAATCCGGATAGATCTTGAACTTTACTTTGGCAATGACTCCAAGTAGACCCAGTGAGGTAGATGCAGCAAGCCATTCGTCGCTATCGGACCTCTTGATCACACGAAGGCCGCCATTTCCGTCGATTATGTGCAGCTCCAACGCACCTGCAGCTACCATACTGTCCTCGCGAAGGCTGCTCCGATGGGCACCCATTGCAATACTCCCTGCCAATGTTATGTTCCAGTTCACTAGTGTATAACCCATGCTTGCGTTGTTCAGATGAAGATACTCAGCAAGCTGGAAAAATGTAACGCCTGCCTCAATCATCACGGAACCATCTTGTGCCCCGACCGGAAGGTCGAATTCGCTGATGCGGTTGAGCTGTTCGGTCCGGACAATCACAGTCGATGGATCATCAGAACACATGGTATCATACCACATGTGGCCTTTACCTGACGCTCTGATAGGTGTGCCATTGCTAGCAGCTGTGCGGACAATATCAATTGTCTCCTCTACGGTGTTTGGATCGTAGACTTTTGCGACTTCGCGACACGCAGGGAAACCTGGACCGTCGAAGGTATTGAAAGGGTCAGAAAAGACAATTGTTGAAAACAACGAAGCAAGGAGTGCAAATCGAGCTTGAGGCATGATTATGCTGGTGAAAAGCCCCCACTGTTTTTTACTCTTCGATTGTTTCCAGTAAGTGTAAGATGAGTTCAACAGTTTGTCTTATGAGCAAGATATTCTAGCTACTTATAGCACTCATAGCAAGCTGAATCCCGTTTTTTTCATTCATGTGATATTGTAAGCAGCCAGTTGATGCCGAGAAGAGCTTCCTTTTTCACAATGACATACTTAGATAGAAAAGGGCCGCTCAATATCAGATATCATTTAAGTATCTAACGACGGAAATGCACCCAAAATAGGTGTTTAAAGCGAAAAATCTGCGGGAAAACACATGTTTTCGAATACCAAGCAGTATCTACTGCGGGGTAAAAATATTGGTACTCTTGGCATAGAGCTTGGCATAGAAGGTCAAGACGCTCCGTCATTACATAACTGGAATTGTACAAACACGAAGGTTTTTCTTACTACAAAATAGCTTTGGCATTATTCTCTAGAAGAAAGATATCTTTATCACACTACTAGCTGTAGTGTATGAAACTGTATTTAGATATATACTTCTCCTGCCGAAGTTGAGATACACAGCGTTGTAATCACCGCTTTTAAAGACGAATTCTTCGTAGGGTTGTTCAGTGAAAAAAACGAGGCTGCCTCTAGATGCAGCTTGGCCATTATGATAGCACTTTATGGAATTCCTTAAGGTATCAGCAGATTGTTCAGGTGTCGGTGCGGGCTGATTACCAAATCATCCGCCAGATCCGCCATCTGGTGAACCCGGGTCATACGGTATGCCGGGTTCGGCATCCTCTAATAGATTGACTGGTATGCACATTTCGTTCGTCTAGTTCTCATGAACCTCTTCTTCTTGAGGCTCTTCGCCGCCACCGCCGCCAATCGGACACTGAAGGGAGTCAGATAGCTCAAGGTGTTGTGCAAGAGGATTCGATGCAGTTTTTACAGTTGGGCTTGCTGCATGCGTTGCAATCTTTTCCTTTACAAGTCGTTCACGTGGGGCCTTTACACCCGAAGTAATTGGCACCACTGCTGATGTTGTAGACAGGACCACGGCAACTGAAACAGTCGAGGTCCAGACATTTAATGCAGTCAACACCAGCACACATTTTACAGAGCAGGCCTAGTTTGCATCCACCGCCACCGCTGTCTGGGTCGCAATCGTCACCTTTGAGACCTTCGTCACTACCATCGGTGTTATCTTCAATGTAGGGCGGACAAAGCATGGCCGCATTAGTGTAAGGGCAAGGCGTGTGGAGTAGGGAGTAGTTGTAGGTCACCGGGGGAGCCCAGAAATGAACGCGATGTCTCCAATGCTAGAGGTGTATTCAGGTGGAAATGAAAGTGAAGATCCGGATGCGCAGGTTATTATGGTTTTGCCAGCAGGATCTACAACAGTAAAATCCGGCCATACTGGTGTAGTATACAGTGTAAGGATAGTGATGACTGTTGCAGGTACATTGGGATTTGTAGTTTGTCTGCTTCCACATTCGACGACCAGCGTAGAAATACAAATGACTGCGACCACCACTGGCGGTTGTGTAACAGTGGTGGTAAAGCCGGGCTCTGTCACGGTGACAGGAGGGCACTGCTGGGTGGTCGTGACCTTTGTATACGGCGGTAGGACTACCGTGCAAGGAAACTCACATGTTATCGTAGGTTCTTCAGTGTTCCAAATTTAAGGACCAACCTTGGACGCATAATTTCAGCACAACTTCGAAGCCAAAGAGTATAATGGGTGAAACTTACCTAGACGAGCTCTGAACCTCCGCCACCGCCAGCACTTGCGTCAAAACCGATGGACCAGATCGTTGTACCACCAAGACACATGGAGTTAGCAAAATCCTCCTTCATCGCGATGGTTTCGACATCATCATAGCCAACCCAGCTGTCGCCAGCATAGTTCATGTACTTTACCATTACAGTCCTGTTTAGACACAGTGTGGTACCGTTATTGACCATGTCCCTGATTTCTCGATTAGACAAGACTCCTTCGAATGCCGTACGCTCTCCAGCTGCCGCTAGTCTAGCGAATTTTCATTGGTTCATCGTAACGCAAGATGCATTAGCAATCTTGTACGTACGACCATAGTATACCGAACCCATATTGATCTTTACAGGGTTTACGTTATTGCACCAAAAGGGATGACTCCAAAGCTGTTTCTTTGAAATCTATGCAACGCGACATTCGAAGGAAACAAGAATGGAGGTAGTAACTGGGTCGAATGACCATACGATCATAATTTGTGACAGGGATGTCGGTGGGAAACAACTTGCCAATTTGAAATCCTCCAAACAAATCCAACAGGATCAGCCATCTCATGTTTGGGAATCAAAACGCTGCATGGAGGGTGGTTTCATGAACACAATATGAGGAGTGCATTTCTAGTAATCTATGAAGAGCTTTCGATCAGCAAGAGACGTGTTGAAAGAAACTACGGTATCTGACCAACTGAACCGACCACACCAGGAGAAATCAACGCGGCATTCTAGTGCAAACGATTGTCAGGAGGGCTGAATATTGCGGCACGATACATGATGGAGCTCAAAAGATCAAGGGGAGACCTGCAATCATGATAGAACAAAGCTGGAATCTAATCGCTGCTAAAGGATTGATTAAAGAAGGTCCCTATCTACGTACGAAAGAAAATCGCTCTATATACCCACGATCTAATCACGTGATACAACACCACAATATATTGAGAACATATCGCTGGGTGTTGTGGAAGCATTTCGTGAGTCTTACATAAAGTTGCAATATAATAATTCTTCTACACGCGTAAAATAGAAAGTAAAAACGCTATAGAAAGCGCCCAGGAAATGGCTGAAGGTAGTTTTTAGCTTTTCAGAGATGGTTTATAGCATTGAAATCTAGCGACCTATCTCGAATAAGTCTTTCAATAAGTAGACACAGCATAGGATTGGATCCCCAAATGCAGTATCTAACTTCTCAACCTCTTTATCGATCTTCTCCTCCAGAGCCCGCAAGAAAGAGCGTGTCGCATCCATCGCGCTAGAAGCGTGCATTCGATCAAGTATCTGCTGCTTCGCATGTTCAGGGAGTTTCTGGTTAGGTCGGCGGCTCAGCTTCAGAATACCAACAACTTCATCTTTGCATTCTGGAAGCAAGTCAAAAAGTTGGATCAGAGGATAGGAAAATTCCCCTTCATCGAAGTTTTCACAAGAGCCTTTCTGTTTTCCGTATTCAACAGAGCAAAGGTTCATGTAGTCATCACGGATCTGAAAGAAATGACCGAAAAGAAGGACGATAGTATCCAAGCCCAGGTTTGAGGGGTAGCTCACAGTGTTCTCTGATTTGGCAAGCTGAAGCAACATGCGAAAAAGACCACCGGTTTTACAATCGACCATATGGAGATACTCGGAGATGCTCGGACACATCATTGTATGCTTCCAGTACAAGTCCAAGGTTTGCCCCTGATACATGCGTTCAAGACCGTCTAACAATAGAAGGACTGCAACTTCGTTCTTCAACCCAGAAGCTTCCCGGACCGCACGTACGAACATAAAGTTGTCGCTATTGATAGCTTGTACTTATCCAAAGACAAGATGAGTTGCCGTTTATCCGCAGCGCAGATCCGAATCGTCCTCAATGTCATCCAGTATCAAGGATGCATTGTGAAGGTCGGCTACGATTTTTTAATGACATGCATAGGATTTTCGGGAACCTCCAGCCACAAGTTAAAAGCCTCAACTAGCATTGACCGTACACCATTTGGAGGTATGAGGCGATGTATTTGATTGGCCTCATCAACACCCTGTCATTCTCGTTCTGAGTAGGGTTCTGATTAGATGTGCCTCCGAGTTCAATAATTTGATTGAGTCCTTCGGAACCAATGTTCTTATCAATCTCGAACTCATTCACAAGGTCTGGGGTAGTCAAAGAAGTCGAGGCTGTAGAGCATTGATCGGAAGAGTTGTCTTCAAACTCGATTGTGTTATGAGTGCATGACTGGGCACCGTCTTGTGTAAGTGGAGTGTTCTGCGCTTGTTCACGATGCTCTTTCCAGCCATGGTGGCATGCACGTGACGACGCCCAATAGTGCATACCTCTCATGATGGAGCCGGCTAATTCGATCCATCTTCGGAGTTCCAATGACAAATTTGGATGCTCTTGGTAAAATTCCACTTTATATTGCACATATTCGCACTCCAGACCAATGAGACGTTCTTTCAGCCACTCTTTCGCAGTCGCTTGATCAAGATTCAATATTCGCATTGCAACATCCACACTGTTATTGATGCGGTTTCCGTTGGTAAGGTGGTCGGAAAGCTCCCTTTCCCAGCTCCAGTAGTCGTTGGTCAAGCAGATGCCCTCCTCGATAGGTTCCAAAACATGCTGTACAAGATCATGTTCTTGGGCAGCTGGTTCATAGCCCATAGAAAAGGACAGCATCGGCCAGAATGCACTGTCAAACCGTTAGTGGTCAGTCACCTGTTGTTTATGCTGTAGATTTGTTCTTGCTTACCCCATCCAAATTTTTGGCTGCTGTATTTCGTATGCTCTTGCAAGCTAGAGAAGCCTTCCTCAGGTCTTGGTTTCTCAACAACATCTACCCACTCAGTACGATACTTATCCACCATGTATAAGCATCGCTCTCGATCAATGTTCATGCCCTTGAGCATACTCTCTGCAGCCATACATTTCATACCCAAGACTCTATGCCACTGTTGCCCTTGGTTACATGTAGGCTGATGGAAGTTGATAGCTGCTGCGAAGGCACCATGTTTCACCCAAGCTTGTTTTTCTTCGGCAGCTTCAGTGTGCTCTAGAAAATTATTAGTGCCGAATAGGGTTAGTGACGAAAAAGCGGCCATACCGTCTTAGAGGAGTCCAAGATCACCCCAGTACGCAGCTACATCCAATCTGTCTTGCGGGGATTCGATAAAGGTGAACGAATACATGTTACTTAAACTACTACAAGCGTTCAGAGTGAGAAACCCTTGGCCATCACCAATGTAATTTGCCCAATCCTAGGTGATTGCTAATATAGTGAACAGTGTTTCTATATCGATCAAACTAAGACAATTTTACCTTCATGACGCGCTCGATTGCCAGATTTGCCTCATGGTCATAGATAATCCGTCGAACCTCAAGAGTTGTGAATGATCCCGATGCCTTTATGATATCGCTGTGTATTCTCTCAGAGTACCTTCATATATCAATCCGAAGACTATCGTATTTTTCAAGCTATGTGTCATTCTTTGCTCGATTGATACCAGCGCTGTTGGTGAGTTCCGTTATATGGTCTTGAAGTAAGTACATTTTAGTTGAGGTTTGCTGGTTGGAAAGAGGATGGTAGTAGGAGAAGATGATTTGCGATAGGCGAGATTCCCTCTTATTCAGACTGAGCTTTTATGTTTCCCAAGAGATTAGTTTCTAAGATAGATAGGTATAATACGTTTTGTTGCATATCTACCTATGGTGAAGAAGCGGTGTTTGAGCTTGCGCAGCTACCTCTCTTGATAGTCGTAGTTAGGTACCCTGGTTTCAGATACTCAGGTATGTTAGGCATACCTTGCATAGCTAAACACTAAAGACCCATCTAGATCATATTGCGGAAGTTGCCGCAGAAATCTGAAAGATAGCTTAAAATCTAAGCATAGAAATAACTATATTTAGCGTCTGTAAGATTTTAGGCATTGCCATTTCCGGCAACATAACGGCCGCAGTCCCTGCTTCAGTCTAACATCCAAAAAGTACAGTAATGTCCTCTTTGTCTCTTGCAACGTATTACTAGATACCTAAAATATGTTAATTTCATACCCAAGTTATTCCTAGCTCATCTCTCTAGGGTATATAATCTCTTCTATTAGCAGGCCAACCTCGTAACCACGAGCCTGCGCATATGCTTTCTTTATTTGCTCATGTTACACAAATATAAGAGTAGCTCGACGTAAAAATAGGTCTTTATGCATTTCACTTTTATAATTAATTAAAACAACAAGCTAAGCTACTCTGCAGAACAAGGAAGAACTATAGCAAGCTTAATATTAGTAATGGAATATGCGTTCAAATATTAGATAAAGGCTTTAAGCTTAGTGATATCTATGTGTGGCTCTATCATCGATAATAAATAATTCTTCTCTAACATGTGTACACACTGACCTAGGTAATGATTGAAGGCTTGCTACGTTATGATACGCTCCTGTTATAAAAAATGAGGACAACTGAATTTGATGCACTGATGGCACGGAAGCAAATAGACCAGACAATAATGAGAGAAGTTTCTTGATAGTTATGCTACTCAGATAGTATCAAGTCGGCGCTCAACGACTCTAATACGTACCGGTAAACGGTAATCTGCCCATAATGCCGAGCTCTTGCAGTCTCGTTCCCAGATGAAACAATCTGGACTCGTGAACTCAATGTCATGCTTGAACAGCAATTTCGCAGTAGTTAACCGTAGCGACTGCAATGCCATTTCTCTTCCGATACAAACCCTTGGACCAGAAGAAAAGGGCTTGTAAACCTCATGGAGATCGTGCTGGTACTTACCGACGTCCTTGTGCTGCAAGAAACGCTGAAGAAGAAACTTGTCAGGATCGACAAAAGCATTAGGGAGCGCTAGACAGTATACGATCAATGTATACCTGAGTTCCAAAAGGGACCCAGTATCCATCAACCATGGTACCAGGAGAGCGACGGCTCATGAACTTGCCTGCAAGCGGAGGCCATAGTCGTAAAGACTCACTGATGCAAGCGTTCAAATACGGCAATCTTGCGCATTGCTGCGCGTCGATCTCGTTAGAAGCTCGGAAGGCCCTAGTCTAGTTTGATTTAATCTATTAATCGCTTGAACCAGTATTACACATAAAGTGTTGAACCCTGTTTTCGAAACTGTGGAGCTGCAGGTTGTAGACCCAGACCTTGTACGATCGGCATTGAGTCATTGCCAGATCACGTCAGCGCAGAGCTAGTCTTTGCGACGACCAATGCATCCCACAATTGGATTTACATAAGGATCGGAGCTTATATCCGCAAATGCAACAAGACCTCAAACAGCGAAGTTATAAACCGCCCCAGGTTCCATAGGAACACATAGCGGATCCCACCTTTACATTATCCATTTATCCCGGCAGGTGTAACAATGGCCAAAGATCTTGTTCTAATCACTGGTGCTGCCAGCCATGTTGGTTTTGGTACACTCGTTGCTCGCCTTCAACACGACTACTGAACACGTATCGTCCATCGTCGACAAGAACAAATTGACAAACTGAAGCATACAGCAACTCTACAGAAACATCTAGAAGATGTTGAGTTTGTGCTTATTTCAGACTTGCAAGAGCCCAGTGGACTGAAAGAAGCTATCAAGGGCGTAAGCGGTGTTATCCATGTTGCCACACCTATCCCGTTAAAACTTGACAGAGATGTAAGTTAGCTTCTAGAATAGCCTCTCATCATGGTTACTTGGAACTAAGAGAAATAGTGTGACTGACAAAAGCATTTTTACGATTCGGCTAAGAGGGGTACCTTGAATCTGTTTACTGTTGCAGCCAACGAACCAAGCGTGAAACAAATTGTTGTCACTTCTACCTGTGGCATAACTGAATATGCACGCCCCGGTCCAACTGGTAGTAGGTTAAAGTTAGATATGTACCAGACTCAACTCACCAATTGCATCCCTAGACATTATCCCATTACTAGACGCTGAGACAGCGAAGAAGGCGGGTAGTGCATATTTGGCATACCAATAATCAAAGGCTATGGCGTACTATGCGGCACTTAAGTTCATCGAAACCAAAAAGCCTTATTTCGATGTGATACACATGCTGCTGGGTTACGTCCAGGGCGCCAATGAGCTGTACAGCTCGGCTGAAGAAATGGTAGATACAGATCGATGTGGATCCAATAATGGAGTGATATTGACAGCGTGAGGAATTTTGTCGAACATCCCCCGCATAACTGCACAAGTCCATCTCTCTGACGTTGCAAGAGCTTATGTTCTTTTCTTGGAGCCAGAAAACGCGAAGGGTTGTGATAATTTTATCCTAGCTGGGCATAGCGGCCAGAACGTCCCTTGGAAAGAATTTGTTCCCATCATTCGCGAGCGTTTTCCAGACGCGAGGAACGATGATATCCTTATTTCTTTCGATGTTAACAATTCTGAAGCGGCATTCGGCAAATTCCTTGGAAGCGAAGAAATGATTCAAAATGTTGTTAGTCAATATGTAGATCTTCTTGAATCGCAAGACAGTATGCAGTAGATCTTGGGCTCTTTATATATTGAAATTAAGAAATGATAAGTTTGATATCTACTAAAAACTAAGATTTGGCTTTTCGTATACAGAGAATACTGTATAATGAGCAGTAGACATAGTAGGTCCGCCTCTTTTTTCCTTTCTATTATAAACTACTTCTTCCCTTGAACACAAAAACAGTTGGAACACTATATAAGATGATCAGCACTCTCTATACTATGAAAGAAGTGCATTATACACCTAAGGGAGATAGAATCAGAGTACTTACCTGAGGACCGGATGCAACTTGTCCATCCACACCACAACAAGTATCACTAACACAGTGTGGGTCGCCTCCAGGAAGGGCAGCTGGAGCAGCTGTAACAACGGCAAGTAATACAGAGAGTAGTGGAAGAAGTTGGAACTTCATGATAGCGGTTGTTGTTGTTGGTGTTAATGAGAGATTTCTTTGCGTAGGTAGAAAATGATGCCGAAGAGTGAGATATCTATCAGAGGAAGTCACTCTATTTATGTATTTCCTTTTGTTTAAGATTATACAGGGCTTTGTGGGGCGCGTTAGAATGATGTGGATGGGGTGGGCCACCTGGTAGGACATACTAATGATGACTGATTTTGTAGAATGTCGTACACCGGGGTGAAACCGCAATCGCTCATGGAATGTGAACAAGTCGTCTATATCTTTACTATCTGTACATTCTAAACCGAACCGATTATTACCGTTGTCAAGGGTAATGAAACCAACTGGATGGTCCGGGTCTAGCCTTTCATATTGGCAGTAAAATTTGTCGTATGATACAGAGAAGAGCTTTTACTACACAATTAGACTGCCAATGCCGACTATATCGTATTACTCCATCATTCTACATACCACATAGCTGCCGTATCTGTCTCTACATTCAAGCAGCTTGAAATTTAGTATATCCACATTTATCAGCCATCACATTGACTAAGTGTATCCAAGATCATAGCTTAAGATTCTTCAATTAGGTGTATACACACTAGGAAGCACTGGGGCGAACATCTGATACGAAGTGCAAGTGGGCTACGATGATATTTGTTTTTGAAGTTTTAAATCATGAGCACACTGGGTCAACGGTTTGGAGTCTAGAGCGCTGCACCCGCTGAACCCGACGATAATAACAACAAAAAGATGCAGTTGAAGCACGCATGAGAGCGGGCCAAAAGGAATCTATGAACCAATGCCCAGTATGCACCTCTCGCTCCCCGATAATACAATCTAGCTGCCACCGTCCCGCATGCAAAGTCGTCCCTGTCTGCAACACAACTTGCGTAGCATTCGGCGCGCCCACAGGATGCAAGCAATGCTGAACATGCTCCACCGAACGCGAGTACCCCACATTCCAATCTATCGCTCGTAACTATAGAATCTGTTTTCGGGTTATCAACACGTACTCATGAGGAACTTGAGGCCATGAATAGCCTAAGTCAGACAAGAGATGAAGAGCTAGAATTACTTCTGTCCCAGGAGATAGAGTACTCCACCAATGTATGTTGGAATACTGGGGATGAAAATTTAAGTAATTTACGTATATAGTAATCTATATATGTAAATAGGCTTATTGTGGCATCGTGTGATGGAAGAAAGGCACGACCTTAATCACAATGGCTTTCTGAGGCGATCGTGGCAGAGTTACCAAATCTTGTCTCGAGATCGAGTAGCATCGTATCGCACAAGGTTGCCATGTCTGCTATAAGAAGTTGTAGCATATACTTCCTAAATGCAATATGAGATGAGCAGGGTCCGAAACGGCCTTGTTGTATGTTTCTAGCTAGTCATCTTCGCATCTACTGGCTCGCACAGCTGAAGCAGATATAAGTATGTAGCTATGAGTGTTTTGACTGTCACCTTTAATCTAAAAGCTTAGTGCAATTGGCACGTCGGCCTGTAATACACGTAAAGACCAAAACATGGCTTTTTTGTCCTGTTAATCCCAGCAAGATAGATCACGGATCGAATATCCAAACCTCCAAAACTCCATGATTACGATGGTAAACAACTCTCGCCCACATCGAATTAGGGTAGAGATTGGATCAGAGTAGCACGCACCATGCAGTCAATCAGGAAGTTCGTGGACTCCTGAGCATGAAAACACAGCTTAGGGCCGGGGGGGTAAGGCAGAACTATATAGCTTGAGTAACGCTGTTATGAGTGAAACTATGTTTTTCATCGGTCTTTCACCAAGCCAACTCATCTTCGAACCCACAAAACCGGAATTTCCTTACTTCCATCTCCTTCCCCTCCAACATGATACTCGCACGTACGACTTCATAACTATCCCCTTCGTATAACTAGCCTCAACGCATCTTCTTGATCTGTGGACATTACTGGATATACATATCTATCCACTCTTTTCCCGGGACAATTAACCAATGCTCGATATGCACCCACCCATGTCAATATCTTGCCATCTAGTAAAGTTGCAGGTTCAAGGCGGGGAGGCTGAGGTGAGGTAATCGCAAAGAGCCTTGATAGTCGTGATGGCGAGACTAGTGAGCCGTAGAAGAAGTAAGTCACTAGGTACATATCCTCTCGATTGTGATCTTGTTCATTAGGCGAAGCGAGCTTGGATGGAAGATGATGAGGAAGAGTGGGATCACAGCCTAAGGTTGGTAGATTGAGAGGATCTTTATGCGCGATATTGAGTCGAATCTTGGTGAAGTTCCTCGTAGGGTAATGCTCGCCGAGCCAGGAGTGCAATGCATCAATATCGAATTGGGATAGGCGGCAGAAGTGTGCTTCGCCGTCTTCCCCAGTCTCAGTCTCGAGTCGTGGGACGTAAGGAAGTCCCAAGATGTCAGCTACGTCCTGCGAAATTGAAAGAGGATATTCCAGACGAAAGAGATAAACTGCTTGCACTCGTCTACGGCGGTGCGCAGGGTGTTTTCGCGAGGGAAATGTGTTTTTAGTTATAGTAGTAACTATAGATAATAGAAAGCATACTAATACCTCCTACTTAATTTACTAAGTGCTTGTAATACGGAGTCATTAAGCTTATCTAGATAGTCTATTAAGATATCGCAGAAATTAAATAGTCTTAGGCCGCTGTATAGATCTTATTATAAGCTTTAAGTTCTATTAGAGTAGCGCATATTGTTCTTGTGATGCGAGCAAAGATTTTGAACATCAGTAAGAGAAGAAGACGCGACGCGAGTAGCAACAAATCATGGTATGTACTTATATGTAATGAGTTCTTACGTCTCCCAATCATATCAAATATGATTCGCCCTGCACTAATAGGCAACTAAGGTATTATTGTACTGCGCTTCAGCCGTAATAGATATTGGTCACTGACAACACAACGCGAAGTGATGATCTAGGGTATGCATCTCTTCTTGTTGCGTTAAACCATCGTGCAGTATTCCATCATGTATTACTCTTTGCCCTGATGTCGCCGCGATCATGGATGTTGTTCGTGGACGCCTTGAAGCTACCGCTACATGCGCTGAGGGGCGAACGAGCGAAGAGCAGCTACGTACCGCTGCCGCCAACGAAAGATTCACTGGATATGGTACGGCGGTAAAAGGCATGTTGAGACAAGATAACACGCTCAACTCACTCTGTAAACCTCGCTCATTGTGACATAACGTCTTCCTTGGTAAGATATCGTGGTGTACGCCTGTACACAGCAACTCTGTAGTATAATCCTACTTACAGCTATGAGTATGACCTACCTGGGCAAGGAAAGGGTGCTAGGTTGGGCTGGCGAAAGATCACACTTGAATTGTCAATAGTGACTCCTTTGGTTGCGTCAAATAGAAGCTGCCGTCTCAGTGCTATGTAGTTGTCCACAACGCATATTTGGAGTTCAGAGGAATAGCTCAATCAACCACGCGATCGTCGTAAAGATCTTATGCGACGCTGGCTCCGCCGAGTGCTGAACTCGCTAATGAGCTTGGGGCTCATCGCATGACGAAATGAGGCGAAATATTGGTAGGGTCTTACTGTAGTGGCCAGTCAATTGGGCAAATCGAATGTGCTGGTCAACTTGAAGCCCTTTACGAGATTGAGAACGATGTTTGTGATGCTAAGGCATCCGAATCATATATTTGGGTTTGGATAAAACATTAGCTACTTTTTCTCTTTTGGCTCTTGTCTCACTTCTTTCATGCGGCCTACTGCTTTGTCCATGCCACTCAATTTCCTGATGAGGTGCTGAACACCAAAAGGAAGTACACCAAGGACTTGGATATATCTTGAGTAGAGGGGTACTGCAATCTCTCCACTATCGCCCTTCTCAATCATGCGTATAATGTCCTTGCCAATCTCAGCAGGCGTGACAATGGGCGCAAGGAAGTTGCTTGGAGTCTTGAGGTCTGCAAACATCCGTGTGCCCATCTGACCAGGCGTTACAAGGATGGTTTTTATATGCTTGGCGTCGGGGTTCTGCGCAAGTTCAGCGCGCAATGACTGATGGAGCGCCAGGAGTGCTGCTTTGGAGGCAGTGTAGGCGGATAGATTGGCCGCGCCCAGGTGTCCAAGGACAGACGCAACAGTAACAATGGTGCCTCGGCCTTCCTTTAGCATATGTGGTACGAATGTGCGAAGAGTGTTGAAGTGGGCAAGTGTGTTGACGCGGAAGGTCCTGTTTGGTGTATCAGCAGATGTCCATGTTGGCGACGCTTTATGCATACCTCTCCACTTCCTCCGCAGTCGAATCGAGGACCGACTTGGGCTGCATGATGCCTGCATTGTTGATGAGAATGGTTGGGGCCCCGAGCTACGGTTGTCAGTATCTAATGCGATGCGTCCGAGTAGAGAGATGCTTACATCTTCAACAATCTGAGCTGCAGCGGCTTCGACTTGTTTTGCATCGCTAACGTCACACTCATAGTACAGCACGCCCGTATTCTCAGAGACTTCGTCGTCGACCTTCTTGGTGTCGAGAACAGCAATGTTGGCATTGCGCATGCCGTATGTCTCGGCCAAGAGTGCGCCCAATCCTTCGACACCGCCCGTGACTACGATGACCTCTTCAGCCAAATCCACCTCGCGCGGCGGTCCAAAAGCGATGCGGTCGCTAAGCAGGCCGAAGATGCCGATGATCGACATGAGCATAGCCCAGGCAGTAGCGAGGCGCATCTCGAGGTTACCATATGGTGTGTATTGCGCCCGGAGGCACAAGACGACGACCCATGAGACAAACGGATGGAATATCGTGTACCCGAAGACGTACCATATCAGGTCAATGGTAAGGTAGTGATGCCATGGCTCGTCAGGACGGTCGAAGCTCTTCGGGAGCTGGACAGGGATTTCTTTTATTCCGGACGGCATGGCGGGCATGTCGATACAGGAAGCTTGTTGGTGCATCGAGGATGGCGGGGCGCGTACTACGTATTACTGGCGCGTCTTTGGGGCTTGGGCGCGAATCGGACCTCTGCACCGGACCTGCGGTGCAAAAAACTAGCGAGGAAGGAAAAGAAGAAATGAGACAGCGGTAGGAAAAACAATGGCGAAAGGCATGCCAGGGGCCATGGTCTTCTTATTATTCTCCTGTCGTTGATGCTGAGGGTTGCAGTGTTTCATGCCCGCCTCAGGTCGCAGAGCCGCTAGCCCTCACAGTCCCAGGCAAGCCTTGGTACGTACCAATTCTGCCCTGACAAGCGCAGACTTGTTCTCTTCTCGGAGCCTTCTTCGCGTAGTTACGAGTCAGTACCTACGACGTATGCGACACCCATCTTGCGACAACAACTAGAATTGATATATACATTGGACAATGTGCGTAGTTGTTGTGACCGCAATCACCAAGGCGGGCGGCTCCGTTTCGACCACACCGACATTATTGTATCAACCAAAACCCAACGACGCCAACAGTACAAGAAAGAAAATAGTCTGGAAACTCTCAGGGCAGATCCGATATAGACAAATCTTCATCCATGATAGTTATACATTGATTCAGTTATCATAACCAACAAGGAACTGATATCCTCGCTGGATATGTCTAGCGGTTGGCAGCATACTTGGCAGCATTTTCCAAACGATGAACTCGAAAGGCGTTCCACAGACACATGCACAGCTAGTGGAAATATGGACGAGCCTCATAGGGCGTGCTGGCTGGTTGCGAGATAGTCTATGCCACCACGTTTGCACTTGCTTACCTTGGCTATCGATACACGACCTGCCATACCTGCACCTGACAACTTCAATGTCATCCGAGAACCGGGAATGAGGGTTCTTACCAAGACTGCTTCTGATCGCTTTCTGTAATGACGTTTGCCTGGCACATCATGAATACCTGTCCGTTTCTTTATACATCCATCCCTTCACCATCTTACTTTGCCTCTGCTGTCCTAACCAAATCGCGCCCGAGTATTCGCCACATAAGTGGTTTCTACTATCTCGTCAAAATGATTGGGCTTTTCTGTATTACGATGCTCCTCTTAACCCTAGCGCAGGCTCGAGCCATCGTGACCAACAAATGCCAGCATAACGTGTGGATCTGGTCCTTTCCATTCCTCGGTCCTAGTCACACTGAAAACGTCCCTGTCAAGCCTGGAGGCCAATACCGGGAACCCTGGCGTCTCGGATCGATAGATGTCCCTGGTGTAGCAATCAAGATTTCGACGCAATCAGATGGCATCTACACGCTTGTGGACGAAATTGACTTTGGCTATTCAATCAAGAACAAAGATAAGTCCAAGGTTTGGGTTCACTTGACCTCAGTTGATGGAGACTATCTCCGCCATAATCTCACTTTTCATAGCTGCGCCTCCCAGTACAACTCGACTGACGTTGTGGCGCATGAGTGCGATGCAACAGACGAGGTGGAATTGGTCCTATGTGGGACCACTCGCACCATACCCACCAAGGACATTGCGTCTCTTGAGCAGATCCGAGCCTGCTATTGCCCCAATGGCGATGATATCGAGGTACCTGATCGGCTTGAGTACCACGGATCCTTTGAGCAATTCCCAACCGACATTGACGCGGATGAACTCGAGGAACAGCTGCAGAATCCCCGATTCACCACTCCTTGGCACTGCAACAACCACTGGTTTGACCCTTTGACATGCCACAAATTGAGGACCAACGATGAGCCATCAGTAGACGAAAACCCTCTTTATGGAGACGATTCTCCAGTCAGTTATGAGGTACTCATCATCACCAATCCACCAGTCGTTCGCAACTGTCAAGCTAGGGTGATCTACCCAGGAAGACGAACCGCCCATGCATCGCCCACACCACGAGCCACGTCCACGTTTCCGCTCAAAATTCGCGAGCAGCATACGTCGCTGTGCCAGCTGATCGAGAAACACCACCCTGGAGCCATACGAGACTGCCACGAGGAAGTGGTCAAGGCCCATGCTCGCGCTCTCCACCCTCACATGTGCGATCCCAAGTACAAGTTGCTTTTGATAGGCTTTTCTTGCGAACAAGTAGCCAAAAAGCTCGAGGAGCTGTATCCAGATGTCGTGAGCGACACAAAGACGATTGGACAAAGGTACAATGTTGAGCGCAGGGAATGCTTGTCCAACTTTTGCGAGCCAGTAATCCCTGGGGTCGACTGCATCCATGCTGCATACATGTTGAGAGCTACGATTGAATCATTGGGTATGAGCTATACCGACGTGATCAACGAGGACTTGGAAGGATGTGCGCCCACGCCGATGCTTGCTCTTGATGGGCGCCCTGTAATTTATATCTTGAGGCTCTGTGCTGCACTGTATGCGGAATCCGAGTGCGAAGATATTCAGGCTTCGCTCAAACATAATGCCAAGGGCGGGATATACCAGGACATTGAGTTCAGCATTGATGCTACCATCTGTGGCAACTGAGACGAATTTGACTGCCGAGTAGTCACAAAGTGATGGAGGGTTTGGTTCTATAGTGAATAGTGATGGTATGCGTAGTGTATATAGTTTAAAAGGCAACACGAATGCCGACTCGCGTTGATATTTATTTCAAAAGACAAGTAGTGTGTGGATGCAACAGGTTCTCATCTGGGAAAGGAAAATATACTCCGTCCATTCCCAAGTCCAAGACTTGGTAGGGTTCAAGGGGATCGGCAATATACTACAAGTTGCGGGAGGTAGTAGTGCTGGCAGCCCAATCAGTGCAAGGCTGAACTGTTCGTCTCGACAAGGCTTTGCGCTTATATATCAACAGCGATTAACTAGTTACAACTAATCACTACGCCGTATCCAGCAGACTGCATCTCTTGAGATATACAGTACAGTAGAAGACATAGCATGGAATGAAGCACCCCTCTATGACATCACTCTCCTCCAAACTCACCAATATATTTCCATAGGCCACGCATACGATGCCCAAGCCAAAACCCAGAGCCACAGAACATACGTAGGCATAGGCGTAAGTGTGTCCATCTTCGCACACGATGAAACAAACACTGGCGATCCTGTCCCTGTCCTCTCAACTTGGTCTAGTCGCAACCGTCTCGGTCCCACTACAGCAATCCCACCAATCACACAGTTAAACCTGCACCGGTATAATCTCCACGCTAGACCCAAGCGAGTAGAGGGGGGGGAAAAAAGCAAGAAAGATGAAACATGGGGCGCGCGCGAACAGGGCATCCACCGCCAGAGCCCAAGGGTAAAATACTTTAATGTACAAGCAACATGCAGAGTGTCAGATAGCTGAATCCGGATCACCGTTTGATCTGCACCCGGGTTGCGCTCGTACACCCAATAGACCAAAAAAAGGGTAAATTAATTGGCGAAAATAAGTTTCGACTTGTGCGACACCATGTTCTTGGGTATGTAAGTACTTACGCGGTACGATATGTACGGGCTGGGTTGGCGAGACAGATGCAACGCCAGGTAGATGCAGAGGGGGGGCAAGTGTGGGAGGTAAGCGAAAAGATTGGTTTTCTTTGGCTGTCGATAGGGGGGAGTGTGGTTGATTTAGTTAGATGAGCATGCATACTAAATTTTTCTTTCGCTCTTCTTCACAAATCATGTAGAGTAGCAATACGTATGCTGTGCTGCCTTGGTGTATGCCGTGCTTACCGCGGGAATCTTCGACATTGGTATCGCGGGCTACGTGTCAGCTTAGTTCCGGTCTCAAATATCACCTACATCCCGCACTTCATTGGTTTTTCCGCAACGGGTCTGGGACGCAAGGCCAAGAGACAAAAAAGCGGCAGACGTAGATCATTCAATCAAACAGTAGGCAGGTAGACTTGGTACATGTAATAGGGTATAGTCTGTCAGCCCAATGTGGCTGCGCAAGCGGAGATGGACGAAGAAAAGGTAAGTGGGACATGATGAGAAAAAAAAAATGCCCGAGTCGCATCACGAGGCAGATACGAGAGGATGACATAGTAGTATATGTGCTTGCGGACAGATATTCGGGTCATCTACTACTATACTATGGAAATAAGCTATACCCCCCATATGCTACTGAGACACGCCTGCGGCCCGGTCGGTCATCGGTCAATCTTTATAACAATCCTGATGCTGTAGGCAAGAGTATATTCTTCCATATCATAGCCCTCTCGTGTGTGTGATTAGTTAAGACGGAAAAAAATGGAGGACGGACACGGCATGTCCCTTTTTTTTTGTTTGCCGCGGCCTAAATGTGGCATGTCCCTCGGCCATGTGTGTGAGTCGGGTTTGATAATGGATCTACAAGGGGTCTCAGCGTCTTATTGATCCCACGTCCTCTTTGGAACTTTGGCACACAGGTCGCGTAATGTAGATGAGTCGCGCATGGCCAAATGCAACAGTCGTTCCCGCTAGGTGGATAAAACGCCCTAGTAGTCGTGCGGTGCGATAGATAGCCGTTGCAGTCCTAGCGCGCCCCGTCAGATGCAATCTACCGAGATTGAAAGGCAGAGCAAAGGGCGTCATGCTGTTTTATTTTTCGGAGACCCAGGCCGTTTGGTGCACCGCCAAGCCAAAAGAAGATGCAAAAGTCAGAAGTGGAGTGATTCGAAATATGTTTAATGATTTTTTCATTACTCGCGCCACCTGCCAAACGAGGACAGACAGCGGAGCGAACCTTGAACTAGTAGCCGTATGTCGGTGCTCCGACAAACTATTGATGATGTGATGAGGATGATAATTTCCAACGCCGATTCCATGCTGTGTTATGCAAATGCTGAGAAATGAACGCCTTGCAATGCAACTGGTGACGAGATGGGCGAAGAAATGTCCCATCCAGTGAGCATTTTTCGTCAGATCATGTCAGCCGTATAACACCCGTTGAGACTCCCTTTGGTGAAACCAAGCGCAAAGCTAAAAGAAAGAGAAAAAAAAGTAAAACACAAAGAAGGAAACATGACAAGGTTGTGGTAAGCGACAGTGTGTGTGTGTGTGTGTGTGCAAGATAGCGAATCAAATTAATACGTGACCTGACGGCCGGCATATGCGCCCGTCTGGCCGAACATCCGGCTGAAGATGCCGCCCGCCGACGTCTTGACCTTCTTGGAAGGCTGGTGCTCGTACAGTGGGAGAGCATGCTGCTGCTTGGGAGCTGCGTACGGGATAGGGCCATTGATATATACAACATTGGCACCCTGGTCCGCGTCGTAGCGGTGGAGAACAGCCTCTGATGGCTCCTCGTGGAAGCTGGAAGGCGACTCCGATGAGACTGAGGCCGAGGAGCTTCGGGTGGGTGGTGATAGCGAGGGTGTGCGCGAGGGTGCGCGGGATGATGGGACGTATTGCATGCGATGCCTCTGAGTACGGGAAGCGTGTGAAGACATGGATGAGTTTGATGGGTAGGTGTGGACTGAGCGCGAGAGGTTCTCAGTGGTGAGCTGGTACTGCTTACGGGCAAGCTCCTTCTCCTTTTCGGCAAGCCTGGCCTTCTCGGCCTGGCGTGATTGCCAGACACGGATGGGGGCTAGGAAGGGCTCGAGGTGGTAGTAGAGATCGTCCGTGTTGATGCGGAGGTCCCAGTCGAGGAGGAAGAGCAACTGCTTCTCCATGAGGTTGACCTCAGTGATGGAGAAGCCGAAGTTGTCGTAGCCGCGAACAGAGGAGTACTTTGCCCAGTGCTTGTTCTTGGGCGATGAGTCGTTGAGGTTCTTAGCCGCAAGAATGAGCGAGGCGAGGAAGATGCGGTGGACAGTGCAGCGCATGCCCTTTGCAACTGGGGGGAGGCGTGACCGTAACCGGCTGAGGTAGATGAGGGAAGACATGAGGGTGGCAGTCTGGACATGTGACCTCTCGACAATGGAAGTGATGAACTCTTCGACGGATGGAAGGGCCGGTTCCCGGGGGTGAGAGGCGATGTGCTGAGGGGGCGAGGCTGGTGGTGTGGGTGGGAGGTTCTTGTTGACGCATGGCTCGCAGCGGATGACTTGAGTGGCCTTTTGAGCAAGATATGAGATCATGTCACTTGACACTGGGAGTTGGATGAAGTGGTCCAAGGCCGCCTGGTTCTCGGCAGCAAGATTTGGTGAGTAAGGCATGGTGAAGTTGTGTGGTGGTGGTGGTGGTGGTGGTGGTGGTGATGTTTTTAGAAGTGAATGTGGTTCCGGTCTGAAGAGTGGGTAAGCGGGTGTCCAAGGCTGATTGTGCTGTGGCTTGGTGGCAGCACGACAACAAGGTTGAATTGGCAAGGCAGCAGAAATATTAGAGCAACGGAAAAGTCCGAGTCCAGTCGGAAGACGAAGGGTAGTCGAGACGGGGGGAGAAGTTTTTTTGGTGTTGTGGAGAGAAGGTGTGGATGGCGCTGCCAATAAGGGAGTTGGGGTGGTGGTAGTGGTGGTGGTGGCGTTTAGTAGTAGGGGGAAGGAAGGCGAGGGGTCACTGCCGGAGTGGACGAGGCACCTGCACCGCTGGGATGGCAGGGTCGGAGGTGGGAAAAGAAAAAAAGGGAGGGAAGAAGGGAAGTTGGTGACTGACAGTGTGTGTGAAGGAGTGTTTCCGAGCGCCGGCGAGCGTGATACTTAATAGCAGCAGGCCCCTGGGGTGGTGGTGCAGATGGGATGCTAAACTGAGAGGCAATCCTACGGGCCTATGGGCGTTGTGGTTCGGCGGCTGGCGGTGGCAGCCAATCGAGTGGGTAGCGCGCGACGCTGGGGCGGCGGCCAGCGGCTGTATGGCCGGTTCGGGGGGGTTGCAAGATTGCGAGTGGTGCTGAGGGCACGAGGGCAGGAATGCACAGTGTTTCAAGTGCAAGCCAATGGTTTGCCAGCAGGGCAGGGCGCGGTAGGCGACAGGGAGCGACGGCCAATCAAGGCGTGTTGCGAGTCGCGTTTCGAAGGGCGGGCGACAATGTTTGAGGACAGGGAGGGGAGATTGAATGGGTGTGGTGTAGTGTAGTGTAGTGTAGTGTAGTGTAGTAATAGTAGCGATAGAGACGACTGCAACTGACGACTGCGCTGCAGGCCAGGGCGTTCAAGACGTTGCAGTTGTGCAGCCGGCCGGCGTCGTCAACAATTATGTATCTGCAGACACGGCGGGGACTAGACGGGCCTGCTGGCAGCGCACCTGGGTCACGTTCCCAGCCTGGTAGACGGTGCTTGAGGCGGTGAGGCGTGTTAGAGTGGAGCCGGATGGGCGTGGTGGATGAATAGCAGGCGACCACGCAGTAGCAGTAGCAGCATAGAGTACAGTGACGCACACGAGCCCGGCCGTAGCAGCACCAGCACGCCCAAAGCAGGGCGACGGGCCCGTTTCCCAGCCTCGTGCGCCCGGGATACTCTGGCCACGGGGCGGCGGCCTCTGCGTGGGAAAAGCATCTTCGGTGTGTGTGTGTGTGTATGTGCGTGTGCTGCTGCTGGGCCTCGACTCCAGCGTACTTACTCACTACGACGCGTAGCAATGCGTCGTGGATTGGGCGGCGGAGCAGAACCAGCAAAAAAGGCAGAGAAGCTTTCGCTACGCCTGCCGGCACTATGCTACCCTAGGAAGGCCTCGTATCTACTTAGTCTATGCCTGGCTTCATCCAGCAAAACCATGTCTGCAGTCAAACGATATGGCCCTGTAGCATGAACACTCCAGTCCAGTCCAGTCCAGTCCAGTCCAGTCCAGTTCATCTACAAACATACGCCGGGCCACTGCAATGACGAAGTGACCGTGAATGATTAAACAAAAAGAAGCACGCCCACACCCACACCCATACCCATACCACCACGCCCTCTGCCCAATGTTGCATGTGCGCCAAGGCCCGCGGGCGATCAGCAGCAGTTTCTGCCATCTGTCACCCCGTCGCATGACAGCGTGTCCATCCGACCTCTCTCGCGACGGCCAGATGGTGCTCTACGCTCCGCCAGCTCCACCACCGACGGCCCATGGATCCCTTGGATCGCTGTCATGCGCTACTTGCCTGGCTCCGATATGCCCTCGGGATTGGCTCATGCGCATTGCAAACACCCATCTATTTGTTTCAACACGTCTGTTTTGCATTGCTCTCCACAAATCGCCATGCTGCCGCCACATGCCAGCGTGCACCCAGTCCAGCCCTGCTGCGGTGGGTAATGGAGCCTGATGCTCATTGTACTGCTACATGCTACTCCTACCGCGACTCCGTACCATCCTAACCATTCCATCTCTACAAGGCCCAGACCCTTTTTTTTCTGCCAACGGTAGCGAGAGCCTCAACAGCCGCTGCACCGCCTCAGCCACCCCGGCCGGCCAATCACCGTCCGACAAAGCCACCGATATAAATGTACATAATGCCCATGTCCAATCAATGCTCATGCAACTTGGTCTAAATTGCATCCATCTGCCTCGGGCACTGGTCCTACCGGAGATGCTGCTGTTCTTTGTCAAACCATGTTACCAAGCACCACGTGCATCGGCTTGCCCTGGCCGCCTGTTACTCGACGCATGAACATTTTGCTCCCAAGCCGGGCGCCAGATGAGGCTCTTTGCATGCTAGTCGCCCGCCGGCTGCTATAACGGGATGCTGGTTCGTGCGAGCCGCCCACCCCACGAAGCGCTCGCGTCACCCACCCCCAAACCCCAAAAATGGCATCTCTATCTTGGTCGTCGGATCTCGTCGCCTCCGCTTGAACTGCCCTTCCCCAATTTCGTCGTCTTTGCTTACATACGCCCCAGGGCTGCTACTATTCACGGTACGCCTATACGCTCGACTCTAACCCAGACCCCGCATTCACCATTGCACCATGGCGCAGGCCCCCCACCACACCCATCATGTTTCATCCAGTCCCGACCACACCCAACCGATAGGCCACGGCTAGGTGTAAACGTCCCAACGCATCCCAAAAACATACTAGCCATAGCTTCTTGGCTTCTTGCCATTCGCCTTCCATGCATTACCTTCTACCTTCTGGACCGCGCCCCCTCCCAAAAAGGGCCCGATTCTATCTAGTAGCTTGTTGGCCTGCTTGTCGGCCGGCAAACCTTTCATGCATAAAGCAGGAGTTACATGCTTCATGTCACGGTACTCGTACGGCAAATGCAGTTGGACTGGCTTTTGCGGCCATCCAACTACAGGCACGCACGCAGAATCGACGTGTTCGCCCCAGTTCGAGTCATAGCCGGCTGCCAACGCGCTCCATATATCGTCATGCCCTTCCTTCCCAATGCACGCCACCGTGTACGTACATGGTCCCGAAACAGACAGTTGGCTGCCTGATAGCTCCCGCGCCTTGTTTCAATCTTCATGTACAGTGACATGTCCAAAGCTACTGCTTTCACGACGACGACGACGACGACGCAGAACAAAACCCTCTCGGCACGTTCCAGACAAGTCATGTGGTAGTAACGCAAATCAGTGTAGCCACACTAGACTCGTCACATCGTCTTCTGCTCTATCGAAAGTTTAGTGTACCAAACTACGTCTCCGTCACAATTCTCGGTAAGACAACGGCATGGCTGGAATAAGAAAAAGTGGGTACGCTTGGCAGGAACAAGAGCATGTTCGTCAATGTCAACTACAGCATGCCCGGCTTCATTACTATGCTGGTCCTCTGTAGACCACAGCACAGCTAACTTCGAGAAACCTCGTACTTAGTTTTTTTCTTCATGATAAGCTGTACCAATTACTGTCTAGAAAATCTACACTCAACACCTATTCAATACAGCAGTAAACAAGACAGCAAACCATGCTCATCTCTTAACCCTGCCATGAACTAACTCAATGTCACCACCATCACCACCACCACCATCCCAATTAATCATCCAATCATCGGATTTCCCCATTCTGTTCAACTCCAAAATTACCCTGTCCACCTACTTACTCCATCATCCTGCGCTCAACACGCCCAATCCTCGGCGGTGTCTCATTCATCATGGTCCGGTGCTGTTCCTCGTCGCCATACCGCGCAGCCACATTCGCTTCCTCGCGCCGCATCACCATACCATCCCCATTATTCTCTTGATCACACTGTTCTGGCCGAATCCGCCGATACGTCCGCCCCGTTGCTGCCGCCGTGGCTCGAATGAGTGACGACTGCGTGTATCTGCTCGTAGTCCCACTGCCTTGCTCAAACGAAGCAAGAGCACTTAGAGGACCATCACGCCTTGGTTGCAGGCTGAGAGAGCTAGATCCCGATCGATACATGCGTACAGGCGCGTGGCTTGCAAACTCGGCCCTATACTGGCCCGATGGCTGTCGTGGTGACGACCTCGGTGCTTCGGCCTCGACTACGTGGTGACTCTGCATCTGAAACTCGTGTTGCAGCGGGTGCATGTGCAATGCGCTTGCTGAACGAGAAACATCTCCACCGCGTGGCATACCCGTCGTTGCCGAACCATGCGCCGTGTAATCGCGAGATCGATTGGATGCGTCATGCGGGGCCACGGGCGGCAGCGCACTGTAACGGGATGATGACATCTCACTGCCTCCTATAGCACCAGAGTACGTGGTGTAAGGTGGACTCTGCAAGCGTTGGTATGCCGCTCTGTGCGCCGGCACTCGGCCATAACGGGCTGCATCACCATGATTGACTGGCACTGAAACTGGTGCATTTTCACTCGAGCGTTGTTCCATCCTGAGCGATTGAATTGGCCTGAGAAAGGTGGGTGAATTGCCCCTGGTAGAGAGCGAAGGATGGGCGGGGTTTGCATACGTAGGATAATTGAGCAAGGCATGCTGAGTGTGTACACGACGCTGATAGTGCTCTGCATACGGATCCAGAGGCGATTGCAAATCATGGACGGCAGCAGTGGCAGCTTCGACATGGCCTCCTGAAATCTGCCTTGAGCCATCTGATATTGGTGATGGGGAGGTGGCATCACTCTGCATTCGTGTATATGGCATAGACGGAAGTGGTGAAGGTCCATGTGACCTGGTCCTGACGCCATCCAGCTGGGGAGAAGGAGATGCCCCATCTTGTGAATGCTCACTACTTGGGAACCGCGTATCCGAAGAAAATGACCCATACCAAGAATAGCCGGTATTGGCGCTGGTAGCGTCACTGCCGCGCTCTCTGGGTCTCACGCTTTTATGATCTGATTGTCTCACACCTCCCACAGTGCTTGAGAAATTTCTCGGATCAAGTGTTGAATGGTCATTGCTGGTCAAGCTGTAAGAGTCCCTGTGACATCTGGTGGAATATTCTGGCACTGCTGGTGTCCCGAACACGTCGTCAGATGGAATGCTTGGACATGTGACACTGGACAACGGCATGGCTCCTGATGACAGGCTTCGTGTAATAGCTGGCTGAGGACCACTACTGCGGCGCGGCTCACTATTTGGCAGGCGCTTCTGGGAATGGCAGTACGTCTGTCTCGGAGTCTGAGTCAAGTAGCCATTTGAGCGGAGGGTAGAATTCTTAGAGCTAGGGTTAGTCGGTGATTTGGTGGGGTCTCCTGGAGACACTTGCTGGGCAGGTGAGGCAAGTTTCTGTACCTGATGTAATGGCGAATGCTCACGGATGATATCTCGACGACCATGGCGACCATGAGCGATGCCTGCTAGACTTCCACCACCTCGCAGTCCTGGTGTGTTCCCAACAAAGTCGGCTGAGGGCAATCGTGCAGATTGTCCATTACTACTATCGATAGTCCCAGTGGGTCCAGACGTTGCGGGTCCAGGCAGTGGATTTGGGGTTGGATGGGAAGCGCTCTCACCTTGTTCATCAGAAGTGACGTGTGTATCTAGTGCCTGGCGGTCCGGTCTAGGGCGAAATGGAAGCTGCATGGTACGTGATGCCGGCGAGACTGCTGGAACTGCTTCATCATTTCCCTCAGGCATGTGGTGGGGCAAGGCTGTATGCATGTTATCATGGCCTGGTGGTTCAGTCGGTTGCTGGTTGTGCACGTGCTCTTCCTCATTGACAGAATCGAAAACGGCTTGCTGGGGCTGCAAGGTGGGAATGTCACCGAAGGCAGTGATGGCATCACGGATAGCTCTCTGCGGCCCACGTCGCAGAATGGGCCGGCCGGGCTGTCCGTGAGGGCGCATTGCCCAGTGTTGTCGTGCTGTTGATGTCTGCTTGAGGGAGATACGGCCGAATGTCTCGTCAACGTCGTCTGGTGTCAGGGCAAGCTCTGATGGGCGCAAACGTAGCATAGTGAGCCACCTTTGGGCAAGCAAACAGCAATTGCCTGAGGGTTCTGGCAAAGGGATATTCTAGGGTCCAAAAGCGGAGGGTCTCAGCATGGTGGTGAACCGGATGGAACTGGTTCGAGACATGGTGTACGCTGGCCGTGGGCCACTGGCATTTCCAGTACTATTGCCATTGCCATTGTCATTGCCATTGTCATTGCCTTATCCGTCACCATCTCCATTGCCGTTGCCTGGTGTTGCACAGGGTCTCGGGAAGTTCCATGGCGGTGCACTGCTGCGCGAACAGCGATGCATGACGCCGTACCTGCCTCCCCGTACCTGGTGCTCGTGGGCAGCCATGGTAGTAGCAGAGAACTGGCGGGTGTGGTGGGTGTGCATGGTTGGAGAGATGGATAGACGAATAGACGGAGCATGGTGTCGTCGAGGTGTTGTCAGGCCGTCAGCCATTTGCCGAGACATGGCATCACCGAGCGTCTGGAGCACCACGGCCAGAGCAGCAGCCGCAGCAGCAGCGCCATACGAACCTCACCTCGCCGCATCTCGTCCCAATCCCCCCCCAACCCATCGATCGGCCTCTGGGGCCCCTGCCATGCCTCCGCTGCACCCTCGTATCCCGCACGCTAATCGAGGCTCCTTTGACGCGCCGCGGGTGGTCCCTTCGCTACCTGCAACCCTTCGCTCGTTTACCGCCAGTGCAGCCCACCGGCCGCCACGATGAATGGCGACCTGAGCCTGTCGCAGACGCTCGGCGGACTGCGCATTGCCAATCCAGACGAGGACGACGACGCTCCCTCGCCTCCCAGCCCCAACCCCCAGCTGCTCCCCCAGCCCTCAGATGCCCCAGACGCTCCGCCGCAGCTCCCGCAACCCGCGTCGTCATCAGCATCAGCATCACCACCACCTTCACCACTACCGCCCTCGCGCGCCTCGTCCTCGGCCACCGTTACCGACAGGCAGCAGCACCAGCAGCAGTACCTTCAGCACCCCCAGCACCACTCGCCCCTCGCCTCGTACGACCCCGCCTCCTCTTACGCGTCCATAGACGAGGAGCCCGCCGCCTCAGACTCGCTTTCCGTCAATCACAATGCCTATGCCTCGTCATCTTCGGGCTCGCCCGCCGCATTTCCCTCCCCCCTAGCAGAGACGTCGTCGTTGTCATCGCATTCGCCGCGCCTGTCCCACCGCCAGTCGATGCCCCTGGCCCAGCAAGCACAGCACCAGGCTGTCTATCCCGCCTACGCCGCCGCCCCGTTGCTGCAGCAGCAGCGCAGCGCTGTGCCCACGTCGCAGCCCATGCGAGAACGCCCCGTGTCCACGAGCATGTACCAGCATCCCAACCTCTCCACCTCGTCCACCACTGCCCCTGGCACATACCGTTACAACGACGACGCAATGGCCACAGACATTCGCCGTACTGCGAGCTCGCGAGTCGCCCCGGGTGCCATGCCCACCAGAGAGCACAGCAGACGGGACCCCTACCGCCAGTCGGCACAAATGTCGGCCATCAACGGGCCTCTCCCGCCACGGAGAAGCTCGCGGCGGGTGCCCATGGAAGCACACCATCCTGGGGCATCTCAATTATCCAGCTCTCCATACAGTGTTGAGGGTGGGCCGCTCTCAAGCAGCGAGGAGTGGAAAGAGCGGGGCGCCGCTGTGAGCACCAGACAGGACCTGGATCAGAATGGCAGGCCAATCACCCGCGTGGTGAAGAAGGGCGTCAAGGACTTCAACTTTGGTAGGACATTAGGCGAAGGTTCCTACAGTACCGTCTTGGCAGCAACAGATCGCCAGACACTGCGCGAATACGCAATCAAGGTGCTCGACAAGCGCCATATCATTAAGGAGAAGAAGGTCAAATACGTGAACATTGAGAAGGATACGCTCAACCGCTTGACGGAGCACCCTGGCATTGTCCGACTCTACTACACCTTCCAGGACGAACGCTCACTGTACTTTGTCCTCGACTTGGCATCTGGTGGTGAATTGCTCGGCTTCCTCAAGAAGATGGGAACATTTGACGTCGAGTGCACACGGTTCTATGGAGCCCAAATACTGGACGCAATCGACTACATGCACAACAAGGGCGTAATACACCGAGATTTGAAGCCCGAGAATGTCCTCCTCGACGATGCAATGCATGTCAAGATTACGGATTTTGGCACAGCAAAGATACTAGACCAGAAGAGATCAAATGGTGTCGGGTCAAGTGCAAGTGGTGACCCTCTGGATACCAGCGATTCGGACCGCGCGCAATCGTTTGTGGGAACTGCGGAATACGTGTCGCCAGAACTACTAACTGACAAGAACGCGTGCAAAGCGAGCGATCTCTGGGCCTTTGGCTGCATCATTTACCAATTACTTGCCGGAAGACCTCCGTTCAAGGCTGCAAACGAATACATGACATTTCAGAAAATTGTCGGACTCGAATACTCATTTCCAGACGGTTTCCCTCCATTAGCAAAAGACCTGGTTGAGCGATTACTCGTTCTGGATCCATTGACACGACTCCCTATGGAGCATATTAAGAATCATGCCTTTTTTGATGGGATCCAATGGGGCAAGGGGCTGTGGAAGCAAAAGGCTCCGCGCCTCAAGTCCTACAGTGCGCCCCCGCAAGAACCAATCAAGCTTAATGGTATAGTCGGTCCCTTCATACAAAGGCAACAAAGCAACTAACATCCTTTCAGGACCCTCTGCACCCGCAGCAACAGCTCCCACTCAACCCCCGGCGCGACCAAAGCCACGGCTCATCACCGAATTACCCCCTCCCTCTCAGCTCGACATCGATTGGTCTCCAGTCCTCACAAAACGAGACGAACGAATATTGAAGCTTGGAAACATGTTTGTCACACAGCATCCTCCTGGTCACGTCGTCGGCGCAAAGGAAGAGCCAGCGGAGCCACCCAAGAAATTCTCGCGCTTTTTCGGTGGCAATACTGTCAAGAAGCGACAGCGGCTCGTAATGATTACGTCCAACGCTCGCGTTCTGATGTGCGCGGCAGGCACAAACGACAAGAAGCTCAAGGAAGAGGTATCATTGCTCTCAGCAGGCTGTTCATGGAGATCGTTCCAGGACTCCAAGGGCCTTACTGCTTGGCTCGTAGAAACGGTACGTTGTAGACATCCTCCAGAATTGCAACCCCAGCTGACAAATTATAGCGAGATAAGCAGTACGTCTTCGAAGACACGAAAAGCACCACTAGCGATCCCGAGGGCAGCAAGTACTCTACTCAAGAATGGCTGGATAGCATTGACCAAGCTCGGGACTATGCCTTTTCACAAACAATATCGAATTCGTACTCTGCTGATGCAAGTCTGAGTGAGCTCGTCTCAAACCACACCACTCCCACCAGTACGTTGGGAGCTGACTCTGCCCTCGAGGGCGTGAACATTCCCGCCTCCCGCCATGGCCATCTTCGCAAAGAAGGCGATACTGACTCAGTAAAGGGTAGGAAGCGCTTTAGCAAACGCCACTCAAGGAATGGACTAGCAAACTTTTGAGAGCGGAAAACGACAAAGCTCGGAACTTATGGGAATGCAGATATCCCGCCTCCGGGTGCTTTCTTCGCAATACCATGCACAAACGACCATGCAACTACATCTGAACATACTCCTGCGTAAACCACAAGTGGTAAAAAAAACTTGACTTCAGCTCCAGTGCAATCCAGGCTCATGGGAATCTCTCGATACAGCGCACGGCGTTTGTGGCGTCCATTTCCTAGCGTCAGTTATCCCAGCTCATCCGATCATCGCCACTATCAATTTCTTTTGTTTTCCATTCTACAAGTACGGCATTACAACGTTCCATCTGCCAACAAGCGATATTTGTCGGATTCGGGTTATCTTTGCATTTAGCGGCTGCAGCTTTTTTTCGCCGTGACTTTTCGTTTTTCATACACATTCGGCTTGCCTTTTTTTTCTTCACCAAGACTCGGATTTTCTCTTTGGCTGTCGCTCAGATGATGTAAGTGAGGCGGCAGCATTCTTTCCCTTCTTCTACCTCTACTACTATTACTCTTTCTTTTCATCTTCTTCTTTTTCGAGTAAGGTTGGTTCGGAGAGACGCGTGCCTTCGCTAGACTTTGAAACAAGAATGTATTGCCGGTGCGTTGGAAAAGGTGATTTTTATCCTTGCAGTCGGAGCTTCGTGGTTCAGGGGGCAGGACGCGAGGAGTGGGAGAGAGGAGAAGTAGCGAGGGGTAGAAGCGAGGAGGGCGAGGAGGCAGTAGAAGGAAGGGCTAGTTTGGCACATGTACACCCATGTTTTGGCGCTCGGTGTGGTGAGGTGTCGAGGTCAATTAAAAAGAGAACTTGTAATGCAAATTTTTCGTGGCTGGTTATACATAGGACCAAGCGCTGTTAATATTGGTGTTTTTTTTTCTGCCCTTGGGTGTTTCTTGATCGGGTGGTGACTATGTATAACTACACATTGATGGATGGGTGTAAAACCATTGGTTTTTTTTCTCTTTTCGGGTGGGATGTATGCATTCATTGCATTTCTTTGCAAATATATCTTCAAGATCTAATCACGCGTTACTCTTATTCTGTGATTACTAACTTCTACAACAATTTAATGTCTGTAACTAGTAAATAGAAAATAAATTAACTATCTCTTTTGTTGTAGAAAAATAATAGTTATATCGTTTGCTTCATGTAGGGTAATGAAGATCGAAATATACAGCACCAAAAAAAATAAAAAAAAATAAGAAAGACGATGTACTCATATCAATAGTTAGTAGGATTAACTATTCTATTTTGGTAGATAGGTGAATGTAGGGAATAAGTGGAATAAAGGTTTTTAGTGCTGGACCTACAGGATAATCCAAAAACGATTTCTGAAAATGACTTCAAAAACATTATTTACATAAATCATCAACGTCTTGATTACTTTTATGATTTTTTTTTGGCTGTTTGAGAGGTATGTTTTTATTTTCGGGGAGGGGGGGTTGGTCTCTATCTAAAGCAATCATGCACAATCAGCATACTTTAGATAACTAACCAAAACTCGATAAAAGTACAGTGATAATATACAAAGAACATGATATCACATCATTCGCAACAAAGATACAGATATAGCCAAAAGTCGGATGACGGTATGTCCAACGTATCCAAAAGTGATTTATATTCATCATGATCATAGAGTTTGTCTACTCTTTTTACTTGAAGATAGGAAAGAAGCTAAAGATACAAAGAAAAAAAGGGGGTTTGCACACACGTACGAGCGATGAAACGCTAGACCGTACATACATACATAGGTACAAGAAATAGAGATAAAAAATTCATCATCAACCCGGCCATCAGGCGGGGTGGGTATACATCCTTTTGCCAATTCCAACTTGTGGAAAAGGAAACAAGATGGTCATCATGCAAGATAAAAGAAAACGCTAACAGATACTAACCCCAAGTTACCTTATACACACATATACATCCTTCTCCTCATCTTTGGGGCATTTCTCTAAGAACAAAAAGAAAGACTAATAAGCATCGCCAAAAATCTCCTTTGGCGTCTGAACCATTTCTTCTCCGCCACGGCGTCTCCTTCCGTCCATCTTCCTCTCCATCTTGCGATCGCGCCTCGTGGTCAGATGCGGTGTCACGGGTGTGACTGGTGTAAATGGCATATAAGGGCTGTAGGGTGTAAAAGGGACGCCGGTCTTGGGAGTACCCAAGGCCAGTCTGTCGACGCGGCGGTCAAGCACCGTGGTTTGGATGCCGGGAGAGTTGAGGGGCGAGGAAAAGGAACGGAGCGGAAGGGATTGGTTAGGTGATGTGGCGGTTTTCTGTTTTGACGGTGGGGGCGGGGTGGAGATGGTGAGGCCGAGGTTGTTGGACATATTCGAGCTTCCACGGCGATGGGGGGCGGGGTGAGGTAGTGGTTGGACTTGATCTAGGCTTTCGTCGGCATCGTAAGGCGATGTTGGCGAGTTTGTTTGGGTTGGAGGCGAGGGCGGAGCACCAGGTGCATAGAAGCGAGGGGTTAGAGGTCGTCGAGCTTCATCATCATCATCTGCGCCAGGGTACTTCGCAATGGGGCCAGAAATGCGTAGATTCTTGAGATTGAAGCGCGTGTTCTTACTGCTTGTCGTAGCATTTGATGTTTGCGAGCGCTTGGAGAGGATGCTGCGGGGGCTTGCAGGGGCTGGTTGTTCTGCACGGAGTCGGTCACGAGTGTTTGATGCGGTTGTCGGTCTATCCTGGTGACCTGGAGGGTATATGGCTCGAGCAGGAGACGCAGGGTTGTCGTAGTTGTCTTGAGAACGTGCGACACTGATGGCCGACGGTCTTCTCCGGTCAGTAGGCGGTGGAAGAGGCTCTGTCTCGTCTACACTAGCTCTGGCGGATTGTTTCTTTGCGTCAAACTCCATGACGGCAGCATAGAGGCGCTCCATGTCGGCTTGATCCTGGTCACGATGGGCGTCGAGAACCTTTTGATCAAAAGAACTGGGCGATTGGACGACAGGGCTTTGGGGGCTGCTGGGAACAGAGTCGTTCTTCTTGAATTTCCTCAACCACGATCGTGCGGATAGTGGCGGTGATGTGAGACCAGGAGTCTTGATGGTCGGTCTTGTGGGCTTGTTCTCCAACTCCAGCTCCAGCTGCTTGGGTGGCTCGAGTGCCTTTCGTCTCATCTTTCTGCCAACAGTGAGGAGTAGTACCCCCCAAATAAGTACTGTGAAGACGTAGCCGCCAACGATACCACAGATTTCGTAGGGTAAAACACTCTTGTCTCGGGTAGCGTGATATGAAGCAGGAGGGCCGTCTTCAGGCGCCGGGGCGGGGTCGCGATAGTTGTCGGTGAAATCGTAGGGTGCAGCAGAAACACCAGTTGCAACAAGGAGGAGGGATAGCAGGGCTGGTGGAAGAGCCCTCTCCAGCATGGCTCCGAGTGGGATCGAACCAAGGAAATATAAGCAAAGAAATAGGAAAGAGAGGGGGTACGTCTATCTTTTCTCGCACTGCCAGGATAAGCGATGATCTAGGGCTGCAGTCACACAGGTTGGTTGCCCACTTCCCGACAGTGAGGAACCGGGTGAAATGCAGAGTGTAGCAGGAGGCGACATGGTGATATGAAGAGGGATTCGCAGCGGGTAAGTACTCTGATCAGCGGTCTGCAAGTGGTCGGGCGCAAGAGGCGGACGACTGGGTGTGATGGCTTGGAAGCGAGAAGGCGGGGCGTGATTGGGCGGGCGCTATGTTGAGCGACATGCAGGCGTCCAGTGGATGCACTCAATCAGCCGCTGGAGCGGGGTCGCTTGGATGCGCGCTAGGCCCAGACGGGACCGCGGCCGATAAATGCAATGGCTTGCGATGCCAATCTATTGCTCTTGTTCTCTCCGAGTGGCTGTACGAAAATAGGATGTGACGAGGCTTTCTGTATGAGCATGAGCGCAGTGCCGGCGTGGCCATGGGCTTTCTCTCCGCATGTGTCGGCAGTTGGTCGTCGATACAAGCATTCAGCGAAGAAACATGTTTATCCGCCTCGCCCCCAATGCTCGAGCTGGCTTGAAACAGAACAAGTGCAACCCAGCCTCCAGGACCGAGGGCGATCTTGCTGCCAACTCGAGGCACAGTCGGCGGGAGGAGACGGTCCGCATGCATGAACGGCGTGCCCTGTGCCTGCAGCGTCGAAGAATGCTCATGCCCCCCCGCCCTCCTATTGGCCAGACTACAGCTTTTCTAAGCGCCCGGCCAAGCCAATCAGCACACCGTCGGCCCATGACACTAGTGCCAGCATCAATCATCAACCATCTCGCCAGTCCACCATTGCCTCAGGGCTTGCGTCTGGCCTCGTGGGTCGCAAATTCTCCGCAATCCTCGTCACATTTTCCACGTTGTCATGCAATCATGTGCCGTGCCTCACCGACTCGTCCTGCAGTACTAAGCTCCCAAGGCCCCCATTGACCACCCGCATCACCGCCGTCTTTCTGCTATCGCACGCTGCATTGGCTGTATCTTTTCCATTTCAACGATTCATGCAAGCCTCCGGCAACTCATGAGGACGCCTTACGCGCGTCTGATTTCACACTGGTGGGTCACTAGCAAGCAAGTCGTCAGGGGAAATAAGTGCTCTCAACGTGGTCAACATGATGACGGCCGCTTCCATTTCCAGTCCCAGTCCACGTACCTACGTACGCCCGGCTGCGTGCCGACATGTCACTATCACTGCCTAGGCATGCATCAGACCGATGCTGGATTAGCGAATGCTAGCACACATATCTGCCCATCAGAGGCTATAGAGGCTTACCCTGCCAGAATCCCACTATCCAATTGCATCTTCCACTCCAAAGTCTCCATGAGCACACCGATAACGCCGTCAGCTTCACTTGCCCTCGGCCTTGGCAATGAGCACTTCGTCCAGGTCTATCGGATCCCACACGCTCTTATCTTTCTTGTTCTGCACCCACACACTACCATCCTTGAAATAGACCACCGCACCTCCACGTCCTGTCGCGCTCGCCGTGATGCGGAAGAGCGGCAGGGCCGTCTGGTCGTGTGCTTCACGCAGCGGAATCAAGAGCAGATTCTCCTCTTCACAAAATCGCTCTACCGTATCCTTGAACGTTCGTTCTCGTACCGGCGGCGCAGATGCTACTGGCTCCTTATTCATTGGTTTGGCCGGTCGTACCGTCTCTACAGAGGGTCCAGTACTCTCGATCTGAGGCGACGGGAGATCTGTTAACCTCGCCTCACCAAGTTTCTCTGCCTGGTAATAAAGCGAGTATGCTTTCTTCCAGCCCGATTCCACAGAGGGCACGTTACTCAGTTCATTTCGCACGTCGTTCCTCCACCACGCAAGCCAAGCCCGGACCTCCCCAAACACCACCTCTTCGCTCGACACCCATTGATAAAGAATTGCAAGAAACTTGGGAAAGAAATGCGCCCGCAACAACTCCCCAATGGCCTCGTTCGATAACAGCCCTTTCCATGCAAATACAGCCTTCAGCGGCGCGACGTCTTGCTGTTCGTTAGGGTCTATTTCAAAGTAGTCTCGTAGATGGGCTGCCAAGCGTGGTAGTAGATGCGAGGTAAGCAAGTGATCAAACTCGCCCTTGCCAAAAAGCCTTCGCCACTGGTCCATTCCGGGTAGTGGCCCCTTAGAGAGATCAATTGAGTGCAGTGCGTGACGAATCTTGCGCTTGATTTCAGCAACAAGCCCAGATCCCTTGGGATCCAGATCTGCAGGCCTGAGGAATGGAAGCCACTCCATGACCCACGTGTGTGGGCTCTTCTTGAACTTTCGAGGATTCCACTCATGGATAGAAGTCGATAGCTTCCGCGTAACCTGTTCAAGCACTCGCTTGCCTATAAAAGGTGGAAGAACCGGTGTCCATACTTCTACCAAACGCAACAGGGGACGCGGATGCTTCACATCCCATTGTGTCACTGCTGAGCTAACGGTAGGAAGCCACAATTTTAGCATCATAGATTCGTATGCCGATGTAGTTCCACGCTTGATTGTATCTTCCTCTTCAACCGTGTTTTGATTAACCAATGCTTCTGAAGGATGGGTGTAGGCCTGAGACACGATTCTTCTGCTTCGAGGCTGTATGATGTTGGCCAGTTCCGCAAAGGCTGCTGCCATATCTTCAAGCGCATCCTCGAGCGGGTCCCATGAAGCCGTGACCTTGGAAAAGTGTGGATGTATGACAGCTATGGACTCGTGATGTAGTGGTTTCGACGGATATGCAGCGCGCAGACTCTTGAGCCCTTCGCAGACAGCCCCAAATGTACCAGTACGCAATGACTGCATTCGTGAATGCAGATCCTCAAGCTCGTCCATTTTTCGTTCCAAAGCTTCAAGCTCCTTCTGTAGCGCATACTCCTGGGGTGGAATGGACTGCGATTCGATTTGTAGTTGCTCAAAGGCCTCCGAGAAGCTGTTCAGGTCTCTCCGCACGCGTGCTTGTAGCGAATTTTCGAAGGGAACAATATCGGGTCCGCGAAGTGATACGCCAGAAGTAGGGGTAGATGCGCCTGTTGTGGCATCGATGATGGACTGCAGTACGGGTGGTACATGCATTCCAGCAGCTTCCAACTCGTACAAAGTCTTCTTGGGCCGGGGAGTTGCGGTACGTGCCTCGCCTCTAGCCTTTGCTTTTCTTTTCTTCCTCTCCTCGCGCTCTTCCTCAGACGTGTCGACATACTTTTCGCCATTCTCCTCAGCCTTGCGCCGCTCCTCACGCTTCTGTTGTTCACTCTTTTCCGCCACTGAACCGATGCCTCCCTTGGTGCCGCGATTGACGACCTGGATGGGCTCTGAGATACCGGCTCCTTCCTTTCCCAGACCACCTTCGCCCTTGTATCCCATCTTGGCAAGCATCTTCGCGCCAAAGCCCGTTTTGAGCGCGCTGCCATCCTCGACCTTTGCGCGCTTGTTCGGCTGCTGTCTGAAGCTGTGCTTCCGCTTGCCACCGTCGGCGTCCATGGTGGCGGTGAATGCAAGACTGATTTATTGGTCTTATCGTATACGGAACCAACTATCGATTGCTCGTCGCGCGTGCAGTGCACAGGGCAGTGGCCGTGTCGCCAGGTGGTCACGGCAGGAGCTTGCAATATCTCAGACAAAGTACACGATTGCGATTCTCCCTGTGTCCACGACGCGGGTGTGTACAGGCAGTGGTGGCATTGGCAGTGGATAAAATTGCGGGATGCGGAGTTAAGGCACTTGTACAAGTATTACGCTCGTAACGTGACCGCGCCAAGCAGGCGGTTAGCGTCGCGTCACCCTGGCTGGTACGCGTGCTATTATTGGAAGGGGTTTGGTTGGGACCCTATCACCCTCCATCCATGTCGGTGTCGGTGCAACAAACATTGCCAGATTCCCCTTTACGACAACCAGGTACGCATAAGTACCGACTCCCATTGTCCAGCAGTCTCCCTGCTGCCGGCCGTCCGCCATGGCCTCCACGCCTCCACCCTCGCAGCCCGTACCCATACGCTCTCCCGATAAGCGCAACGTCGACATCCGTCACCCAGTCCCCGATCTGCAATCGCTGCAAGGGGCCTACCTGGGCAACATTGAGCGTCTCGAGGAACATGCCGAGCGCATGAGCGAGGCCGGCTCCGACCTCCAGGAGGAGATACGCAAGACGTACTCGGAACTCAAGCTGACAGACAGTCGCCGCTCCTCGCTGCGCTCTCTCCAGACGGGCGAAGAACTTACCAGGCGTCTTAGCAACAGGAGCCGCGGCGTCTCCATCAGTTCCCATGCCAACTCTATAGTCGACCTGAACGGCAATGCACGATGGGGGGGTTACTCTCCAGGGGGTTACATCACGTCACCTGCCGATTCTTTGCGCTCGGGATCCTTGCCCAAACCTCCGACTTCAACCCAGCGTCAGCGATCAGAGTCAAAAGCGTCACGGCTGGGCCAGGTTGTACATCCAGAGCAAGTTAAAGTCAGACCAAGATACTATGCTGCCCAAACATCGTCACCCACACTGCCTCCAACTGCTCCGCCCCCCGAGGACCGTGATTCAGTATCACCTCCACAGCGAAAAGTCTCGTCCTTTACTAGGATATTTGATGATGTCGCAAATGGACTACCTGAAGACTTGCGCAATACCGTCATGACGGGCACACCTCCTAGGCACCCTGACGGTCACTATTCTGAAGACATGCACGATCAGTATCCAGACCACCGCAACCTCCCTGACCGACCGCCCACCTCGGCCTCAACCGACACCACCCATCAAGCACACACATTATGGCAAGACTTTGATGGTGTCCACTGCCCAGATACTGTCAAGGAAGAGTCAGAATCATCGCCCCGCAGTCGCCGTCGTCATAGCCGGCCATCTTCCTACAGCCACTCATTTATGGATACCAATCTAGGTCATCAGTCCTTTGGCGCTCCACCACCTGAAGATGGCATGGTCTTCTATCCTGCCCCTGTTCCACAAATGCTCAACCTTCCAAAACGTCTGTCACAACTACCCCCCAGTGATACAAGAACCCGGCGCCGGACACAACTTCTTGAATCGATGCAGGCGGAAAACAGGAAATCGATGCCCATGAATCCAGATAATATCGTGGAGACCTCCAAGCCAAACAAAAGAAAGACGAGACAGAGTTTAATGGGCCTACCACCTCAATTGCGGGCAAGTGCTTACTTCGACAATCAAGCGGCTCCTTCGCAGGAATTTGCTGTCAAAGGTGATTCTGCTCAAAACACACTCGAAAGCATATTGGATGCATCTGCACGTGCACCAGTCTCTGCATTTACCGACCATCCTTTTGGCGGCGATGTAACCCGTGAGGTTTATGGTGTAGATCACAAACGCAAGAGCTCCAAACTGCCAGAAGTGCCGCCAACACTACAACAAACCAGGAGGCGAAGCTCCTTCAATATACTCGACACCAATCACAATGCAAATGGAGAACGCCTCAAGAAACTGAAGAAACGCAATAGTTCAGCTGATATGAACCTACTTCTGGTCAAGGCAAGTGAAAACAGGATGAGCCTAAGTGACGATTTGGACCATTGTGATGAAGAAGAGCGAGGCCCTCATACTGCAAATGATTTGGACCATTCTCAAAATTCCCAGGAGAACCCGAATCGTCACTCTGATGACAATGACCGTGAACATGAGGATACTTCGAGTGATGAAGATAAGGAGGAAGAGGACGAAGAATCAGAAGAGGAAGAGGAAGAACTCCAGTTTGGTGCACCAACCACCTTGCTAGCTGAACTTCAGCTGCGACAAGCAAAGCAAAAGTTAAGAAACATGAACTACGTCACCCTGATGGATCAAGGTCTGATTGACGGTCGCCAAACTTTGCTTCAAATGAACGATGTAGCCGAAGCTGAGAAGCAGCGGAGGATCCGCAAAAAGGTCAATCTTGCCTGGGAAGCCCCTGGAGAAGATGATGATTCCGAGGACGATGTACCGCTTGGTGTTTTGTATAAACAAACTGCGCCCAACTATGCCCCACGCAAGATTGTGGGACTGATTGAGCAACGCGAAATGGAGGACAACGAACCCTTGAGTCGTCGGCGAAATAGGCTTCGTGGGGCTGACCCGAGACCTCGCCAGGCTCCTCAGCTCGGACAACCTGGCCATGAACCGAATCTTGCGGTTCCAGACGTCATGGCTGATCCCATCTCAGAGGAAGAGGAGGGTGAGACGCTGGCTGAGCGTATGCGTCGGCTAAAGGAGAAGCAACAGCTTGATGCGGCCTTAGGCGATGACGTTCGCAAGAGCACTGTGAGCGGTGATTTTGCGGCTGAGATGATGAGCAAACTTGGTGTTTCAGAAGGCCAAGATGAAGCCCAGGATGCACACAAAGCCGCGGCTGCCCCAGGTGCTGGGGAGGAAGAGGAAGAGACTCTTGGTCAGCGCCGCGCCCGCCTCCAAGCTGAGGCGGCGGCCCGTGGTGACCAGATGCCACCCGCCGGCCAGCGTCCTATGTTACGTGGTGCCTCTTCTCTCGCAGACATTCTCTCTGCCAATCCACTTGATCCTCACTACCAAGCGCGCAAGGTGTCAAACGAAGCATTGATTTCGAATCTCCCCCAGGGTAGCCTTCTGCACCAAAACATTGTCGACGAGGAGCGAAGAAAGCAGCAACGTTTAACGGCATATCGGCGGACCTCTGGCTATGGACCCATGGATCCTCTGGTCCCAGGCATCGGCGACAAGGAAAAGGATGATGACGATGACAACATTCCTTTGGGCAAGAAGATCCAGGCCTACAAGGATGCCCATAACCCAATCACGAATGGGCAGATGGCTGCTAGTATCTCCAAACTCAACGCTGCGCGACCTCCGTCACCACCACCACCTCAACCGCAGCCGCAGCCTCAGCTACCAGGTATGCTGGGCATGAACAGCATGGGCATGATGTCTGCGCCCAGCTTGAACATGCCTATGCAACAGCCCATGATGGGTGGAGGCATGGGCATGGGGATGAACATGGGCATGCCAATGGGAATGGGCATGAACATGGGTATGATGGGTGGCGGCATGCGTCAAAGCACCATGATGGGTGGTGGTGCCGGAATGCCCATGCAGATGAATCCCATGCAAATGAACGGAATGGGCGGTATGCAAATGCCCATGCAGATGCAGATGCCCATGGGTGGTGGTATGCCAATGGGAGGTATGGGTGGTGGAATGCCTATGGGAATGCCCATGGGCATGATGCCAGGACAGATGATGGGACCGCCCATGGATCCGAGACAGAGAGATCAGATTGATCGGTGGATGTCGGGCATTAGGAATTGATCGTGCTGTCTTTTTTTGCTGGGTTCTTTCTTCCCTCTCCTTTTCGTAGTCTGGATGTTTGTTTAGGCGTCGAGTACCATGTTTTTTCGTTACCAGCGTCTGGGATGGAAGGATATGGAGATATTATAGCATAGCATAGCGTTGTCCTTTTTTGTTGTTGTGGTTCCTCTATCCTGCATACAAATAGTTTTTTTTACAGCACCATCTTCATCTGCATGTCGGCGTTTAGGGATTAGAAGGGCTTGGTACCGTATATGTGCGAACAAAAGGGACTTAATATGGGATAAAAGCGTTACACAGCAACCAATGGAGCGATGAGTTACAAAAAAAATAGGCATTGTCATGGTGTTTTTTTTGGTATTCAACTCGGGCTGGTATATACACATTACTAGGCTAGACACTGCGTCCAAAGGGCCCAGGCAGTTGACAAGCTACTGGCTCTGCCTTCACAGTAGACCTAAACGCTTACTTGAAACGCTTCTCAGCCGCCTTCCAGTTGATAACATTCCAGATAGCCTTGAAGTACTCGGCCTTGCGGTTCTGGTAGTCGAGGTAGTAGGCGCTAGCATGGCGTTAGTATGGTACTTGTCTTTGCATTGAAACCGTCCAAGGACTTACTGCTCCCACGCGTCGACACCGAGGATGGGGCGGAACTGGCCAACCACAGGGTCCTGGTTGGCATATGTCTTGATCTGGATGCCGCCAGTCTGCGTGTCCTGCACCAGCCATGCCCATCCGCTGCCCTGAATGCCTGCGAGCGCAGTGTTGAATTTCTCCTTGAAAGCGTCAAGGCTGCCATAGTTGGTGTTGATGGCAGCAGCGAGAGCGCCAGATGGTGGCTCACCACCACCCTGGTTGGTGGGCGCGAGGTTCTCCCAGAACAGGGTGTGGTTAATGTGACCGCCGCCGTGGAAGTTGATGAGCGGCTGCAGGGCAATCTGAGCCTGGATATCCTGCTTCTGCTTGGCCTCGGCAATCTGCTCGCTGAAGTTGTTGAACGAGGTCACGTAGGTGTTGTGGTGGTTCTTGTGGTGTAGCTCCATGATCTTGCCCGAGATGGAGGGCTCGAGCGCGCCATAGTCGTCTATAGCCGTGTTAGAGCAAGAAAGGAACTCATTGGTTGATGGTGTGAATAGGCATACAAGAAAGGTCGGGCAGAGTAGCCTTTCCGCGAACAAAGGTGGTGCCGGCCAGTCCAGCCCGCGAGGTGAGGGGCGCGGCGGCTCGAGAAGCCGAGCGGAGGGCGGATGTGCGGAGAAGAGTGGTGTTCATTGTAGCTGCAATTGATGAGGGTAACAAGTCAATTGGGCTTGTCTGGTGGTGTTACAGTGGTGTGTCTTGCTGTTGGGGCTCTGGGGATGCTGCTGATTTATCGCCAGACATTTCGTCATAGCAGAAGATGCCGACCGCCGAGCTTGGGAGCTCCCCCTCGCCCTTGCAACGGCCATGGATCCCCCACCAATGATGCTCGCGCTACTTGGATAGTACGAATGCATTGTGCCCATCAGTCGCGATGAGCTGATCAATGTACATACATATCATTGTAAAGCCTTGACTGCAAACAACAACAGCCCATCACAAGAGCTGCCGCCATGTTCCCCCAACGTTGTGCAACCAACAAGCCTTGCGCGGCCGTTCTCGGACAATTGGACCAGTCAAGGGCCTTGGGGACGGGAGGCGACACATTTTTTTTGAACATCGCGTGCTTGCAGAGGAGACGTTCTTGGGGGCTCAATTTGGAATGATTTACTAATCAGTCACTTGGACTTGTCTGTCGTCTCACGCCATGTAGGCTGATTGAACTGCTCCCTGCGTTTTCTCGACTTTGGCCGTAGTCTGCGTTCCCGACTCGTCCATTCTTCTACCCCGCCAACGTCATCATGGCGCCTGTCAACGTTGTCCACCTACCCAACGGCCAGAATCTCACAGTAACGCCGGTATTTGGCGGTCTTTTCTTCAAGTCCAGCGACATCCAAACCCATTCGCATTTCCCGCCTGGTTGGACAGTTGTGCTCAATTCGGAAGATGAAGCTGCCGGCGAGGAACAGGAGCAACAGCTGCAGCCGCAGGAGGGTGAAGAAGACCTATTTCCTCCGCGTCGTGTGCATCGGTTCAAGCGACCAACCCTAACTGGCGACCACCTCTACATATCTTCCATCTCGAATCCGAGTAGCAATGAATTCAGGCCCGCTGCGTCACCGACGCGCCAAATCGCCATGATGCTGTGGGCGACGCTGTACTGGTATTTCCACCAGCCCGAGCCAACGCTGCAGGTCACAAACACACTGTCCAAGAATACGGCCGATGCAGGAAAGCCCAAAGGAGAGTGGCGCATCAACATCAACAGAGAAGGCGTGTTCAAGGGCAGGGTCGTGCTGCCCAAGCTCGAGCGCATGAGTCTTATAGCCACTGAGGATTCAACAGTGGGCTGCGCCCAAGACGAATCATCACCCGAAGGCTGGTCGCGCATGTTCGTTAGCCGGAGGACCTTTTGGCAGTTGGATCCTAGAATCTACCTCTTTACCCTTTCGCCGTTGGCTACACCCTTTCCAACAGCTTCACCATATCCTTCGCGACCGGCGTCGCCCGCCGCTGTAGCTGACGTGAAAAAAGAACAGCAGACGGATCAGATCTCGCAAGGTCTGTGGTCGCCCACCGCACCGGGTCCCTTCCACTCGAGCTCGCACCTGCCCACCTACTATCCTCCGCCCCCAGCGCAGTATGTCTTCACGAACAATACCCGCCACCCCATACGTCCGAAGCCACCGCGGCAGGGTGAGGTACTATACACCAGATACATTCCCAGCGTTGGACAATACCTATCATTCCGTGTGGCTTCGCTTTCAGCAAAGGCAGTGCGTCATCAAGGTCCTGTGTCTGACCACGTACCTAATCCGTATCGGCTGAGTGGCACTGCCGCACCCGATTCTCCAACCTCTGTGACGAACAATGGCATGTCTGATGTGGAATACCTGCACAAGTGGATGAACGATGCCCGCGTCTCACACTTTTGGGGTGAAGCAGGCCCTCAGTCCCACCAAGAAGAGTTCCTCAAGAATGGCTTGCGGTCGAAAAATTCTTTCCCTGTCATCGGATGTTGGGATGGAAAACCTTTTGGCTACTTTGAGATCTACTGGGTCAAGGAGGATAACCTTGGCAAGTATTTGCCTATGGTCGGTGACTATGACCGAGGCTTTCATTGTTTGGTGGGCGAACAGGAGTTTCGGGGTCCGCATAGGATCAGGATATGGCTAAGCGCGTTAGTGCACTACTGTTGGCTTGCGGACAACCGGACTGAAAGAGTCATGCTTGAGCCAAGGGTCGACAACGAAAAGTAAGTATTGCACCAGGAAACTTTCCGTCGGAACACTATACTTACGATTGCAGGCTTGCAAACTATCTCCAAGAAGCTGGTTTCTACAAGGAGCGCGAGATTAGTCTCCCGCACAAGCAGAGCAACCTTTTCAAGATCAATCGCGACGTGTGGCGAGGGCCAGCACTGTGAGCCCGCGGAGACGGGAATAATTGTGGAGTTGGGCAGAGCCGCATGAACGCCCGCTTGGGGAATAGAATTTTGTGGAGTACCCAAGGGGAGGGGAGATAGCACGGTCCAGGCTATGTTTGCGTACATAGTACTACAGTCGAATACATGCATGTCTATTATGCCGATTGTCGTCCTAATGCCGGCCTGTCAGAAATCGTATCGAACAGGATTGGTACCGATGGATAGCCTGAGAAATCTGAGATTTCCCCCGCCACCTTGTTGGGTTGGTTGCGGAGTGCGTCTTCGATATTTTTTCTTGGCACCCAGGTACCGCCGTCCTGTACATAGAATTTTGCAAATCCCGCACCCCTTCCATTGGCGCTTGTTTTGGGCAGATGATGTTGTAAAATCAAATGAAAACCCGTGTATAACAGTATGAGTCCAAGTTGAATGGGTTCATTTCGACGCTGTCGATTCCATGGAGAGGCGTTCCCAATGGTGCAATGCTTAATGTGGGGGTCTAGCGAGATCCAAAAGTTTTTTGACTACACGTGAGATCGTCACTCTTGCCCAACATTCTACGTACAGATAGTAGATTCACCGCGATTGGCGCAAGCACACAACATATGGACACTGCTTTCCATATCCATTGTGAACGCCACTGCCGATATACCTGCTGCCCTGATTACTAGATTGGGCTTAACGCAAACACTACTACTTAAGTGAGCTCCTACGCAGTTTCAATCCTCACTTCTCACAATCACTTCCTCACAGAGGTTTGGTTCAGTCTCATCTCCTTGCTCACTTTCAACACTGGTCCCCTACCTATATAAGGACCGATCCGGTACACTGCTAGCCCACACCTGCCAACCACTCAACACCTACAACTACCCCACACACCATGGCCTCCGGCACCTACACCACGCCTTTGACGGGCCGCTGGAGCTCTTCTGAGATGTCGCACCTCTTCTCCAAGGAGAATCGTCATTCAACCTGGCGCAAACTCTGGCTCTACCTCGCAGAGTCAGAGAAAGAGCTCGGCGTCGATGGCATCACTGATGAAGCATTGACCCAGATGCGAGAGCATCTGACTCTGACCAACGAGGACTTTGCTGTAGCTGCTGCTGAGGAGAAGCTGAGGAGGCACGATGTAATGGCCCACGTTCACGCTTTCGGTCAGGTTGCCCCTGCTGCCGCAGGAATTATTCACTACGGAGTAAGTCGATCATGTTTACCGCGTTGCTACTGAGGACGCAAGAGCTGACAGAATACAAGGCAACTAGCTGCTACGTGACTGACAACGCTGAGCTTCTGCTGATGCGCGATGCTCTGGATCTTCTCATTCCCAAACTCGCTAAGGTCATCTCCAACCTCCGTTCCTTTGCCCTGAAGTGGAAGTCTGAGCCTGCACTTGCCTACACGCACCTTCAGCCTGCCCAGCTCATCACTGTTGGTAAGCGCGCTGCTCATTGGGCTCAGGATCTTCTCTTCGATCTCGAGGACCTCGAACGCGTGCGTGAACGTCTGCTACTTCGCGGTGCTCAGGGTACTACGGGAACGCAAGCCTCTTTCTTGGAAATCTTCAAGGGAGACGGCGACAAGTGCGATCGACTCAACGAGCTGCTGTGCAAGAAGACTGGATTCCCGTCTTGCTACACAGTCTCTTCCCAGACGTACACTAGAAAGGTTGATTTGATCGTCGCAAACGCAGTCTGCGGCCTTGGTTCGAGCGCAAAGAAGATCACTGGCGACATCCGTAACCTGGCGAGCTACAAGGAACTCGAGGAGCCTTTCGAGTCCACCCAGATCGGTTCATCGGCCATGGCCTACAAGCGCAACCCCATGCGTTCGGAGCGCGTTGCCAGCTTGTCGCGCGCACTCCTGGGAAAGCACGCAGCCTTTGCTCAGACACACGCGGACCAAGGTTTTGAGCGCACCCTCGACGACTCTGCAGTGCGTCGCATGGATATTCCCGAGATGTTCCTCCTCGCCGACGCGATCCTGCTCTCGCTTGATAATGTGACTTCTGGCCTTGTCGTATATCCCAAGCGCATTGATGCACGCATTCAAGCAGAGCTCCCCTTCATGATTACCGAGTCTATAATCATGCGCCTTGTTGCCAAGGGAGCCTCCCGTCAGGATGCTCACGAAGAGATCCGCGTGCTGTCACACGAAGCAGGTTATCAGGTCAAGAATGAAGGCCAGGCCAACGATCTTGTTGAGCGTATCCGCAAGACTGAGTTCTTCAAGCCCATTTGGGGCGAGCTCGATGAGATGATGGATAGCAAGCTGTATATCGGACGCAGTGAGCGCATTGTTGAGAAGGTGTGTGGTGACCTCGAAAAACACTTGGCCAAGTACAAGGATTACATCGAGAACACCAAGACCAGTGAGTTGCATGTCTGAGGCACATGAGCATGGATTGCATTAGAAATATAATATCAAGTGAAATATGTGAAACGTGTGAAACCTGAAGGCGGGAACGTCTGGTCGGAATTATGATGCGGAATGTATGATGGGAAAAGGGAATTCGGTTTTATGAAAAGGCGTATGGTGGAAAAGGGAAGGAAGCTTGATTCAAAGCAGCTCCATAGCAAGTGAGCAAAAGTAATGAAACTCATCATGAAAATAACTTTTTTGAACGATGCAACTTCCCACTTTCTGCCTGCTTCCAAGTCCTTGATTATGTCAGGGGAATATCTGGTGAAATTTCAAGCCAGGGTATTTAACAACGTTAATTTTTCCTCAATTATTTGTATTGACTGATATGGAGGGCTCTCTGGAGTAGCTAGATGCAATTTCTTGAAGATTATGTTCGCAGTAGTTAGTCAAGACGAAAATATCAAAAAAAGCTTCTTCGGCACTAAAACGTAAAAACACCTTTTTATGGTCTCTGAAATCGTCAAGGAATTGATTTTGACATTAAATTGTGTTCCAGCAATCGGATGTTTTTGTTGGTTTTGGAAGGGGGGAGAGATTCGAGAACGATCTTCCTTGGTGGATATAATTAGTTCTCGTGACTGAGAGCGTGGTAGAGTAATGTAGAAAAAGGAGGTGTGTTTTAATGTCCTTGCCTACAACTCTATTGCATTGATAAAATATGTTTAAAAGTAGAAAACCCAGCAAAGGAAGAATATACCATAATTCATTAATATGCACACCTATGCAGGCGACCCCGTATAAACAAGACGAGCCCAATAACTCCGTTATATGACTCTCCTTCCCTATTCCGAAGAGGCAACCCCACCAAACGCCAGGCAATTAAATCCGCCCTGAGAATCTACCCAACCATAAAAGACGAAGAAGTGGTATAGAGCGATATACAAATGGCAACGAAGACGATGCTCTCCTTAAACAACCCCAACAAAAACACCCACAAAATGTATTATATGCACAGAGAAAAGAAGTCACCAAGCGAGAACAAGAACATGTAACCCTAGTACTTTCTCCCCCGTCGACGCGGTAAGCCCGATTCCATACCAGTAGACGTAGGTGCCGCAATACCCGAATGACCAACCATGACTTTCGGTGCTGGAATACCCTTCTTCGGCGTAGCATCTGTTAAGCCTGCGGCGCGGATGGAGTTTTCTTTTCCTTCTACCGAGCTAGTTAATTGCGGTAAGACGACTTTTTTGGGTGCAGCTAGCCGGCTTTTGCGTTGCATGGGGAGCGATGAGGATGATACCCCAACGGGTGCTACGTCTAGAGATGGCAGTTTGGTTTCGGATACGCTTGAGGAAACGCTGCTGTCGATTGAGGTGGGTGCCACGGGCATCTTCTTTGCCTTGGCTACTTTTGGCTTGGGTATTTGCTGGTGTTTTTGCTGTGTTCCTTTGTCCTGGCTTGTCTCTTTTTCTTCTTGCACTGCTTCCGGAAGGAGAGATGATGGAGCGGCCAAACCCTTTGCTGGAGTACCGTTGGCAGTGCCTAGGCCCCTGACTCTCCGGATCTTTGGTGTAGAAGTCTTGCTCGTCTTTTCCTTCTTTTTCTTCTTTGGCTCAGACCCAGTGTCTGAGAAGCTTAACTCGTCTGGGGTAGCCAGCGATTCTGCCTCAGCTAGGGCATTGGCGATAGTATCCGGGTTCTCTTGGTAGTATGCTAGCTGCTCATCCCAACGTACGTTCTTGCCGACGATAATTTCCTTGGGAGTATCGTCAATTGGTGGTAGGGTCATTGCATCCATTTGAGCCTTCATCAAACGAACAATGACACCGAATGCGCCTTGCTTATTCTTGCGTGTGTTTGCACGGGTCAAGTCTGCCAGGACTTTTGCATCGTCCTTCTTCAGGACAACTACTTCGTTTCCGTCATTGCGGCGGATGGCGATCTTGGGCGCTGGTATCGGTCCAGTTGACGCCGGCGCAGGTAGGCGCGACTTCTTGGCTCTCGATGAGCGTCTCGTAGTCTTTTCGTTTGTTTCGTCTGCATCTTCTGGCGCTGTTGAGGCTGGTGTAGGTGATGGCAGAGCTTCGCTAGGTGCGCTCAGTGTGGGCGTTTGCGAAAAATCAAGCGTCAAATCAATGTTGTGTTTGGCTGGCGAGTTGGGGTCTTTCTCTTCAAGAGCCTTTCTGGGAGAGGCTAAAGCATGACGAACGACATCTGAATCGCGACGATTCTGCAACGACTCCCTTCGATGTGTGGTGATGGCAGCCTTTTCGGCTTTGCTGGCGGCTGCGCGGTTGAGAAAGTCTTTTAGCATGGCCGTATCATCGTCGAAAGCGACCGTTACAGTGGTATCTTCGAAACCAGATGCTAGGCGAGGTGGAGGCGAATGAAGTTTTCGAGGCGTAGGTGAGGCGGGTTTCGACGTGCTCAACGAGAGTGCCAAGCCATCTGTAATGTCTTCTGTGGGCGCCTCATCCATGGTATGGTCCTCGAATGTTACAGAATCGCTGTCAGTGGCGGCTTCGTCGGCAGTAGGGCTGGCCTCATCACCCATGGAGTCGTCTTTAAGGTCATCCTCAGCGATCTGATGAGCTTGCACTTGCTTGGACAAGGAATCATCGCCTTGTGTAGCCATAGAAGAGGTTTCCTGCATTGTTTTCTGATAATCCCTTAGGATATCTAGCTGGAGAGATGCTTCGGTAAATTCTTCTTCAGGATCACATTCTTCAGAAGGACTAGGTGTGTTTTCCTCCTCTACGTCGTCCTCTGCGTTTTCTGTGTCTGACTCGGTTGGCAATGCCGCTTCGGGATTGTCTTCTGTCGTAGCCTGGTCTTCTTCGTGTGACGGTGGAGGTGACGAAGACTTGATATCGTTGGTTGGCAAGGCGGGGTACTGGATCTCAGTGAGAGACTCAGGCAACTGGTCTATGCTGTGTGAATCTTGATCTTGTAGCTTAGTCTTGCCGATATTGGCCTTCTCCTCGGGCTGCTCCGCAATGTCTTCTATGGCCGTTTCTGACTCTCCCTCAATGGCTTGAATCTGTGGCAGCTCGGGGTAAGAAACCTTGGCAGGAGAACGGAATAGATTGGCAAGTGTTGTATCCTCGGCAGACCGAGAATCGGTGTCTTGTTCCATGTCTTGGTGTCCATCTAAACTCTCGCGGTCCGGAAGGTCGTCTGTGGTAGTTGTGTCCAGATTAAATGCGAAAGCAGGCGTCTTGTGCGCGTCTACTGGGCTTGTGGCTGCGTCTTCTTGGCCCTGCATGGCCTCATCTGGCTCGTTGAAGCTTGCACTATCGCCTTCTATCAGATCATAACTGTGGTCTTCTCCCTCGTCGTCGCCAGTTGGTTCGTTGTCAGCAAAAGGGGTCGCTCGCTTCCCTGAAAGCGCGTCAGTGAATTATAGATAGCCATGCGCTGGTAAAAGACCTACTCGGCAACACGCTCTTCCTGCGGTCCCAGCGCGTGGCCTTGAAGGCGCGCTTCTTTGCATTGGGCCTAGTCGAGGTCTTCTCCATGGCCTTGGGGCTAATGTGCTGACGCCTCTTGACAGGTCTAGAGAGCGCATCTTGCTCCTCGTCATCAGCATCGTCCTGAGGGGTGTTGTCGACACGCGATCTTAGGTTGAATCTTCGCCAGATCTTCTTCTCCTTTCCCTGGCCAATGCGCTTGACCTCTTGCTTGCGCTCCCATGCGCGGGGTATTTTGGTAACAGGAAGGGTGCTGGGATCGAAAAGGGCGGCATCGGAATCATTCCAGGTGGTGTTGAACAGTGTTGTTTTGGCAGTCGGTGTGGCGCGTTTGCGCGGCGAGGGGGCCATGACGTCGACAAGGGGAAAAGAATGCTACACTGACAGAAAAGTCAAGGACGCGCAAACATGGGGACTGTAGTTGTGAGGGCCGTTAGTATCGTCGCATAGGGTTGATGTTGTGTGAGTGCTGTATGTGTGTGTGCAAGTATGCGCTGTCTGTATGTATGTAAACAAAGGCTAAGATAGGGCGCTAACATGCAAAGCAGGGATGACGACGGGGCAGCTCCGCACACGCCAAGCAAAGGCCATGCCCGCTGCGGGAAACTTTTGACCCGCCGGTGATCAACAACGACGACGACAGCGACGACGACAATATCTTGTTGCAATCCATTCACGTCCCGGGCGACTCTGTAACGATCATGGTCCCAAAGCCTCAAGGTAGTGCCGTTCAATCGGCCACTCATCGCCCTCTCCCACCGCTCCCCAAGCTCCGCGTCCGACGACCAAACAAGCCAGAGGTGAACCCATGCCTCGGCGCAATGTCCTCAGTTCTGGGTATGTTTTCGCTGGAGGATTATATAATTCGGAAATGTATTATTAAAATTGGCGCGGGCTGACACGTCTGCAATAGGGTGCTGGGCTTCGTCGGGTTACAGCATACAAGCATGCGCACAGCTTGAACAGAAATTGCGCCAGTGCATGGATGCTCCAGTATGTGCACTCGCTTCTATATGCGGATATACAAGTGGTTTCTAACCAATACTCCAGCGAGACCCCAACCAAAAGAAGAACAACATCAACTACCACCTCTCGCGAATGTACCCCAAGATTGTTGGCCCTCACAAGCGCAACTAGACGGCCTGTATCTTATTCTCTTTGTACACTACTCATACCCACGCCACGGCAGCCGCACGAAACAGCATCACGGAGGAGTTTTATCGCTTTTGGATCATCACTTGGCGTTATGGAGACGAAGGCTGTAGATAGGTCGTGCTAAGGAAGAGTCGGACGTTTGCACATGTTGAGTCTTGAGACCAATCTCTACTTGGAACCCTTTGCCATGATCACGTGTTGAGTACGCGCAGAAATGTGAAGCAAGGAAGAGGTCAGGCTAGGCTAAACCATTCACGCAATCAGCCTCACGAGGTGAGGCTGGCTACTTAGTCTCATGTGGCCCAACACGAAAACTAGGCCAGTGCGACCAAACTCCAAGGTCCGCCCTTTGCGCACGACCATTTGTGGCTTTGTTTGTTCTGTCTTGGGCCAGCGCTTACCACATTCTACCACAACTCATCCCTCAAGACCCTCCAACAGCGCCCGTCTTGCGAATCGTCGTGTATTGGTTGAGGCAATGCAACTCGGTCCCACACATTTTCCCAAGTGCAAAGCTCTTCTTTGTCTGCCTCAGCCTCTCACTTGCATGTCGATGCCCACTAAGGCGTGCTACAAATCACCTCCAGCCATCCGGGAATTATTGCAACAGTACTCGTCTTCGTCATTTTGCATGAATATGCTGTGTCCCGTTCGCTCAACATGCCCACTTTACCTATATTTACGTCCTGTTGATCTGCCACATGCACGCTCAGACCCACCCACTCTACACCACCACCAGTGCGCAATCCTACGCTTGTCCCGATTCGGCACAAATATACAATCTACTCGTTCCACCAGTGGTCAACTACTCTATCGTCCAGTCCAAGACAAGATAACCGAGGTGTGATTGGAGAGAGTGTGAGGAATGCCTTGCATGCTCATACTGACGCTTGCCCCCATGCTACCGTGACATTTCCTCATGATCGCACCACGATACCGCTTTCGATTGGATCGCCAGGGACATGACCCGATTGCTATAGGTAGGGGAGGCTCTGAAGCTGCCCTGGCCGCAGTAAGTGTTGCTGGGGTATTCTCCCTCGCTCTCACTGCGCTCAGCCGCCGCACACTCTCCGCCATACTGCTTACTTATGTACCCTCTATCTTATTGCCTCTGCCTCGCCATTTAGATATCGCCTTGAGAGAAGAACCTCCCGAGTACATGGAAACACAATGACGACTACTCTTTTCGCCCTCGCCTTTCTGGCGCCAGCAATCGCAAACGCAGTAGCGCTGTCAAGAGCGACACCAGAGCTTACACATTTCGTCCCTTCAGTGGATATATGGGGTTCCGCGCCAACAGCAGCAGCACAATTGCCCTTATCTCTATCCAAACGCCAGGCCAGTGGAAACTATTACACATGCGGCTTCGTCTCCGGATCGCCAGGTCAGTCTTCCTCGCCCACTCGAAGCTACCAACTTACTCACTTCAAAAAAGACAGCCCAATAACATGCGCAAACCCGACCCAGACCTGCGCAACAAACACCTTCTTCGGCATCCACGGCTGCTGCGACCCAGCATCAAATACCCCCTGCACACTCCCCACCTCCTGCATCGCATCCACCGCCATGACCGCCTCATGTACAAACACCGCCTGCTCATCCGACGAAGCAATCGTAAAATGCACAGCCAGCACCGCTCAAGAATGCTACCAATGGCACTTCATCTACGAAAACATGGTAATGACACAGCATGGTTGCGCCGAAACAGCTTTTACTAGCACTGCGTACCGTTCCCCTGGTATGGACATGTTGTTACCGAGTAATACGAAAACAGGGAAAAGGGAAACTGTTACTGCAACTGTGACTACGAGGGAAGTTGTTTCCGGCATTCCTACTCTTTCTGCTGTGACGGAAGATAAAGATACGACGACTTCTGAAGGAAGGAAAACAAGCCTAGGGGCTGTGATAGGGGGTACAGTTGGTGCTTGCGTCTTCGTCTGTTTCCTTGGTTTTGTGGTTTTTCTGGCGTGGAGGCGGTGGAGGAATTTGAAGGGGCAAAATGCGCAGTGCTACCAGCAGCAGCAGCAGCAGCAGCAGTCAATGGTGGAATATCATGCTGCTGTGTGTGAAGCTGCAAAAAAGGCTTGGGATCATCAGTGTGGGGTGGTAGCGTGTGAGAGGGAGATTTGCATGGGGGGTGGTGTGGGTGTTGTCGAGATGGATGGGACACAGAGACCTGTTGAAGCGCCGACGAGAGAGAAGTGAATATAATTTGAATCATGTTTTGTTTTCAAATCAGAGCTTTACATACTGTCACCATTTCAAATCCAAGCCACTGATTTCGTGACAATATATGACATTTGATGCTTCACGCAGACTATGAATCTCATATATTACTGTAGATAGACCCATCAGCTCTCCTTTACAGAAGCAACAAAAGCACAATCATCACAAAAATCTACTCTTCCTCAACCTACCACATCAAATCAACCTGCTCCATCTCAAGGTGGTGGCCAACATCCCCCTTGCCTCCATCATATCCCCCGCCTGTCGCACTACGCTCCTCCTCCTGCTTCTCCTCTTGCTCCTCTTCTTGTTCCTCCTCCTCTATAGGCACCCAACTCATCGGCCGACAATCCTCAAGCGAATAATGCTGATCAGGCTTGAACCAACATTTTTTCTGCCCCGTCGACTTGGGGCCCTTGCAATCCTCCTTTTGACACAAGTGCCCAAAGATACAAAGCTTCCTTCTACACTCACTTTTCCTGGGACACGGAGTGCGCTTCACAAGGTACTCGAGTACGCGCCTGACTTGTGCGTCGAGCTCGCTGTGGTCAAACTTGCAGTCATAAGATGTGCAACTGCCCTCAAGATGAAACGCGTTGCACGGTTTGGCCTTGTGAAAACGCGTGTTGTATGCCTTCCAGTCATGTGCGGAGGGTTGCGGATAGTATGGGTCGAGGCGCTGGAGGTTTTTGTTCACGGGAATGAAGCCTGGTACAGACTCTTCAGGAAGGACGGAAGAGATTCTACTTCGATCACCCAGGGGAGCTTGGGAAGTTTGAGATGATTCTGCAGGAGCCTGTGCCCAGGATGATTCTGAGAGAGCGTGTAGTGTTGGGCTTAGAAGTAGCTTAGAGTCCTGACCGCCATCACCACCATTGACACTGCTAGTCAAACTGCTGGGGTCGTGTGGGAAGGTGCATTTTCCACCAGCGCGACAAAATCCCTTTTGGAAGTGTCTGCACACCGGTTTCTTCTTGACCGGTCCAGTTAGCATGCTCTGTGGTGCTTGGTCGCGTAGGGGTGGACTGTCCCATCGGGCAGGCTCAGGCTCGGGCTCCACAAAGTCATTTGATTCTTCAGGTGATGAGTCGCCAAATGCAGACTCCGTTGCGCTCACTGGTCCACTACGTCTCCATGAACTCCCATGGGGGGGTTGTAGTCCGTTTGTCAGTGCAGGAGAAAAGCGACCGGATGCAGACTCTGCTACGCTCACAGAGTCGTTTCGTCTCCACGATTCTTTATGTAGGGCCGCTAATCCAGGTTTCAGTATGGGTTGTTGCAACGGCGCTTTTTGTTTGAGCGGAATAGGCGTCGCCGGTTTATTGACCGGTGGCACAGAGGACACTCCAGACCAACTAAAGACTGTGGGGAACTGGGTCACCTCCAAGTTGAATTGATGAAATTCTGGGTGCCATTTGCCGCCTTGTACGAGCGTGACCTTGTCACGTGCACCATTATAGGATACGAGTAGGGACTGATAAGCCGGGTCGTTACAGGCCGCGAACAGAATGTGACTGCAGGCCGCATCTTCGGACGCAAACTTGAATTGGTCTGCAGTACATTAGTCGTTGTCTTATAATTGTCTTAAGAAGTCAGTAACTATACCTCTGATTTTGATCCTGGTACCCTCTTCATCCAAGGTATCAATGAAGTCGAAGAGACTAAGGGCACGTGTGAAACCGGAAGTGAAAGACGCTAGAGATCGCTTCTCCATCCCAGTCAACTTTAGCCTTGCGAGCTGCTTGGACAAGTTGGTGAGATCGGCGTAAATGCGTACAATTACGCGTCTGGGCACAGTCTGCGATATGCTTTGTATATATTTTTCTATAGCATCATTGAGCTTGCGAGCAGCGCGCATGCCGCCTTCTTCCTTATCGCGGATAAGCTCCTCATTGAACTGTGCAGAGTCAGACAAGTCATTCCATGCAAAGCTGAAAACTCACAATATAGTCGTTTCCATCGACTAGTACAAGGACATAGGAATCAAGCGGCTTTTTTGCTGCAGTTACAGTAGGTGTTCCCACTGTAAATGGCTTTGAAATAGTGTTGGTTACCATGTCCTCGTAGGCTTTCTTAAGTACTTTGTACTCGTTGAGCAATTGACGATACTCTGCGAGAAGGTTCTAAGTGGGGGGTTAGTAGAGTATGGGGGAAGTAAGCGGATCTCGATATTCTCCTACGTCCAAATCAATCCGTCTTTCCTGATCACGTTCTTTGAACTGCTCCAAACGCGCGCCAAGCGAGTCGATTTTCTTTTCTGGTAGCATAGCGGCTGTGGTGCGACGTTACTATCGGCTTATGGCTGCAGATCTACTTCGGTCAAACAGCAGGCCGATGAGTTAATGGGGCGATGAATAAGAAATCCAGATCAATTGGAACTAGTACAGCCTCATAGTCAACCACGCTATGGATATTTTATATGTGGAGCGGAGTGTGTCGGCGCGCCTGCTTGCTGACGTAGGCAGGCAGTCTGAGTGGTCTGAGTGGCCTGTGCAGTAATTTAGCGCCCCTTATCGTCGTCATGTGACAGAAGAACTAGCCTCGCTCTTTCGCACTCATTTCAATCCATGCTCGAGGCAACAATTAGGCAAGAAGAGAATGGAAGAGTTAAAATATTGTGAATTATACGCATGATTGTAGTATAGTTAGAAGATCACAAATAATAAGAGCAAGATCAAGCTCAATTGTAGATGCAGGGTTAGCTGTAGCGAAGGCCTCAAGTTATCAAAGGTATGAACGAAAGTACAAAGAGATCATCTCTACGCTCTCACCAGAACCAACCACGAATGTAAATTTTACACAACGCAAATAAACAGCGCTGTGATGTTCGTTCTCAGGTGCGGAAATCTTATATGCCGAGGACCATCCACGTGACATGCAAAGTGGGCAAAAAAAATAAAAAGTAGCAAAACAAAAACATACGACAGCGAGGATTCACTAGTGGTCATCTGCTTACATATAGGGTAGACAAATGTATTGCTATATAAAATGTGCTGGAGTATGGAAGGCACCAAACCAACACCTGAAGGTAGCGTAACTTTCTGTAGCCCGCTCCAGTCGAATACAGGTCGCTCGATACCAGGGAAGAGGAAGGGGAAAGGGAAGGAGAATAGGCGCTAAAGCAGCACCTGAAGGTGAGGCAACTTTATGTAGCTCGCTCGAGTCGAGTACATGTCGCTCAATCACCAAGGGCAGAAGCGCTAAAGCAGCACCTGAGAAGGGGAGGTGGAAAGGTAAAGTAACTTTATGCAGCCCGCTCTAGTCGAGTATATGTCGCTCGATGCCGGGGAAAGGCGCCAAAGCAGCACCTGCGGGTGGGGAGGTGAGGAGAAGAAGTCAAGTGCAGTAGGCTTGGTTAAATATCCAAAAGGCTTACGTGATGTTATCGACAATCCAAGCGTAGCTTGGCACTGCTGCACTGCAAGAAGTCCACACACTATATAGACATAGTCAAAGCATCCAAAAACAGGCAGGATAACATGTCAGCAGCACTGTGAGCATTGTACGTGCGCAGATATGTAAAGGTATAGGCGCAGAGTCAGTTTGTTGTAGTCATATACGAGAAAATCAGGGATATCAAGAACTGCATTGTCACTACTCTTCTCCTCTATGAGCTTTTGCTGGAATAATCATCCCCGACCCGAGGCCAAGCAACCGACTCTGGCTCATGCATTTGAATGATCTATTGGATATCTGAAACACTCAGTAACTCCTACTGCTGCTGCCTCAGCAGTGAAGCCAATATCACTATTTCCTGGAGAGGATGTCCGGATCACAGTTTCCTCTCCTACTCAATGACTACAGTACCCAGAAGCTATATACTCAATCACTGCCCAAGAAACCTCTCAGGGCAGTTTCGACTTGCTGGTCGTTGTAACCCTGCCCGTGCATCTGCTGGATCATCTGCTGCTGCTGCTGCTGTGCGTGCATGCCCTGGCCTTGACCAACGCCGCCTCTATGACTTATTTGTGCACCTGGCGGTCCCGGAAAGCCATGACTAGGTGAAACATTCGAACCGCACCCATTAGTAGTGTTGGGTGGCTGAGGGTAGGTGTTATTTGGCAGATACCCAGAGCCGATGTACCCAGGCGGTGGAATGGGCTGAGCCTTGGCGAGAGCTGCCTTTTCTTTGTCCCTCTTTTTCTGCTGCACAAGAGTACCCTTGACGCCACGTAGATACTTTACTGCTGCATCTACAAGCTCCTTGTCTTCTAGTGAGCTCTTGAGAGCCTCCAGCATTTCACGGACTTGGGTTTCGGATTTGATGTGCGGACATGTGCGGGAGTAACCGTAGTGCGCTAGACCACACAAGCCACAGTATTCGACACCTGCGACTTTGAGCTCACAAGCACCTTGTGGGTGGCTTTTGAAGCAAGCTGGGCAGGAATGATGGCTGTAGGTACCATATGCCAACGCAAGCGGATTCCGGATCGGAAGCTGTACACGCTGGAACAGTTTGACTGCTGTCCTGTTAGTTTTTGATACTTTTGTCGCCTTCCGAGACGGATCTTGGAAGCTCGAGGCATCAGTAGATGAAGAGGGGAAATGGCCTGGCTGTGTGCCACTGCCAGGCTTTCTGTACTCATTGATAGAAACCTTGAAGCCGCCTCTCGGTGGTACGATCGCCATGGATGTAGATGGTAGAGGAATGGAGACATCGGGAAATCTTGGGGGTTGGCTTGGAAAAACACTGGACACACCTGCGCCGTTCTGCTTGTATAGCGACGAGTTGGCAGTGTTTGTTGTACCTTGACGATGATCATTGCCGAGCTCTCGAGCAACGTTGGCATCTTCATTATCCGAACCAGGCTCGCTCTCATCCTCAGACTCAGCTTGGAAGTCAGTGTCACTTTCAGAATCTCTTTTGATCTTGCGCTTCTTCTTCGACTTCTTGATAGGAGAGGGCGGAAGAGCGAGGTTGTCTTCGAAATGGTCTTCTCCAGCGACAGAGGTATTGTCAGCATCTTTCATCTCAGCAGTGTAATCAACATTCTGTATCAAGTTAGTTTCTGCCAACACAAGTAACAAAGCATGACATACAGTTTTAGCCCGTCGACCCCTACCCATGGCCTCAGCCCGCGCGAGTGCCTCAGCGGCCGCTGCAGCTTGCCTCTCCTTCAAAATCTTGTCCCAAACTCCAGGGTCTGGAGCCACCTCTTCGTCCGCCATATCAAAGTCGTCCTGTAATGTGCCTTTCTCATTCACCCAAATGCGCGCAAATCCAAATTGTGACTCGGCCAAATCATCTTCGCCCGTCTGCGTCTTCTCAATCTGGCTGCGATCCAGCAACTTTTCAATTGATGCATCGTCATAGCGAATGTCGTGGTCTGCATCATCGTCTTTGAAGAGCTCTGCTGCACCGTATTTGAGTATTGACTCAACATCCTCATCCTCTGGGTCTTCCCTGTCGAGATCTTGAACAACCACCTTGTCCAAAGCCATTTTCTTCTTTCCCATCTGCATAATCTTCTCTTCCACTGAGGCTCGGGTTGCTAGCTGCAGGCAAAGAACTTTGTTCTTTTGACCAATGCGATGAGCTCGGGCAATGGCCTGGAGATCCTGGTGTGGGTTCCAATCTGGATCCAGGATGATGACGGTGTCGGCAGTTGCAAGATTGATACCAACACCACCCGCACGAGTGGAGAGCAGAAAGGCAAAGAGAGGTGAGTTGGGGGCATTAAACTGATCAATACGCTTTTGCTTTTCGAGCGAACCCATTGTCCCGTCAAGTCGCTGGTATGCAAGCTGCATGCCATCGAGGAAGTCTTCAATGATGTTGAGCATATCGAGAAACTGGCTGAAAATAAGTACTCGGTGACCACGCTCCTTGAGTTTCGGCAACAGTAGTTCCAGAAGACCGAGCTTGGCAGAGGCTTCGACTAGGTTGCGATGAGATACAGCAGCAACGTCGGTTCGCTCCTCGATCTCGCGGCTATAGACAAATGGATGGCAAAGACATTTGCGCAGTTGCATGAGGATGTTACCAAGATTGCTGCGTTCTCGGGGGTTGAGTTGCCTGTCAGTGGTGAAGAGTGCCTTGAGAAGCTCAGGGCTCTTCGACAAGATCGACTTGTACACTTGCTTTTGTAGGTGGCTCATGGATATTGGAAGAATGATCTGACCCAGGGGCGGAAGGAAGGTCAACACCTTTGCTTTCGTCCGACGAAGGATAAAAGGACGGATTCGATCGTGTAACTCCCTAATCTTCTCCGCATTCATATCCGCATACTCCTCTTCGAGCTCAGCAGCATCAATTGTGTCGTCCAGGAACTGCAACAGATTGAAGAGCTCCCTGGCATTGTTTTGAAGCGGTGTTCCAGTTAGTAGCAATCGAAAAGGCACACGTACTGCTGTGAGAGCAGAATACAGCTGGCTCTTGTCGTTCTTCAAACGCTGACCCTCATCAACGATGAGACCTACCCAGTTTACGCTCCTGAAGAACCTCCTGCAACTGTCGTCGGCGGCCGCTTCATACGACGTCACAACAACGTGGCATCGTAAGTCTTTGGCATTGCTGGGATACATCTCGTATTTATAGGCCATTTCACGAGCTTTAGCTGAGCCAAAGTATGCAACGACGCGGAGAGACGGTGCCCATTGCTTGATTTCCCGTCGCCAATTGGCACAAGTAGAGTTTGGTACAACAATCAGAAAGGGAAAGCAACTATGTTCCTGGACGAGTGTTGCCATGAAAGCAATGACTTGAATTGTCTTTCCAAGACCCATCTCATCGGCAAGAATGGCGTTCTTTTGATCGTACCATTTGTAGTAGAGCCAGTTGAGCCCCTCCAGTTGGTAGTTCATCAGTTCTCCGCCCACAAGATTGTCGGGCTGCTTCTCTCTCTCCAACATGGCAAACGGTGTGCTACGCACTTTGTCGAGGCGTACCTTGAGCGCACTTTGTTTCGGGCACTTCACATAACGGCCCGCGACCCAATCGTTGTATGCAGTAACAAAGTCTAGCCATCTATCGCCATCTTCTGGCGTTGGGACGCTCTCCCATACGGCGTCTTCATATCCGAGACCTTTGTACTTGATAAGAGCCTGATCCACCTCTTTAATACGAGCCTTGTCAATTTCCTCGCTACGGATCTCCACATAGCTGGTGTATTTGATGTCGAGCACGATATCGATGCGGAGGTACTCCTCAGGAATGGCGTCTTCAGTGTGCATTTTGGGACCTTCTTCGCGTTTGAAGAAGGCTTTTCGCTGGACTCCGGCGGTAACACCCCAAGTCCAGGCTCCAGAGTGCCATGCTGCTTGAAAGTAAGATTTTTTTTCCCATTTGATGAGATACTGCTTGTCGTCTTCGCAGATTCGCTCGCAAGGTATGCCTAATCTATATGACTCGACATCCGACGGTCGCCAGGCGACGATTGCACCGACTTTCCGGTCGTTGGTTTCGTCGCACTCTTTACAAAGCCACTTTCTAGAGTATTCGCGAAATCGCTCATCCGCAAGCTCTTCGTCATCACGGTTGACGTCCATTGCATAGGGAGATATAGGTGGCAGGTGATGATAATGCCATGCTCGAGAGCATTTCGTGCATCGAAAGAGGACATTGTTGGCATTGTTGATCAATTCAGAACGAACGTCGACCACCGGATCATATCCGTCATTCTCTTCGCGTTCCTTCATCTCTTGTTGAGTTGTTTTACGACTCCTAAAAGGATGGCACGAGACGCCAGATACTGCACAGTCCTGGCACCGGGACAGGTCTGGGGCAGTCGCATCCTTCATCTTGTAGAAGCCGATGCATCGCTTGCACTGCAATACAAAGTCCTCGTCGCCAATCTTTGTCACAAGATGATCACGAGTAGATCGATTGCCAAGACAGTTCTTGTGGTACGCAAATGAACACCCTTGACAATAGATCAGGGGTGCAACGTTGGGCCCATCAAAGCACACTTCGCAGCCTTCTGCATGGCGCCCGCGGAAGGTGTGACTTCGGGGAAGTTTTGCGAACACCTCGCGGACGACTGATACCTTCTGGGCAGCCACTTTTGGCTCTGAATCCGATCGGTATATGTCATCCATGCCCGCTTCCCGCATATTTTTTGTTGCTCGTGTTGCCCGATCAGACTGTCGCTGGCCTACACGAGGGTCCTTTTCCGGATGGGCAGTGCGCAAAGACTGTCGTTTGCGCTTTCGGCCAGCGCCCAAATCAGAGCGAAGAATGTCAGTGTCCTCCTCTTCCTTGTCGTCTTCATCATAGCCCTGCACTTGTAGTGATTGTCTCGTTGAACGACGTGTGGGCTTTTGTACGCCTTTGCGATTTCGGCTTCTCTGCTTTCTACCGGAAACGTCGGAGTCCTCGTCGTCTGTGGATAGTGCAATCAGGCCGCTACTCAGTGAGTGGGCCCTGGAGGATCTCTGCGAGCGAGCGCCGCGCTTCAGTGTCCGTACGCGACCATGTCGCTGTGTGCGTGAGGCCGTTGCGGGCCCATGTTGGTCGTCGTCTTCCGAGGAAGAAATGGGAATCGTTGAGATATCCACAAAATCCTTGTTGGTGACTTTTGAAGATCTAGCCCGGAGTTTCATATCGTCGTCGTCGGCGCTCGATGTCACACTGGAATTGTTGTGCAGTTCAAATGCGTGCAGTGCTTCTGAGCCACCAGGTAGTAGGAGAAGCTCTTCGAAAGAGAGCTGGGTTTACTTAGTAAGATATCGAGAGGAATATGACGTGTAGAAAGGTGAAAAGGTGGGCAAGGAAGGATAGTGGCGGCAGGAATTAGACCGCTCCTATGTATTGTGAAAGGCATTTCTACCGCCTTTACCTGTGAGAGGGTGATTCTCAATTGACATCAAACTCACCTGCTCAACGCCATTTCCAGACAACTTGACTTGGTAGGCTATCTCCCCTTGTTTCCCAGAAATCTCCCGAACAATGCGTTCAACGTTCTCGCTTGGTTCATAGTATGTATATTCTGCTCTATTGATCCCGACTGGTGGTATACGTACACACTGCAGTCTACGTCTCACTGGGGATTTTTGGACGCGTAGAACAGATTCATTGTCAGATGACGAAACAGCTAGAGGAGATGAGGCTGCTCCCGAAGGCTGCCTTACGGCCTGCATTGGTGTGGAATTGGGCATGAACTTGGGTATAGTCTTTTTCTTGAAAGCGGCCATGAGCGCCGCGCTATCTTCGTCACTACTCATGATGGTGCACAAACGGTCACACAGGGTCTAGACTGTGCAGTGCGGTTATCGTAGAGTGATTCACTGGCGTGAATCGCACGATGCATATATTGAAGAGCGGGGGTGAGAGCGTTGGACGACGGAACCAAAAGAGTGTGTAGGCGGACAGCCGATGGGATTAACTCTCAGCGAACGTAGAGCGCGCAGCCCTAGGCACGTGATGACGCGTCTGCGCTAAAGCTTAGTGCAAACGCCTGGCTTGGCGGGGTGCAACTTTTTGACTTTGCGATAATTGGACCTAATACTGCAATACAAAATTGCCAATTCCACGGCCGCAACTGCCTATATTTCTTGTTATGACATACCCCTTTATCAATGGGAGCTCGCTATTTTGGACGCAGCGAATAATCCTGCCACGCACTTTTTGTCGCTATAAATCCATCACTGCTGCTATTGAGAGGGGTAGATCAGGCGGACCAGATCGACCCTTTAGACCGCGCTCACGAGCTTTTCAGGACGGTGAGGATGTCCGGCCAGTGAGGGCTCGTCATGAGGCGAGGTTTGAGCGATTTGGCTCTCCACGTGATAGTGCTTCCAGCAGATTTCAAGAAGACCGACCCAGGACTCGTACATCTTACCCACTCACCAAGGATCATGTGACATTCGACAATGGGCGTGGTCGAGATGGAGCAAACGGACGTTTTTCTGAACCACCGTTCTCTTATCGATCCGACACGAGAGGAGCACCACGGGAGCGATTTGGTAGAGAACAGTTTGCGAATACTCGAAATGTAGCAGATGGACATTCTTCTGAATCGCGGTTTTCTCGTCGCACAGACACAAGAGCAGCACCAAGGGAGCGACTTGGTGGAGGGCAGTCTAGCGAGGTGTCTGGGACAAAGAGTAGGACAGAGGTTCAAAGGAAATCGGTGCAGGGACCAGAATCACTTCCCTACACGACTGCCGCTTCAGAGTTCATCTACGGCCACTCAAGTGTCCTCGCTGCGATCAAAGCAAACCGACGTAAATTCTACAAGCTCTATGTACACTCTCGGGGCGCGAGCAGAGATGGGCTCATGTCTCAGATCCGAGCCCACAGGCTTTTCCCAATCACAGAAGAAGTAGGAGACGAGTATCTGCGTGCAATGGACAAGGCCAGCAGTGGACGACCACACAACGGCATAATACTAGAGTCATCGCCACTTCCTGTTCTGCCCATTAGAGAACTCAAGATGGGATCCATTCAAGATGAAAGTTTCAGTGTAGCGCTTGGCAGCCAGAGCGCTGAGGATGTACTTGTCAACGGCAAGCAGGAGCTATACACATACAGGTCAGGCGGCTGGAGATATCCACTAGTTCTGTACGTGGATGGAGTAGTAAGTGGACACTGGTCGTTGAATAGAGAATGGAAACTAACCAGATCAGGTTGACGAAGGCAATCTTGGGGCCATTGCACGGTCGGCCTATGTGTTAGGCGCAGATGCCATTGTGACCCCGACGCACCACACGGCAAACTGGAGCCACATTGCGGTCAAGGCCTCGGCAGGGGCCGCTGAAGCGATGCCGCTGTTCAAGGTTGGAGATCCCACAGATTTCCTGGGTAAAAGCTCTAGAGCAGGCTGGCGGATATACGCGAGCGATGCAGTACCGCGCACTCTATCTAGTAGTATGTCAAGTGCCGAAGCCACTGATATGGAGTATGGCGGGGTTGTATACACTCTGGCTCGCAGCACCAAACGGCTTCCCTCGGGCCACAGCCCTGTAGCAGAGCATCCTACGATAGTGATGATGGGGGCTGAGGGTACGGGGTTGAGGGCTAGCCTGTTGAATCTGGCGCATTATAAAGTGGGTATTCCGCATGGTCGCGGGGTCAACGAGATTGGTGTGGACAGTCTGAACGTTAGTGTTGCAGCCTCTATCCTCTGCTACGAGATGCTGCAGAGGCCAAAGGCGCAACCGAAGCGTGATGCAGAAGAGGCTCTCTTCTAGATGCTTTCTGTGCCCATGAATTGAGACGCCAACGGTTTGTAGCACGCAGGTTTTGTCTATCAGGGTCTCAACTAATGTTGTGGTCGGGGGTAATCAAGTAGGGGGAGGGGGACGTTGGCGTGGGAATGCTTGGCGGACGAGTGAGGAAGGCGCGGCCGTCGGCGAGATGCATGGTTATCAGTACATACGATATGCGCTGACTGCGACATGGCCCAATACGCGACGCGAGGCTCGCTTACAGCAGCAGGGCAATATAGATGGGCTGGGGAGGGCGCAAGAGACGAGGCATGATTGGAATCGGAGACGTTGAGCAGCAACGGCCTTAGCCAGCGAGATTTACGATGGCACTCAACAAGCGCGAAACCATGATCAACACAGCGCCCGCCCCACCGGTTTACCGGTGCTGCGTGTGGCGGACACGGTCATCGGTGGACATGTCTGGACGTGTGACCAAGTTTCTTATCTCTGAAGGCCAAACTGGGCCCAGGTGCAACCCATTAATCACACCAGGAGTGGTGTGCAAAGTTTTTTACAGGGCCGCAAGTGAAGCTGGCAAGGCGACAGGCAGTGCTAAGGACTGAGGGTGCATCGGCGATCGGAGAATTCAGCATCGAGTTTGACACCGCCATTTGACAATGCGATGGTTGCAGCATATCACCGCGGAGGACATTCCTGTATACGCGACAGGGGCGGGGGGAGGGACAAGATGGCCTGTGATGGAATACTAAGCGAGCAGAGCAAAGCAGGCTGGTTGGCTGGTTGGCTGGTGGTGCATCCATGGCGTGACTGGACCATGGGCGGCAGACGATGGTGGTACTGTATATGTACTATGTATGTATGTATGTGTGGAGGTGTAAGTGGTGTAGTTGCATATTAGCGTACATATATGGTAAGTAGTATAGTGTGCATGTGCATGCAATGGACTTGGGCCTTTGATTCTTTTCTTTTCTTTTCCTGCGCGTCGGGGGTGGAGCGGGGCAGGACAAGGCAGGGCAGGGCAGGGCAGGCCGAATGGCGTCCCCCTGTCGTCATGGCAAGAATCAATCGTGGTGCTAGCGCGACAACGACAAAAGCCCTGCTCTGATCACTCATGGCTCGTTTCAACCCTCCATGACCGGTGCCGTCATCATCATCATTATGCTGTGCTTCGCCCTCGTCCTCTTCTAGGCCCCCGGCTTCATCCGTCTTCTGCGCCTTCCCCCGCATCCTCTGCACGCGCCGTACCCACGCCACTACCACGCTTGCAACCCTTTTGCTTTGGTCTCTTGTCTGCGCTTTTTATCCACTACTTCAAATCGCGCACTCCCATCCCACTCCCGCCTACCTTTAAGGCCTCCGCTACGAGCCCTCAACGCCACACCCTCGACTCCTCGACACATCTACTCCCACCATGACGCGAAGAACAGTCTACGCCGCCGGCCTCGTCCTCACCTTGGCCTGTATGCACCACACACCCCGTCTTGAAATGCGCTCATCAAGGGACTAACTTATCCCAGGCACCATCATGACCATTGCAAGTATCTCGATGCCGCGCTGGGTCAGTTACAGCCCCAACGGCGAGCGCGAATACTCCTATGGCCTCCACACTCGCTGCTCTGCCATCACAGGCACCTGTGTTTCCTTTCCCAAGTCGAGCGACTGCACAAAAGATCCCTCCTTTTGCAACATGTGGCGCACTGTTGGCTTCCTGACCTCCTTTGGTGTTGTCGTTGAGCTTTGCGCCATCGTCGCTTTTGTCGTCATCATTTCTGGTGGTGTCCAGCGCAGGGCCGCTGGCTGGCAAGTTGCTGTCGGTGTCTTGTCCTTTAGTGCCATTGTCCAGTGCGCTGGCATGGCTATAGTGGTATGTTTCTTTTTGTCTCAAGACGCTAAACCCACCACCTAACAACACTTGCCAGGCTTTCCTCTTTGACCATGACGATCGCTTCTGGAACGGCTGGCATCTCGATCTCTCGTGGTCTCTGTGCACTGCCAGCTGGACCATCCTCATCCTGACATCTATTGGCATTGCCGCTTCCGCCTTTTACCTGCCTGCCGAGGGCGACTACGAACTCATTCCCGAAGACTACTACGGTCCTCCAGACGATCGGTGAGCGCCCTCGCTTTCCATAGCCATAACATGTGCGCATGTGGACTGTTTTAATTGTGGGTTAGGCTTCTTTCGCGCATTTCGGCTTGGGACAACGGTTTCAAGGGCCCAGACTCCGGAATGCAGTACAGCTATCAGCGGGATCAGGATAGCATGAGTGACGTCGTCAGCATCGCCGCCAGTAGCATTGCTGCCAGCCATAGACGGGAAAGTGATGTTCGGAAATAAACAAATAGATGCAGCACGAGGACCGCGGTACACCTACGGGCCACGCATACCATGACCCGCGATATACGTAATGTGGATGGAACCGGTGTTTGGGAGACGGAGGCATATTTTTTACCTTTTGGCGTCAATTTGATAGCTCGGCGGGATTCTGTGGCGTGGATTGTTATTGATTTCGACGATACCCCTGCCATCCACTGGTGGTTGGGCAGTGTAACTTTTGGCTGAAGTTGATGTAATTACCCAGAATTCGAGAATTGAAGCAATACCAACTGATTTCCCAGTGGTGGTTGCCAGTGACCAGGATTGACCCAACCCCAAACAAAGGTACCAATGGACAATGCAGGTCTCGTTTAATTAATAAATCGAGCATTGACGAGTAAGCAGATGCATGCGCGAGGTGAACGCACATATGTACATACATATTAATTTTGCGGGGATGGAACCACTTTAGCGCCACCATAGGGCTGGCCTTAGCGAAGTGTTCGCACATCTCCAATTCGCGACAACGACGACGGCGTCTAACTCAACAATCGCGTAACGGAATGTAAGAAACTGCCCTGTGCCTGCCTGGAATTCGTCACTTCCAATGATGGTCTAAACTAACAATTTCAGCAGAATCTCACCAAATCCACAATTTCGCACACAATGGCCGACCAAAAGGCACTAAAGTACTACCCTGCTGAGGAGGAGGCGCAGATGAAGAAGGTATGTGGAATTTCTTGCAGGTGAAATCGTGGTATTTGGGAAGATGAACAAGAAGAAGAGACACGAGAAAATAGCCAATTGAACTAGAAACAGGCGCACAAAACTACATAAACTAACAAGATCTGACTATAAGGCGCGCAAAACCGCACACCCGACCAAATACCGCGACTCGCTCGCCCCCGGAACCGTCTTGATCCTCCTCTCAGGCCGCTTCCGCGGCAAGCGCGTCGTGCTCCTACGCCAACTCGACCAGGGCGTCCTCCTCATTACCGGTCCCTTCAAATCCAACGGCGTCCCTCTACGCCGCGTGAACCACCGCTACGTCATTGCCACCTCGACCGTCGTCGACATCTCCGCTGTAGACACCGAAGTCGTTTCGCGCGTATCCAAGGACGAGTACTGGGCACGTGAGAAGAAGGACGAGGACGAGTTCTTTAAAGAGGGGAGTGAGACGCCGGCTAAGAAGGAAGTTGATCCTCAGCGGATTGAAGACCAGAAGGCCGTGGATAAGAGCATCATGGCTAGTATCAAGAAGACACCTGATCTGGAGGCTTACTTGAGCGCAAGCTTCAGCCTCCGGGGTAACGAGAGACCGCATGAGATGGTTTTCTAAAGGCGAAGTAGAGGGAAAGGAGAGGATGGTAATGAGATGACGAGTCCATGTGGTTTTTGGGACATGAATATGAAGAAAGGAAAAATTCAGGGCTTGCCTTTTGCTTGAAGAAAGAGTATGTTCGATTTGAAACGGGGAATATGGAGGAAAAAGTGATTTTAAGGCGACAGAGCACGACTGAATGCCTTGTTCGACTGCAAGTAGCGGCAAAAAGGCACGGTTTCATATGTATATGAGATACCCATGAAATAAAACTACATGAATACAGATACAAGAACGACAAGCTGCATATTCTTGCTACATTTGGTAAGAATATGGTATTCCAAGTCCGGTCCACTCCCTCTTCCAAAGCATCCATTTTCCTGCCCACACCATTCAAGAGGGAAAAAGAAACAGCCATTCAAACAGTAACAGGACTCTCCAGCGCCTTCTCAACCGTAACCTTGGTCTCCCCGTCATAAAACCTCAGCGCCTCCCTCGCCTCCGCAGCCTCCTGCAGCATAACCTCCTTAATCCTCTCCGACCTCGGTACAAACCTCACCTTGAACGGCTCAGGCCGCATGTTCTCGCTCTTCGTATAGGCAAAGATATCAAGCTTGACTTGATTTCCCTATCCAGAATAGTCACATTAGTTCCTCTTCGACATATGGGAAGGCCAAAAAAGTGAATTGCACAAGGGGGGGGGGGGGGGGGTTTATATTTCTTACATTCTCATCCAACCCAGGTAAGATGTCAAACGCCCATATCATTCTCGCCATTGAATATAGTAATCCTTGCTCTGCAAGCGGTTGTCCGCTACATCGGCGTCGCCCCCATCCAAACGGATTCATACCGTATTTATTCGGATACGGCATCTTTGCACTGCCCTCGCCATCTAAAAACCGCTCAGGGAGAAAGTTATCGGGGTCGGGGAAGTCGCGTGGGTGCCGGTGGATGGCCCAGAGGTTGGCGGTGAAGTTTGTGCCGGCGGGGAAGTGGTAGCCGTTGTAGTCGACGGGTTTGGTGTTTGCGTGGGGGATTCCTGCGAGGACGGTGACGGTGCGCCAGCGGAGGGTTTCTTTGACGAGGGCAATAAGGTAGGGGATTTTTTGGGCGTCGATGTCGGTCCAGCTTGGGGAGCGATCGTGACCGATTACTGCGTCCATTTCTGCGTGGGCTTTGGCTTGGATGCGGGGGAAGTAGGCCATGGCGAGGATGCAGGAGAGCATTGTGCTGCTGGTTGTGTCGACGCCGCCGCCGATGATGAGGCTGGTTAGGCCGGCGGCTTCAACGTCCGAAAGGTGGTGCTTGTGCTGTGCTTCTAGCACGTATTTTGCAAAGTTGTCGCGTTTGGCTTCGGCGCCTTCTTGGGTGAGAAGATAGAAGTAGCGTGACATTGTCGCGGATCCCGAACGCAGTTTGGAGGGGAGTTCGTAGAGCCATGCCGGGGCATGGAGGAGCAAGGGGATTGCTTCCATGATGAATACACCAGGGATCACATAGTCTACGGCTTCCATGAAGGCCAGTGCCAGCTGTGCAACGTAGTCATTCTTTCGGTCGATGCGTCGTCCCCAGCCGATGATGGATGCTACGGAGACTGAGTACCGTTCAATCGACAGTTCGAAGTCGTTTGAATCGAGGAAAAAGTCACGGATCAGAAGTGCCGATTCAGCCGCTTGGAAATCACGATAGTTTCGAACTGCTTGGGTGCCGACCGCGGTATGCTAAGTTGTGTTGCGTCAACCTCTTGTTCACACTTGACTTAGTTATCCATGATTCATGAAAACAAATTTACCATAAGTCTCCTATGCAATCTCCACCTGTCCCCGTATTCCAGATTCGTCAGACTAGTCTCAGTCGCATTAATCGCATCGCCCATGACGACAAATCTCGGGCGACTTGAGAAAATATCTGATCGCTTCTCCAGCAGGTCCGACGCAACCCATGTATCGCTCAGAATGATCCGCGGCGAACGGCCAATCCACAACGTCAACATTGGGGAATCATAGTACTTTGCCCATTTCTCCCATTCTATCCATGGCTTGACGGAAGGCGTCTGGAAGTGGTTTCCTACGATAGGCCAGGGAAATGGCCCGGGAGGGAGGTGACGCCGCTGCCAGAGCATGTAGCCATAGTCGAGTACGAGTCCAAGGAGGATAGTCAATGTCAAGATCTGTATCATTGTTATTTTTATTCAAGTCAAATTGAACAGTGAATTTTACAATCCCCTTAAGAAAAAGGGGCAGTTTTACTACTACCTATATATTACATTAGAGACATGATGCACAGATGGCTCCGCAGCCAAGCACAACCTCCGCATATTGGAGATACACAGAAGGGCCGTTCCTAACTTCTGAGAAGAGGGATTTGGGGAAAGAATGTGGGGTTTGGTGGGGTAGGTTGCGGGGAACTAATGCTTGGACGTGAGTCGGCGCATCTACTGTATGTACTCGCCGCTATGAAAACACAGTAGCAGCGCCCCACACAACGGTGTACTCGAGGTTTACATGGTTTCTAAAACTCTGAGGTATATGTGCGCTCTACATATGACTTTATATATGTTGGAGGGAGAATACCGACTAGCGTACTGATACATTGACTGATAATGTGATTGAACTTAAGCTAATGTAGGATCACATGGATAGCCTTGCAAGATCGTTGTCAGCTTACCGATACTACTAGCCACGCCATTATCTGTAACTACCTATTCAAAGTCTGATAAACTAGATTTTGAATCGATCATGAGTGGAAACATACTAGGTGTGATATTTCATGGCCTTTTGCCATCGTGAGCAACTAGCCTGTCGCATAGGTTCCGTACGGTCGGCCAATACACGTCACTCACTGTGCTGAACCACTCCTTATAAACCCAAGCAACAGGCTTTGCATCATGTTGATTTCTATCGTAAAGTACGTTGGCTGAGACATATTCCCTGCTAATGGGTAACCAAAAGATAAGTCATGTTAAGCGAGGACATGCACGTACAGTCATTGTAGTTAAGAGACTAGCTTCAGAAGGTATAGGATGTATTAAGAGAATGTAATTATCGCTTTGTGCTTTCAATGAATGTAACCATCGTTCTATGCTCTTAAGGAATGTAATTACCATTCTACGCTTTTAAGGAATGTTATTACCACTCAAGTCTATCCGCATTCATCATGAATTATTACCAACAGAGAACCAACTCCTTCTCGCATCTTGACATTATATCCATCATTCGTTGTGAATACCATCACCCACATCCTAGACAAACACCCTCGTAACATTGACCGCAACACAGCTCGGGTTGTCGGGCTTGTCTGAACCCAAGTTCCAAGCAAGGTTCTTGTAGTTGTAGCTGCCGTAGAAAGTCTCGCATGCGTACCAGCGGTAAAATTGCTCGTATTTGCCCGTGCCGTTGCTGCCGCGAACGTAGGCTTGGATAGCTAAATCGTCTTGGGAATCGAACGTCACCAGTGTGGGGTTGTCGCTGCCTGGGCTGATGATGGGGACGGCTAGGGAAGAGATGGGATCATATTGAAACGCCGCCGAAGATGAAACATTGAAGGCGCTAGTCGGGAGTATCCACGTCAGGATTCCAGGAACCCCAAATGATTCATCTGGTGCAGAAGAGTAGATGGAGGTGTTGAAGTAGAACTCTGCACCAGGGATAGGGGTAGGGCTACTGCCAAAGTTTCCGTTACTAAGGCAGAGTGACTCCAGGGCTGCACCGACGTGGCAGGCACTCAGTGTGTCGTTAACTTTTCCATCTTCGGACTGTACAACAAGGTGAAAGGGCTTGGAAGTGATATTGTAGAACGGTTCCGAGGCTTGTGAACAGTCTTGTGCGCTGGCAATAGCAGCCACCGCAAGAGACAAGAGGATTGAGGGGGCCTTCATGCTGTTATTAATAGAGTAAGGTCGTAGTTTGTATCGGTTAATGTCGGAATTGATTGTGTGAGTTTTGCTCGAGTAGACTGGGGATGTTAGGTGATGTTGGTGATATTGGTGAGGCTACAATTTTCCGGGCAGGATGACGAACTTTATATTGACGGTCGTCCTTTGTGAGTTCTAAATGAGGACGGCCTCAACGTCACTTTCCAGATTAGGTTCCACGGTGCATAACGGCCACATGTGTGGCGGAAATAGCAGTCAGCAAACAAGCCTTTAACGTTCGGTTAGCCGGTGATGCCGGTGGTGCCACACCCACATTACCCCTCCAGGCTGTTGTATCTGGGCACCGATTGTTCCAATACAACTAGAGCACATTGCAGCCGGATCAGGATAATCATAAATGATGCCGCCACGTTAGCGAGCGAGGCCCCCCAGCCGCGGTAGGCTCTGCATAGTGTGAGGGTGCAGTCTCGTTCGTGTCTGCAGCATGGGATCTGCTGCCACTACAAAATCAATAGTTCACAACCAGCCCTGCATGGAGAAAATAAGCAATTACGCCGAGAGACTGTTGGTCGACTTGCGACGGTTGCAATATGGGTGGTGGTGGAGGTGCTGTGTTTGGTGATGATTAAGCCGGTACGAGATGAATGTAACGATTGCGTGCAGTGTGCTGATGATTCAATACTCTCATGCAATACGTTCCTGATGATTGCAACGTTTGTATACGAAGAGATACAAGGCTTTCGGGTGTACAAGGGAGCACAAGGGAGCACAAGGACATCTCGCAACCATCCCAGATGGTGAATGACGCAACAAGACTGGTATAGGCTGGCCCGAACGCAATCAACAGACCGATGCGCTAACCCAGACTTCGGCTCGTCACGCTCGGTGCGCGTCTCGTGACCTGCCCGCACTAACAACACCACCTAGCATGGTGGACGCAAGGTTTGACGATCTCCAGCTTTTCCGTTTGGGTGATCCACCTATGCTCTGAAACGTCCTGCTGGTCCGATACTGACTTTACAAAGACCGTGCGCTTCTCTAGCAAGAATAAATAAAAGTATCATAATATTGCTCTAGAAAGTAAAAGAGCGTTCAAAGTACTAAGATGCATATGCAAGGTACAGGATGATGCAGTAGTTCAACCGACAAATGTCAGCGTGAGAGCGTCACCAAGGCACATATCAACTCTATCTCTTCGTCAAACAATCACATCCGCCTTCATTCACTCTTACAGCAAGACACGACACTTCGTACAATCAAACTTGAACTCGAGTCGTCCATCACACTACGTACTGGTGTCTGACTGCGCCATCTTACTGTATTTCCACCACAGGACATTTTCCTGTTGAGAAAACCTAGACTGTGTCAGATACCAGTATATCCACGTAAGTCCGCGGAAAGTGCCATCAGTTCTGACACCGCTCACAGCAGGGTGCTCAAAAGGGCGTGCTGAGTCTGTGCGAGGCCCCCGTAGCTATAAGATGTCGCAGTTGTCCGTATTAGCATCATTCCAGCACCGCCTAAGAGTAGCACCTACATGCAGTTGTAGGCATTATTTGCGAATCCAACGTCTTCTCACAAGTACTTCGCTGACTACCTGCAACTTATACAAAAAAGCACAAGTATAGTTAGCGTCATGCCGTATACCTTGGTGTGTTAGTGCCGTTATGTCAACTACATAGTGTGTACTGCCTTATTGTCTACCCCTTTACTCTAAGCACAAGCCAGGAACCAGTATAAGGAAGAAGATCTGAAGCAACGACCAATACCTAATATTCCGTCTTATAATAACTATCTCCCAAGCTCCCTTGAATGGACCTGTCCCTTTTAGCTACAAGCGAAGGGAATCTGGTGTGGCTCTGCCACGTGAGCTATGCGTGGTAATTTTTTTGGAGTAACCGAACATATGCATGTGTATTGCAAGTATGTAAGCTACCCACAACCAACAAGCTAAACAGTCTAAACAGTCAGGCAGTGGTCTTGGCCGGGGTTAATGATGCATTTAGCGCGGTGGGACAGCGTACCCACGTGTCCCGTATCCGGGCGGGGTCGTGGTGAAACCATGTCCAAGAATGTTGAGCCGCTCTGACATACACTCGGTTCACTCTCCAGCCTTGTTGAAATCGAAAGGAACGTGTCCGAGGAGCATGAAAGGATCTGCTGCTTTGCCGAGTACATGAAATGATGACCAGCCAGCTCTGTCGGGAAGGAAACAAGCACGATGCAAGGTCGCTTGTTGTACCAATGACCCGGTGGCTTATGCAGGGATAGCCAGTCCCCACAGCACGTGCCGGCCTGCCAAGGCGCCAGCAAGATCGTCGTCATATGTTGCTAGTCGTCACCTCTCGTCGAAGATTCTGGTTTCTCGTCTTGCTACAAAAAATCACGCCCACACCATTTCTTACAATCAATCTAGCGCCGCTGCAAATACTCATAATCTACTGCTTCACGCTGCAGCTGCTAAGCCCCTCAAGAATTGGTGATGACACGCACACGGACCATTTAAGCTTTGCAAACCCTTTCATTGGCTACTGTTTCATCAAGTGCACCTCACCGCCAGATTTAAGCAGCCGACGCACATCTCTTATAAATTCCCCAAAGTCTACATTCCACCTGCTCCGGCATTGCTGTGTTCATTCAAAATCCACCAGCCATGACTGACACACCCCAGACGACTGCGGGCGCCAACCCGCACGAGGCAAAGGTGCTCGAGCGACATTTGGACCCCAGCTACGACTTTTCGGAATTCGACCCAGCAACACCAGCACAGGAGGAGGGCCAAGGAAGCTCTTCCAACTCTACCGACCGTCAGATGCCAGAATCCTCGTTGCGCCTACAAGGTGGCGATATCCACCGTGATCTGTACAAGATTGCGGCGCAGAACAGACGCGAAAAGTTGCATAAACGAGCAGCAACCTTTTCAGAGCCTATTTACTTTGGCGATCAACGCCGCCCCTCTAACTCTACCGTTGATCACGATGAGCTTCCAGTCCGGGATCAGCTCTTGCCAGGTGGACTAAGACGACAGTATCTGCAACGGCAAAGCAAGCGTGTCAGCTACATTTCGGAACCTGTTACGCGAAACTTCATTTCCTTCCTCGCTCTCTATGGCCAATTCGCTGGTGAAGATCTTGAAGAGTCAGACGACGATTCTGCGCTAACGGACGAGGAGGAGGCCCAAGGTGAACGTAGACCGTTGTTGGGACGTCGCCAGAGCTCGAGGAAGCTGAGAGCCCAAGGTGATGCCAACCAAACAAAGACCTTTTTCACCCTCCTCAAGGCCTTCATCGGTACCGGAATCATGTTTCTGCCCAAGGCTTTTAAGAACGGTGGAATGCTGTTTTCAAGCATTACCATGATCATGGTATCTGCCATCACAGCTCTATGTTTTGAACTGCTGCTGGCAACGAGGAAGCGTTATGGGGGTGGTGGTTATGGTGACCTGGGTAGCATTGTTGTTGGCCCAAGGTTTCGCGCCCTTATTCTGGTCTCCATCACCCTCTCCCAAATCGGCTTTGTCTGCGCTGGTCTCATCTTTACCGCAGACAATCTAGCGTCCTTTCTCGACGCCGTCACTCGTGACAAAGCACCCTTATCTACGAACCAACTTATCCTCATCCAGGTTGCCGTTTTGATCCCTATGTCATTCATTCGGAACATATCCAAACTGGGTCCTGCGGCACTGCTTGCCGACGTTTTCATTCTTATCGGCCTGACCTATATTTACTGGTACGACATCTCATGGATCTCCAAGATGGGCGGCTTCCATCCTTCTATTGAGCTTTTCAACCCACGCGACTTTACCTTGACCATTGGCTCGGCAATCTTTACCTTTGAGGGCATCGGTCTTATTCTTCCCATCCAATCGAGCATGAAAGAGCCCGAGCACTTCAGCAAGCTACTATACATTGTCATGATTATTATCACAGTCATCTTTACCTCGGTAGGCGTGCTTTGCTACGGTACTTTTGGTGAACACGTCTCTGTCGAGGTCATCACCAACTTCCCGCAGAGTAGCAAACTTGTCAACGCTGTCCAGTTTCTCTACTCCATGGCCGTTCTTGTTGGCACTCCTGTCCAACTCTTCCCTGCCATGCGTAACATTGAGCTCAAGATTTTCGGTCGCGCATCCGGCAAGCAGAGCACCATGACCAAGTGGAAGAAGAACGCTTTCAGAACCGTGCTTGTCATTGTTTGCGGTCTCATTTCTATTCTAGGAGCTAGCGATCTCGACAAGTTTGTTGCTCTTATTGGCAGCTTCGCCTGCGTGCCATTGGTGTACATTTATCCCGCCTACCTACACTACAAGGGTGTGGCAAACCGCCCTTGGGAGAAGTTTGGCGACATTACCATGATGATTGTTGGGCTTGTTGCCATGGTGTACACTACCAGTATTACGATTGCGAGATGGTCTGAGACTTGAGGGTAGAAGACGAAGGTGAAGAAAAAGGCGTAGAGAGAAGACGAAGCTGAAGAGGAATCAAAACACACGATCGATTTTAGACGATATATCACTGTTGCATAGTACGTTTATCACACAATTGGCGTTCTTTTTCTTGGTTTTGGCTCGGAAAATGGAGAGGAATTGTTGCATGCGGTTTGCGATTTTGAGCGTGCATTTACATTTCGTTTTGTCATAAAGTACATACAGTAATGTCATGAAGAGAGAAAAAAAACAAAGGAAAGAATGACAGCTTGTAGTTCAGGATCTTATTCGAAGTGCGAACACAAGACCACGTAAACGTACAGTTATGAGGATATGAATGGAAAAAAATGAATACTACGCACATCCATCCTCCCCAACCAACATCTCCATGTGCGTAGTCCTCCACACCCCATCCTCCTCCTCAACACACATAATGCCAAACCCATGCTTCTCCCAAAAAGCAATGGCACCAGGCAAAAAAGGATGTGTATGCAAATACAATCTCCCTACCCCATCTTGCACCGCGCGCCGCTTCAGCGCACACACTAGCGCAGACGCGAGTCCACAGCGCCGGAACGGCGGCAGCACAAAGAGCCGCACTACCTCTACGGTGCGGCGGGCATCGGAGTAAGGCGGGAAGTGTGTGAAGCGGTGGTGATACGGGACAAAGCCGATTGTAGCTATGATTTCTTTTTCATCTTGATCTTTTGATTCCGATTGCGTGTGTGCCGATTCGTTGGTTGCGAAGAGAAAACAGCCTGATTGGATCCAGCGGGCGACTTCATCGTCGCGCTGAGCGCAGAGCTGCGGGAACATTTCGCGGCGCGCTTCTTTGATGAAGCGCACGACTTGGGGTGTGGTTGTGTGCGTCACGGGTTGGATCTGCCAGCATGGTGTTGGCGTTGGTACTGGTCGTGTGGCTGGAGATTGGGACATGGTGGTCGCTAGTATGGTCGGATCTGTATGTAAGCCAAGGTATAGTAACAAGGCTGGCCAACAAGGTGAAAGCGTTTTGATCGACTAGCACGAATACGGCAATGCCAAGTCCTGGGAGAAGTTCCTGACCACTAGAAGGAAAGAAGAGGCTTGGTGATTTTGGAAGTTTTCTTCATATTTTCTTTGTCTTTCTACTGCTTCTTTTTTTCCCCTATCGTTCTACTTTATACATGATCTCATCAAATAGACAGCATTGCATAGTGCATATCAATCATGTACACTGTCAGGCTGCAAGCGCTTCCCTTAACCATGGATAAATTTGATATCATCTCCAGCACCTAGAATCCCATATCCCCACTAGTCCGTGATTTTGGAGCCGTCTCAGAACTCTATGAGCATGGCCTCAGCTGCACCTCCATTGGGATCAGGTCCTTCATGGTGTTGTTCACCACCGAAATTCTCATTCGGCGTGATCCAATCCTTAACATTCGGATCGATCCCATGGTGTGAAGAAGGCATTTTGCAATATGAAACTCTGCGTTTCTTGCACTCTTTGTAGTGACACATGTGACCTCTCATGCAGAATGCATCGCGACAGCTTCCGGCATTGCGGCATGGAAGTGCTCTCATTCGATATCGGAGACAATGACGTTCGTTGGCGCTAATCTGGCCATGATCGTATCGACATAGTCTAAGACTACATCCGTGGCCCACGTGGAACATAGCGCATAGCCTTCTCGTAGTAATGCAAGCATTATACTCGTTCCACTGGGCCTTGGTGGGTGCATCCATGTGCTTATCGATGCGATCGCCAGACGCGTTGATGAGTATGATTTCAGATGCACTGTTCCTAGGAAGAGAGACTGTTGGGGCGGGCGGCATATGTATCCAGCTGACCGTGGCTTTAGAGGCTCCTCGTTGGGAGCTTCCAGTGACGGAAGACATCGGGCTGGCATAGTTCTCAGACTGCTCGCTCTGTCGATATATCAGCAGTTTCCCGTATATGGTGTGGGGTGCATGAATTGCAGTCAAGTTACTCACTTCGAAGCCGTTGCGTGTTTCTTTCAAATCATTCGAGTCGGCCTCGTTCCCCCCGAAGGACTCAAAGATTTGCGGCAGTGTTACACTCCGTAGACCCAGATTAGTGAGACTAGTATCTTCACTGCCTCTCTGGACAAGCGTGATCTTCTTGGCAAACGAAATATGCTTCTTAAGTGTGCGCATATACTGTGCGCTGCCACTCGCGCAAAACAAAATCTGGTTGCAAGCAGGGTCCTTGATGTGCATCTCGAACAATCCTGCACTGTGGTCAGCTGTGGTTGATAGAGAAAAGCGGTATCATTTACCACAAATCTTGCGCTCGACAGCCTCATCGTCAGCTACATCAACGCAGTCGACAGAAACATGACCACGAGAGAAGCCGGCAGCAAACGCCCCAAGGCTACGTGGGAAGGCCGGTTTTCCGAAGCATCGATTTCGGGTAGCGTATTGATTTGCGGCTTCGACCGACAGCTTCTTAAGGTTGGCGTACACACAAATCTTCATGCGACACGCCTTTCTGCTAGATTGTTGCGTTATAAGGTACTCGGTGACCGCTTGTTTGAGCACTGCAGCGGCCTTCTCACCGCCGCTCTCGGTGCCGTGCAGATAGTTATCCTTGAACTACAAGCTGAGTTAGTAATCGGAAATTCGACAGCGCTATTGGATATACTTACGTTGTGACTATGTGCGTCCACCAGCACGAGATTATATGAGTCTACCACGGGCTCATACGCGTCCGGTATCACCAGGACGTCACTGACGGAACTACTCTTCAATGTATTATACTTGGCCAGCAGTCGGTGGTACTCGAGTTCGATCATGTCTGCACGGCTCGCCGTAGGAGTAGCCTGGGTGAGGTATCAGTAGCGCCAATGGATTATAGAGAGGATTTTAGTCACCGTAAGGTCCCTCAGAAGCTGTGCGGCATTCTCGTCGCCAAGAAAATCGGGAATATCTCCAGACATTGCGTTCGTTGTTTAGGGGTGCGGTATAGGAGAGATCAAGGTGGAGGGGGATTGGAGGACTAGCTTGTTTGGCCAATATATATGGCAGGAGCAGCTAAAGGCAGCAGTGTTTACATGACTGGACACGGGTGAATGCAAACGGAGTGCAACTGCCTGATGAAATGAAAACAACACTTGGTACATAGTGAACCTTCCTTTCATTATGCTTATTCATAACCAGGCAAGCTGATTCGTTTCACTGGCAGGACGAGATGCGACTTTCTTATGTTGAGTTCAGTAGCTGGTCACTATTGTGGGGGCTGCAGAGAGCAGTATGAGTGATGTTCTTTGGATTGATGGGCAATGTTGATGGAGTATGAAATTGGCACCAGCAAAGGGTCCGTACCAAGTCCCTTTGCTATCTTTGGAAGATGAGGGAGAACTTGGCACCTGTTTTGATTCTCAAAAAGAAGGATAGTTATCATAGTAATCTGATTGTACAAAGTCAAAGACGAGGACGTAGTCTGGCCCAAGCTTATCGATTACTGCGAATGCGACGGAATGTTCTTTTTTCAGTTCAGGGTACAAAACGGCTGTCAAACCCCTTCGACAAGCATGGTCCTGGAAGTTTGCATTGGCTTTCAATATTGTCGAGACCAGTGTGATTCCTGATGCAGCAAGTGTACATACTACGGCCTGGTACTGTTTATCGATACCACAACATTGACATTGCACAATCCGCAGAGCTGAGAGTATTACCCCAGTGAACAGGATCGCAGTAGGCTGATCGATAGGCCGAGGCCCAGAAGCCGTGACAAAGATAGCCTGGTGGTCAGTGTTCAATGGCTGCAGCTGCAGGCGATTCCCGACGTGTGACAGTGTCGGAGGGACAGCCAAATACAAAAGTCATCGCGTCTCCGCCTTCCACAAGAGGAACCAGAATACGCGATCGAAGCCATTTTCTCAAAGCCCATAAAGACAACGGTTGTTATGCAGAATCCAAGTCGGCCATGTCACCCCGCGACACCATGGCCTGAAAAGGGAGAAAGCGGGCTTGGCAGCGCTCGGGCCAGCGCGATGTGCGGCCCACGCCGATTGTTTGGACTCGTCCCGCGTCACAACATTGAAGGCTCAACACACCCACGTCCAGACGACCTTCCCCCCCTCAGGATAGCTTTTTTAGCCTTTGGCTCAGCTACAATTGATTAGGACCACTTTGTATAGACATGTCTAGCTAGCCTAGCCCGCCCATTACCTTCACCCGGAACGCGACTGCCACCATCGCGACGCGCTTCATTCAACCTTAACACTTACCCAAAGACATATTCGACATGACTACACGCACCAAAGCACCCACGATCGGGTCCGCCGGATGGATCCTAGAGGAGCGCAACCAGGCAAACACGCTCGTCGCGCAGGAACTCGAGGATTTCGGCTTCTCTGTGCGCAATGAGCTTGAATGGCTTAACGAGCACATGTTCGACATACTCGCCAGCGACAGGCAGTACGTCGTGTCCCCCGTGCAAGCGTGCGTCCCATGCTGACCTACTGCTAGACCTAACCTTGATGTCTTCAAGACGCCTGGCAAACTGCGCGGCAAGACGCCTCGTACAGCGCGCAAGAAGGTGGCCGATCGACAGGCATGTTTCTTCCCTGTGCCTTTTGGTCTTGTATACTGACAGCAGACAGCCGCTTGCCAGCATCCAGTCCGCAAACCTACAGCAAATCCTGAGCCCGGCAGAACAGAGCCTGAGAAATGTAAAGGCTAGATTCCAGATTGCCGAGGACGCGGCCAAAACGGTTCGACACTCGCCCGCGGCCCGCACGCCAATCGCACGACAGCTCTTCTCCAAGCCGGAAAGCGCTGGCAAAGAAAACGTAGACAGCATCCACCATGCTCCGCTCTTTGAAAAGCAACAAGCACATGCTATCGCAGCACTGCGGAGCCCTATTCAGTCCACCCAAGATACAGTCGAGTCTTCGCAAGCCAGCGACGTCTTTTCACCCATGCAGTCACAGGAGACCCAGCCCACACAGCCCACTAATTCCTTCAGGCACTCGATAGAAGCAAAACATACAAGACGCGACACAGGCGATTCCTTCGTCTCGGCGAATGAAGGCTTCTCCAGCAAGGATGCATCCAAGGAGGACTCGCATGCAAATGATGTTAGTGTCATGGATGTTGACGGCGAGCACTCACGCTCCGATGCCCAGGATACCATGCTGCATCACGACATTTCCGATGCAGAGGACGCCGACATGGAAGAGATGCACGAATCTCCCGACCCACCACGCGCTGTTTCCGAGCAGTACAGCATCTCTGCCGAAACCCATGACGCGTTCGACACGGCCAACAACCGCGCACTCATGCCAGAACCCAAGTATCTTGCGCCAGAGCAATCCACAACACCCGCCGGTCTTCCACCTGCCCTTCTGGAAGCTAACGTTCACGATGACACTGTCCTTCACCACGATATTGACGATCAAATGGACGTTGACGAAGAGGATGATGTGCGCTCCCCTTCGGACAACTCCAGCCCAGTAAAGCCGCTTGTTAGGAAGAGCAGCCTTACGTTTTCATCTCTTCCTGCGCGTGAGCCATTGCTCCCCAAGAAGAGTATGGGCAATCGCGTGTCGCGTACAAGCCATATTGATCAAAACAAAGCCCGCAACAGCCACATGGCAAGGTTTACTGGAGGCAAGAGTCTGGGAGGATCGCAAATTGCTTACCCTGCTGAGATGCATCACGATGACGAGGACGAGGACATGGACGCTGACGCGGAGCGCCCAGAAGTTCCCAAAGAAGAATCTGAGTCTACCAAGGCTCACAACAAGACTTCCACTCAGCGTCTGTTCGAGCGCATCAACATGCTCAAGCAACAGAATGAAGCCCCTACGCGGATTAGCCAGAACATTGCTTCACAGCCTTCACAGCCACAGGGATTTTCGACGCAACCAAACGAGGAGGTTGCATCCACACAACTTTCCCAACTATCATACCCAAGCCTCCCACCACCAGAACCCACACAGGAAGAAGATGATGACGATGACTGGATATCACCAGTCCGGACAACAGCACCTGCGCCTAAATCAGTCAGACCTGTCTTTGGCAAAAACCACACTGCTGAGGCCCGCCCGTCTCCCCTCAGGCCTGTACCTGCAAGCCTTATTTCGGCCTCAAATCCAGATCTCACTGCGGATGCTGAGTCAACCACCCCTATTGGCTCTCCCACTAACAGGCGATACATGGATGCACCTCTGAGCGCCTCAAAGTCGAAGCTATACTCAGCGTTCCGGGCAGCAAAGGATAAGCTAATTGGATCAACTGCTACAAGCGCCCAAGCGAAGATGGATACCCTCAAGGAGAGCCCGGCAAGACCCAAGTTGCCCTCGCATGATTCATCAGACGATGCATTCAGTAGTCCCAGGCGTGCCGAGAGGCCGATTTCCATTTTCGATCACATGCGCTCGCCCTCCAAGGACTCTGACAACTCTAGCAAAAGCGGTAGCAGTCCCTCCAAGGGTGATGGCCGACGCACTCGCAGCTCCACTGAGCGGGAGAAGCAGAAGGAGAAGGAGACAAGAGAGAAGGAGGTTCGAGAGGCCAAACAGCAGCAACGTACAGAGGACAAGCTCAAGCAGATGCGTGAGAAGGAGCAGAGCAAGGCTGCCGCACATGCTCAGAAAGCCCGGGCTATGGGTGCAAAGACGCCAACCGCCATGTCGTCTCAATCAAGTCTCAGGCTGCCAACAGCCACGGCTAACATCAAGACTCCATCACAGGCGACTCAATCTGCCCAACCAGCCACACAACAACCGATACTTCGTCCTGGCATTCCCCGATCCAACACGGCGACTTCGAGAGAAGATGTCGACTCGGCGGAAGATATGCCACCGCCACCGCCACCAAAGAGCTTGCTACCGACTACCAAGCCGGCCAAGGCGCCTCTCCGAGAGCCCAGGAAACTGGCCAAACCGGCAACCAAGGAGACTATTCCCAAGGCAAAGGCGCCACAGAAGATTATGGTCAATCTCAAGAGCAGTCACTATGGCCAAGCGCCTCCACCGGCTCCACGCCCAGCTACGGCAGCTGCCAGGCCTATATCTGTAGCACCTCAAGCTGCTGGTAAGTCCACAGCTACGGGAAGGCAAACACCAGCCGGAACAACACGACCGGCTTCAGCTCTATCTACCAAGTCTGGACCTTCGTCCAAAACAGTACAGCCACTCGCTAAAGCACCAGCTCCTCGAGCAGCCCGACCTCAACCGCAGACTGTTGAGAAGCCCAAGGCTCCAGCATCACAACCTCCACGGCCTGACCTTGGCGCTGCACGACCTGTATCACGGATGCAGACGGTGCAAGATGCCAATCGTATCAACATACCCCCAGTCAACCCAGCTAAGCCGCCCCCTAAGCGACAGTTTCCTGGTGAGGGGGATGAAACTCTGCACCGACCAGCCAAACGTCCTTCACAACAAGCAAAGAACCTGAATCCGATTACACCAGCTCACGCGCAGTTTGCCAAGGGCAAGATTCCTTTTGCAGAACCTGCGCACCAATCACAGTCTCAGCCACCGCAAATACAATATCCTAACGGGGAAGACATCAAGCTTCCTGAGATCATGACGGACTCTGAAGACGAAGACTCTGATAACGAATTCGAGCCACCAAGCTGGGTCAACACGCCTAACCTCCGGGAAATGCTCAGCAATCAGCAGCTCATGGACCCCGAGCACATCTTTGGACCGATTGCGCCGCTGGAGATGGAGAAGGTGTTCCCCAACAAAGAGCGACACAAGCGGTTCCGTGAGCGAACGAGCAGTGCGTACTGGGCCAATGACGAGGTGACTGCCGAGGAGAAGCGCAAGGAACGCGAGGCGAGAGAGCGACTTGTACGGGATGGCGGGTGGACGTATAACCCATCGCCGCTTCCCAAGCAATCTGGATCTTCTCGTTAAATGGAGAGATGAGGGGGTTTTTTTTTTACGAAAAGAAGACCAATGGGGTGGATGGGGGTTTATGATGAACAGTGTTCTGTCTCTCTCTCCCACTCTCTCTCTCTCTCTCTCTGCCTTTGATTATTTTTGAAGCGGATTGTTGCGTTCTGTCTGTTTTTATTATATCAGCATGCTCCCCACCCCCCTTTGTGTTTTGAAGCGTTTACGGGGAATTGAAAGCATTGCATGTTTTTGCATATGGCCATGAAACGGGTGGAAAGGGTTCCGTTATGCATGAAAGTATCCTACTCGCGGCGTTTCTTTTTTGGGGGAAGGGTTCTTCTTCTTCTTCTTCTTTCACTTCTTCTTTTCTGATGGAACGAGTGCGGCTTATTACTTGTTTCTATCTACACTTTTTTTACTCTTTCTTGTTCGAGTAGTATATCATGGAATGAACGAACATGCTCCTTTATTTCTGCCGTTTATTCTTTGGTTTCTCGTTCTTCTATCTTTTTTTTGGAAGGGGGGGGAGGCGGCGGCAGTGGATGCGTACATAATGTGGGGGGCGGGCGATGGTGAAAGTGAATAGTGGGGGTTTGTTTGGTGTTTTTGACTTGGTGTTTATTAGTAGAGTATATACGGGATATTATGGCATATGGAACATTGGACATGTATAGGATCATAAAGACATCTAGGAAGTAATGCATGAATTCATCGATGTATAATCTGTAGTTGTGAGTAATGATTAAGTGAGTTTACATCATAGTCAACCCGGATGGGCGTTCTTGTTGGTGTTTTTATCTTCAACAAGTGTGAAATGAAAGTAATTTTTTGCTGTCGTGTCAATGAATTGAAAGATTTTTTTGTGAACATGGAGACAATAGCAATGAGTATCAGTGAAACTATGTATTAGCTATGGAAAGTCATGTGTAACTACGGTCGCTTAGAAAAATCATAGTATTGTAAAACACGCCCGCTGGTAAACAAAGTCATATGTATACTGGTATCCATAAAGCCCATCCAATTCGTAAAACCCTTGCCATAACCAACATCAGCATCCAGTGCGATGTTGTATCCATCATCGTGTTCCTATCATACAAGAGCCGGAATGCAAGCTCAGCTCAGCGAATGTGGTTGAAGTTCAGACACTGGTGGTGTCTGACCGCGTGTTCCAAGAGGCGTCTGAACACATTCTGCAGGCATTCTAGACCTGGCTCATGGCGGGGCCACGGCGGGCGCTACGGAGGTTGGCACCGCCGCCACGACCGTTCATAAGGTTGAAGGCGAGGGTAGCGACAAAAGCAGCCCATCCGAACCAGAGGAAGGCGGTGGTGGCCTGGGTTTGACGGCAGTTTTGCTCAGTGTTTGGTGAGCTGTTGAGGACGCTGTTGGAGTGCGTGTATACCTGAGCAGTGTCAGATTGAGCTCTCGAGCGAAATGGGCACAAAGAATACTTACAGAGTTGGAACAACTGTGGGCACCGATGTACGAGGGAAGTGCGACGGCGGCGCAGAAGCCAAAGATGACACTGAGGGCATCGAGTGCAATATCGACGACCGGGATACTGAACCTTTCGATGAAGGACGTAGGCAGGAAGTAGAGGAGAGTGAGCAGCCACCAGACGCCGACGAAGAGGGAATAGTTGATGATTGAGTGGGTTCCAGCCGTGGCACGCGCAATGTTGTTACCCATCAACGCAGTGACGATAACGGCGCAGATCAACTAGGTGGTGTTAATAAGGGGTTTTTTTTTTCATAGCGATAATGTGTGTACATACCTGCCAGGCGCGGAGGCCCATGGACAATGCCCTTGACACCATTTTTGGTGGTATATGTGTGTATGTATGTAAGTATTGGTAAAAAGGGCAGATGTGGGCGAGGTGCAGGATGCTGCTGGGATGCGGCGAGTAGGGTGAGCAAGGATTGGGTTCAGAGAAGATGTTTTTCTTGCAGTGGACGGTGGTGGGCTGAGGAAATATGTATCGCAGTCAGCGGCCCTGCAGCGTCATCGCAGACCCCTACGTCACTCCAGGGTCCTTCCGACGCAGCCTTTTCCGGGAACATCGGTACTTACACAGTAGGCGCTCACTAACCCCGTCGATCACAAAACGATGCTGCTGCAGGGTTGCAAAAAGGCGTCTGGGTGTGGATACTGTTGGATCGAGTGTGAAGTGGATTCTCAGAATGCCAGAGGGCGGGCTTGCGGCCTACATGTATCTTTTATCAGGCGTTGGGCGGGTGTTGTCAGCGTTGCTGCGCAACAGAAGTGGTGAGGATGCAGGTATAGCCAGGGATGCTCGCCATGCGCCATCAGCCACTGGACGACTGCACCGCCGCCCGACCTGTTCCTCCGAGCGAGAGCTACTGCACTCTTCGACGTAAACTTCTTCATCTATGACATGTGCTTTTGTCCAGACCCTCGACCGCCCCAATACCAAACCCCTCCTGTTGTCATAGTTCATGTCCAGTATTCCCCGCATCGACATGATCGTCATCGTTACGCACAGGTGTGGGTGCGCTGTCTCTGCACCTTGCTCATCAACGGGTTTGAAATGTCCACTGACGACTTGACCTGTATATTTGATAAAAACAAAACAAAACAAAAAAAGACGCAAGCCTAGTCGATTACACTTTCGCTGACTGCCGGTATTTCCGCTGCGGACATGTCAGACCCGCGTGCATTGTTTCGTGGCCCCGGCCTATTAGCCCGGTCAGGCCTATCACAGAGCCTGGCGCTTGTTGTCATAACCTTCATCATTCGCATTGTGTAAACACACTCAATGATCCTCTCTTCCTACAGCACATCCTCAAGCACCACATACAATTCAAAACTCGACAATTCAAAACCCGTCTCATTTACCAAACTATGTACAACCCGTATCTGTATTGCAAAGACAAGAATCTTGGTCTAGGCGACTTTTAAAGGCTGCTCGTCCAGACACCCGTCGCCGCTCCAGAGCGCGAGGGTGACGTAGACTGTTCATCTTCGACGTGTCTGGACAGAATGCGACAAAGCACTCCTGTCCACACTCCCTTGTGCCACTAAACAGGCTTCAAACGAGTGCAATCCTGTCGGAGCATATTTCTAATGCCACTGGAAGTGTATCATAACCTACTTGTTTGTCCGTAACTTCTCCATAGCTCTGAGCTAGCATAGGCCTTTGTCCAGTCCCCAAAGACAACGGAAATAGTGTCGCATTGTTGCATCAACCAAGATACAACATCTTGTTGCCTTACCTTCTATTGTCCGGCTCGGGCCTGGTATTGCTTCATACTCGATCCTGTCCAAGTCCAGTTGTTGTAGAATCAAAAGGCAATGCCATCATCCACTCGCCTTTCTCTTTGTGACCCGTTGGGGAACGTTGTTAATCGACTTTGTCTACATTATGTGAATCTCTTTGTTGTCCACGTTTTGCTCTTCGACATGACAGTGTGCTATCCCCAAATTTCTGCATCGTCCATCTTCGGTTTCGAGGCAAATTGAAGGCACGGTCCGACATCGCCCTGGTGTATGGAGGCAACCTTGATATCAGTCTATCATTTATACATACCGAAAGCTTAGCGACGCGTAGGCAAACTCGTGCAAATTCTCTCGTACAGTCGTTGCTCCCGTCATTGAGCTTGCATACCAGTGAATCGGGGAACAACATCATCCCGTCCACACTGGTGAGCTGCTATCTGCGTATATAGGAGAAGCTCTAATGGTTGACTCGATCGCGGAGGCGGCCACGAGGGTTGAGATTGTTGGTGATTTTAGCCAGAGGCGGATCTAACAAGCGCTGTCATGCAGTTAGTTGATACAAGCTTTGTCTCATCGTGCAATTTCGGATGGTGGTAGGGCAATGGACAAAGGAGTTGATGCAGTTCGAGTTAGAATAGCCGTGCGCAGACGACCAAAGGGCTTCGAGTAGCGGGGCAAAGTCGGTGCAGGAACAGTAGAGAATCCAGTAGTTCCAATGCAGGCCCAAGAGGAACGTGTGACTTGCCAAGACATTCAAAGGGCATCGATCTTGCCTGTCAAACTCGTAGTAACTGTTTACCCACATGCATCTCAATGCTCCCAGCAGTACCCGCTTGGTGGCTTCGATGATCTCCCGCTTTACCTGCCTAGCAACCGACCAAAGCGCTTGCAGCAACGAACGGAGAACCCCCCATCACCCACACTTCCAACACCTACCCCTTCCAACTCTACATTGTCAGAAAAAGGTAGAGGTCATTACATGTACCTACCCCGCCTTACATCCTCGAGTTTGTGGCAATCACCAAGAGGTTTTGACACCCTTACGGCGATCTAGTCCAGGTGATGATACCTCGAGCCCCGACTGCAAACTCGCCCCGCCTCCAAGACTACACCCACAACAGAACCACCAAGATTTTTTCTAAAGGTCGAGGTCCTTCTTGCTCTTAGATGAAGTTGCTGATGCTTGCTCTTTCTCTTATCTCCTGAGCTAAACTTCGCTGACCTCGACCGATTGCAATCTCCACGGGCAGCTAACAGACTTCTCAGAGCCACTCATACAGCATACAGCTACACGATTGAGCAACCTACACGTAGACGGACGCACCTTCAACAACAAGGATAAGCTCAAGCACCCCTCGGACGTCCTCTCCTGGCACTGCTTACTGTATGGGCGGGGCACCAATCAGCAATCACCGCCTTACAGATAGCCGTCAGTACGCGGAAAGCACACAAATCCGTTTGGTACTGCCAAGGATACCGTCGTAGAAGATACCACCTTGAACGCAAGAGACTACTTTGCTTAGGGATAGCGACACCGGAGATCCGGAAATCCTCGACAAAGGATACAAGAGGTGACATGTGATACACGCCTGCAGCCCTCTCTGCAACAATGCCATTGTTGAAAGTGCAAAAGGCCACCGTCTTTGTCGTAGTGGATCGACGGTTGTCGGGCCACTATGGCTCGTCGACAGCCCCGAACATGGCTCGATGCGGTCGCAGACAAGGTTTGTGTCAAGTCTCAGCCCGCGACAGACTAACGGTCAACGTGTCCAAAAAGAAAACAGCAGTACAGAATGGTTCAAGACTTGACAGGGACGGCAATTAGAAGCATTCTTTGCATCAGTCACATGCACTCCACGCGTGGCAAAGGTACTGAACGCCCAGCGAACGCGTCTCGGGTCGACACATCGAGGCCCATAGCCTTGGAAGCCGAAAAGGTTGGACTGATCCGGATCGGCTATAGGCCAGCAATAGGTATACATCGCCGTCTGACTGTGATCGGGAGGGATGTTACAAATCGGGCCGGAAACCTGCCTGGCGTATAGAAGAGGGCGCCCAAATATCAGAACCAAACCACTCGCTCCCGAGGAGTTTGCAGGCTCCTCACGAGACATTCATTACGCGCAGTTACGTACTTGACGGCATCAGTCACAAGCTTTGGAACAAACTTCTGCGTCACCACCGACGATGATCGAGGCATGTCTTCTGACTCGGCCCAAGAGAGGGGCTCTGGTGGGATCACAGCCATTTGAAGAGCGGGTGCATCGTTGACCAGGGTAGCTCATGGAGCTTGACTGTTCTTGAAAACGCCAATGCCATGCAGCAAAATGCGGGGTTGGCAGCAGCCAATATGCAACGCCGACAAAAGGGAACCTGTCCGACAGGCGTCGTACTATTCTTGCGTGTGCCCAGCAACAGCCAGCACCGCGGGCATTGGAGCACCCTGTCAGTTTTGCAGATGCTCGCCCAGCCGGCCAACTGTCGAGCAGCGTTGGCAGCATCGTTCGCGACTAGTTCCAGGAACGCTCGCCGTGCAGCCGTCGACTGTGATACGTACATCAAACACGAGGGCGAATAGGAGGGCGTCAAGGAGCTGCACAGAAGCGCCCACAGGATCATCGCATCGAGCGGGGCATGCCGCGGATGCGTCAAGCAGCTAAAGAGCTTGGTTGTCCAGATTGTCGTCGAAGGCGTAGGGGCGCGTGATTCAGTTGGACTCTAGGGCTGAAAGCGACGGTAGTGCTACCCAAGGTCTCGCCATCGGCGATAGTGTTGTAGATGAGGCATGGCGCTTGCAGCGAAGCAGAATGGCGTGCGACAGGCATGGAGCCTCTGCGTTGAGAAATGGGATCAGGATGGATGTGTTCCGACGGGCCCGACCGAGTCCAGACGGATCAAATGAGGGGCTCGTCGACGTGACCCCTGGAGGCGCATAGTGGATCAGCAGCTCTAGGGTGACGATGGAGGAGGCTCGCTGGCTTGACGCGAGGCGATGCAGGCGTCTTGTCGAAGGGTTGATGCTGAACAAGAGGGGTTGACAGGACAGATGATTTGATCCATCGGGCCCTGTCCGGTGGGCGTCGCTACCCCCAACAGCACAGCAATTTGCACCCGTTCGCCTGAAGCACGCACGGCTAGCCCTAGTTGGCCTGGCCGTCTCCGCATTTTCCTGCGCAACGACCCTACAGAAGCCCCTGACCCTTGGCCGGGCGTGTGAGCTGCAGAAGCCTCAAAGGCGTTGCATGTCTGCGTGTCTCTACGCTTCCGCTGATTTCCCCGTAATGACGGTCTTGCCTCCACCTGTTGTCCATCGTGTCCAACTGGCAGCTGTTCTCGCATCCTCTTACTGACCTCGCAGCAAGCTTGTCGCGCCTTTGCTGACCGTGTGTGGCCCCCCCCCTGATCTGACAAGGCGCGCGCGCGCGGAACGGCAGGGTGTGTCTTCTCCCCAACGTTTCGAACAATCGCCAAGACGAGACGCTGTTGCCATCACTTCTGGCCTCTTGTCCAAAGCCGTCCGCCTTCTTCCATAACATAACCGCTTTCTCAGTCGTCCGGGACACGGGGCGACATGTGCCTGCTCTAGTAGTCTCGCATCCCTCCTACTCTACAGACTGCGGTCCTAGAAATTGCGGGATAGCCTGGGTTTAGCAGCGTGGCGCTTCCCCACCTAAGGACCCGAAGCCCTCTCGCCGATCCTAGGCACGTATGATCTCATGCAACAACTGATGCCATAGCGTATCGTGTTCGTGTTCGACATCTTCAACAAGAAAGACTAGGGATAGACTGGTTCAAGAATTTGGCGCTTGGTTTGCGTACGTTTTAAGGTATGTTGTTACGACTCGCACCCTGGGCCCCGACGGGCTGCCGCAAGACTGTCTTGTTGGAAAGCTGACGTCTGGTTATAGTTAACTTCCAGATCGGTTTGTTTTATTAGAGTTATTGTGGGATAGAGCTTGCCCGGTATGTTTTCATTGTGCTGTAGCAGCGGCCGCAACACCCACTGTCCTGAGCATGCTGAGGCCATGTCTAATGGCCTGGCCTGGCCAGGCCAGGCCAGACCCAGCAGCTGCTCTGCATGCGCGCCGCCATCTTATGTGCGTATAGAATCTCACGTTGCTGATGTTTCCAAACAGGATATACCGCTCTTTCTTCTGATAGATCTGCTTTGGGCATCGAGCTCGGCACCGCGTAATTTTCCTAGACAATCCTGTTAACTAGGTAAGCAAACTCCATCTCGTTTTACTTTCCTCAGTCTTCCTCAATCGTTTCGTCAGCCATTTCTTCTTTCTGGTCTCGGTGTGCGTTCTTTTTTGTTGTTGTTGTGCGGTTGCGGTGTGGGGAGGTGGGGGGAGCAAGGCCTTGCGGTGTTGGCGGAGATGAGACAGCGGATGAGAAGTCAACAAGAGCTCTATCAGCCGCTGTGCACATGTTCGCATGCACCACAGGTCCTTTTCTATCTCCAAAGAGATCTTGGGATGCTCGCCTGGAAGATGAGAAGGTGTTTGCATCAGTGTCTTGATGACGCTCGAGGTGTCGTGGCCAAGTTTCCTTTGAGGATCGTCACCACGGACAGCAGCACATTCTTGTTGTTAGGAGGCGAATCAATCAGAGCAACGCAACCATTTACTCATCTTTTTCTTGTCTCCTATCACTACTTGAGCTTTTGAGCACCCTGAGCACTACTAAGACGATCATTGATAACAGTAATCTCTAAAGCCATTATTGCAAGAGGCTCCTGCAGCGAGCATCTCCATCGGTCTTTCCCTACAAACGTCTCTAGGCGACGGTCGAGCCACCTGAGCACAATAGAATAGCGCTGGCCCACGGACCCCTGCCTTTTCCTCCTTCTTACTCACCTTCTATCCAATCTCCTACTCCACCTCTCTTACTATTGACCTTACCTCTACTCCCTTCAACCCATCCTCTACCCATCCTCTTCTTGCTTCTGCGGTGTATCACACTTGCACCATCATCCCCTTCCTCCACGCTTCGGCGTCACTCAGCTCTTGTAGAGCAGCGGCGAGGCAGCATTAAGCTACCCCGCTAGACTCCATTGCAACAGACATAGTTGTTGCCTACCACGCCAGGTAAGTCGGCATCACATCTATACTATCGCCCTGTCTCACTAGATGCTTCTGCTGCAGCCGCTAGCTGCCATGGTCATCGCCCCTTTCTGACGGCGGGTCACACTAACGTACACTCATAGACTATCACGAAGCTTTGACAGCTTCTGCTTCAAGAGTTTGCACCTTTGCTAGTGTCAAGAACCCTGCTAGCTGCTATACACGTGGCGTGGTCGTCCAACTTGTCCAACGTATACACCTAGAACTTACATTTTTGACATCCACGATCCAGGTATGTGCCGCATGCCATGTCTACCCACTCCCTGCTTTATCTATATCACCTCTGTTGCTCTAGCATTGCTGCTTTACCCTTTGAATACTTGTGCTGACAACCAAGGCACTTGCCTTGACAGACAACTACGGTCTTCTAGACACACCCGCTACCCTAGACGGCACATTCTCTTACACATTCTGCCACAAGGTACAGCACTTATACAGTTTACTCAGTGCATTTTCCTTGAAAGAGATTGTGCAACTAGACAGCCACCTAGTCTCTATCCATTCACCTCTTAGATCTCAAGGTACGTCCGTGTCGGTTGTATAAGCTTTCGACAGTAACTAATCTATTCAAGACAAAGACGAATCAACATGAGTTCCAACACATACAAAGGTGGCTTGGCCGTTGGTGGCTCCGCCCTCGACAAGTCCAAGTTGCAGCTGCGCCGTCCAACGCCAGACAGTGATGTCTTGGCATCCAGTGATGATGATCGTGAGCACGTGGCTCCTGTCGTTCGTCAGGCTCCTGGCGCGTACCCTGCAGTACGACGCCCCTCTTCTGGCTGGCTCCATGACATCCAGCCGAACCGCAAATACTCGTTGCCATCAGTGTCATTTGCAGGATCGCTACCGACGACACCATCGCTCGAGTTGCCGCAGCAGACGCGCCCTAGCACTTCGGCATTCCCTTGGAATACGCCTAGCTTCACCTCGAGTTCAAACAGTCGCCTGAAGGAGGTCGCCCCCTCGCCTACGTCTGCGTACCCGCCTGGCGAGAAGCCTCTTGCCTCTCCCACCACCACGTACGAGGCCGACGACGGCATTGGTTTTCTCCTCAACCAGCAGGCTCCAAACCCATTCCGCAAGGCTGTCCGATCGCAATCCTATAGCATAGGCCAAGGCGATATCGAGCACCACCCTGTAAGCCGCTTCTCACGCCAACCCCCTAGTTCCAGCCTCCGTCACCGGCCTTCTAAGCCAAGCCTCCTTGGTGAGTCTGCGGTCGGTCTTTCGCAGCTGCGCGAAGACGACGTTGACGATATCGAGTCATCCAACGGTTCAGAGCACGGTGTGCGTTTGCCTGCTGGATACTGGGAGCGCGAGCAGAAGCAAGCTTTGCTGAAGCAAGCCGCCATGGAGAATGCACGCGCTCGTAACCGAGCCACCTCCACTGGTTCTCCAGTTCTTCAACTGCAGCAGCAGCGCCGTAAGACTACTGCTGGCTTACGCAACAGCGGGTACAACAACGCAGCCGAGTATGCTATCGAGGAGCTCGAAGACGTCGACCCGGCACTGAACGTCCCTGCTCCCGGACTCACTCGTCGCTTCAGCGAGCATGTCTCAGTCCTCAAGCGAGACCACGAGGTTGAAATTGTTGATAGTCCGCAGAAGCCGCAGTGGGCGACCGGCAACATCTCTCCCGGTGAGGCTGACCCCCTTGGTCGTCGCCACTCGTTTGCGCACTATGGAAGCTACAACTCAACGATGCCACTTTCGACTTTGAGCAACACTCAGGAGGAAGAGGAGGAGTACATGTCCCCCCGACAGACTTCTCCCAACGAAGACAACGAACCGTTTGATGCCGCAGCCTATTTCACTGGCTACGGCCCTGCGTCTCGTGCCATCAATTCCTCGGCTATCTCTGCAGCTCATCCAGATCCAATTGTGCCCAACACCGCAATGTCTGCCGGCAATCCGTACGCTGTTCCCAACATCCTTGGACGTTCCAACCGTCGCCTGTACGTCGTCACGTTCAAGTGTTCTCGTGCCGACATCTACTACGTATATGACAACACTGGTCTTGAGGTTCGCCGTGGTGATCTGGTCATCGTCGAGGGCGACCGTGGCTGCGATCTTGGCCAAGTCACTCATGCTGACGTGACTATGGAGGAAGCTAAGAAGTTGAAGGCAGAGGCGAACGACGAGCACTTCCGCTGGCTTGTCATGTTCTCTCAGTATTCTCTAGCTGGCACCCAGAACGATTCGGGAATGCTTGGTGCCCTCGCGCGTGCTAATGGATTTCCGAACCCCATGAGCCGCACTGGACTGGCAGGTCAGGGAGAGCCAGAGGTCATTAAGCCAAAGCTTATCAAGCGTTTGGCTCAACAGCATGAGATCATGGGTTTGCGTGAGAAGGAAGGTGGCGAGGCCAAGGCCAAGCGCCTCGGAGCACAGAAGGCTGCTGACCACAAGTTGCCTATGGAGATCTTGGATGCTGAGTACCAAGCGTAAGTGCTAATGTGCTCATGTTGGCTTCACCTACTAACACACCTCAGTGATTACCACAAGCTCACCTACTTCTACTACGCTGAGTCGTACGTCAACTTCAACGAGCTCGTCACAGACTTGTTCAAGCAGTACAAGGTCCGCATCTGGATGTCAGCGGTTAACCCAGCATCTGTCGTCAACCCGGCAGGCATGTCTCAGATCCCGCCACCCTCTGCCATTGGCCCTGGAGCGATTCTCACTTCCAACACGAATGCCCCGCTTTCTGTTGGTCCTGGATTCGGGTCCAACACCAATCGTCCTGCCCAGCAGTATGGTAAGTCTATCCCTTCTTCCGTCGACCTGTCAACTTGCTAATTGTGAGTAGGTCAAGCTCGTAATCATGGCTCATACGGTAACTACGATGAGGGCTTCCACGCTTTCTCGCACCAGATCCCTGCCTATCCCGCACAGGCTCAGTACAACATGCAACCATGGACTCATGGCCAGCAGATGGCACCTCATGGTCAGCAGATGGCGCCCCACATGTACCGAAATTACTATCCCAACGTGAGTGCGAGTGGCAGCCAGATGACCTACGGAGCCGCTGGCTACTATCCGCCGACAACTTACCCTTCGTCTTACGGTGGAAACTACGTCCCAACCACAACTACGGCTGGATATGCTACCTCGCGCAACTATACATCAAATACTGGCCAGTCGTTCGTTCCCCATGTGCCTACAACCTATGGTGGCAGTGTTCCCTATACCTCGGGAAGCAGCCAGTCCAATACTGGTGGTTACTATGGCACATCTGGACCACAAGTCAACGGCACATCTGGCGCTTATGCGGGTGGCGGTGCGCACACGACAACCACTGCAGCTCACCAGAACAACAACTACGACCCTGGTTTGATGAATGCCATGCAGCACATGTCTCTCGGCAACTAGGTCCGCTCGCAGATGTGGCAACCCCAGGGCCTCTCCAAGGTCCAAGCTAATCTATCAACTCTGATCTTGTAGCTGTCTCTACGATATGCTACATTTCTTCTCCTGATTGATCGTATGTGCGACAAGATCAATTTCGACCACAGTTTGAGGGATTCTTCCAGACTGTGCTTTCTTTCAGTACCATGCTTTACGGATCATTTAGGCGCACACGGCTGCTTCATGATGGATATTACATCAGTTCATACTGTTCACTGCCTCAGAAATGATGGCAACGGCCGTACCAGTTATCGGGAAACATAGCAATCATATTTGCGACTTTCCTCTTCTCTTCTTCTGCGTACCATTCAACTTTCCTTCCAAAAATTTCCCTTAATGTCCCTTCATTCCCCCACTGACAGCCCTTTACAAGTTACATCCTTTATGGAAAACTGGCTAGTCAGATATTACTCCATGCATGTCTTTGTCAACAAATGCCACTAGGGCGAAAATAAAAAAGCTTTCTGCACCAATTGCATGCTCCCAATTCATTCTGTGACCGATTATGCTCTAATACCCAGGGTTGTCAAAATGTATGTCTCTCAACGGACAAACCGTAAGTAGAAGCCTACAAAGGGTGCCGCCAGCAAGGGAATGTGACATGCAGATATTCACCCAGTTCCGGCATTTTGTGTGTCGAATAACATCACGTACGCTCTTGCATATGACTAGTAAATTGTGTTGAGTTGCACCTTCCCTTCAGTCTATTGTCTCACCTACTCTCCCCACCTCACTGCGACAGCTGTACACTCATTCACGACCTCAAATATGGCGCACCAACAACGTACTCAGCCATTTGCTAAGAACGCTGAGGAGGGTTGGCAGTCCACAGACCTTGGGAAAGATGGGGGATTTAAAGACTGGAAGCCAGTTGGTGTTTGAGCTATCTTTCTCAACAGCCAGCATCTAACAATAATAAAAGACAGATGCTTGCTCTTGGTAGTCTACTCGAAAAGCCACAACATGATAAAAAGGGACTTGATCAGCTCCGTGCAACAATAGCGGACGACCGGAACAAGTACAAGGAAGAAATTGTACGACTGAGCATACAGATGTGAGAATCAACCACAACGCGATGTAAAGAAGCTGAACGACTAAAAAGAAAGGCTGATGGTATCTACAGTGAAATAGAGCAGAAACGCCATGACGACGAGCTGGCTTCCACGATACTCGAGGGTCTCAGAACCCTAAACCGTCACACACAACACGATATGCCGACCTTTGCGGGTACGAACATTGCAAGCAACGCCGGGTACACATGCATCACCGATGTCCTTAGTACTTCTCAGAGTTTGGTAAAGGAGTACAAGCGACTAGATGGCATGATCTCGAAGCTCCGAGAAGACCAAGCGCATCCTATTGCAGATACATGCAAACGAGACATTGAAGAAACAGAAAATCAGCTCAAATTGGGAGCAAGAGTGGCACTCAAGAATGTGAGCAAGGTCTTGGGAGCTAAGGTAGCAAGCGGTGATGCGAAAGGGCTAACTGATGAAGATGGAGACATGAACATGAACGTAGGTGGGAAGGTGCAGCTGACTTGTGAGTTACTGGAGAGTCTGAGGTATGTGGAAAGGGGAGTCAAGCGCATGATCAAAGGGCTTTCGATAGGCCAAGGCCGCTGAGTGCACTTGACACATGACGACAGGGTCACACAAGAGGCAACTGCTAAGTCTTGAGAATTCTCCGGTTGCAAACCTTGATAAATTATCAAGAATAGTTTTACCAGGTATTTCTTATACTGTATGTAGCTCGTTGCGAAATCAGTTCGCTCCACAATAAATGTAGCTATGATTTTTTCGCCATTCTGCCATTCTGCCATTCTGCCCCAGCAATAGTTCACCACCGCCCGACGCGATAGGACTAGCGGGTATGCACTGACCACCCCACACATTACGCGAAATATCAGTGTTCCGTCTTTTACAGCACCTCCAGCACGACAGCGTCGACAATATACTAACCAACAGTCAAGGTACGTCGGCACGCTATCGTGAATTTTTTGCAGACTGTATACTGACATTGTGACAGATGGGTGCCCTCAAGTGTAAGCGCACGCCGAACCTGGCAATTCCATGCTCGCAACTAATCCGTGGTAGATGTCGAAGAACTTCAGAAGAAGAAGCAGTCGGATATGATGCGCTTCTTGATGCGCGTCCGCGTACGTATAGACGATTGAGCCGGATAACGAACTCTGCTAACATTTGACAGTGCTGGGAGGTATGAGCACAATTCCCCGAGACTGCCCGTCTCAAATTGGTGTACTCGTTGAACTTTGCTGAGAGTGCATCGATAGCTTCGCCAACTTAAGGTCATCCACCGCGCCAGCCGCCCCTCGCGCCCCGACAAGGCCCGCCGCCTCGGATACAAGGCCAAGCAGGGCTACGTTATCTACCGCATCCGCGTCCGCCGTGGAGGTCGCAAGAGGCCCGCTCCCAAGTACGTACAATTGGCAGCGATGTGTTGAGCAAAAGTGCATAGCTAACATTTACTTCTAGGGGTGCCACCTACGGTATGCTTCGAGTGTCAGACTTTTCAAGCAGAACATCAGACTAATAAACCAACAGGCAAGCCCACCAACCAGGGTATCAACCAGCTCAAGTACCAGCGCTCTCTCAAGTCGACTGCTGAGGAGCGTGTCGGCCGTCGCTGCGCTAACCTCCGCGTCCTCAACTCTTACTGGATCAACCAGGACTCGACCTACAAGTACTACGAGGTCATCTGCGTCGACCCCCAGCACAAGGCCATCCGCCGCGACCCTCGCATCAACTGGATCGTCAAGCCTGTCCACAAGCACCGCGAGAGCCGTGGACTCACTGCCACTGGCAAGAAGAGCCGTGGTCTTGGCCGTGGACACAAGTTCAACCACACCACTGCCGGCAGGAGGAAGACCTGGAAGAGGAACAACACCCTCTCTCTCTGGCGCTACCGCTAAATTCGCTGAGCGAGTGGTGTGCTTGGTGGGACGTCTGGTCGATTGTTTCAAGCGTATGGGCTGGCGTGAATGGAATAGGGTGTCCTGGGCTATGTAGCTTCCGAACAGCATCAAGGCTGGCAGGACTTTCAAAAATTAAATACCATGGATTCATGAAGTTTACGACGGATAAATGTAGAGCCAGATATCTTGATTGTGAAGTCACGTGCGTGCTGTAGTCGCCGTGAAGAGAGAAGGATTGCGTCTGACGAAATTTGCTTGACGGATGCAGGTGGTTCTTGGCTGGGCAAGGTCAGAGTGACATGCATGGCTTCTTCTTGGATAGCTGATGGGCCGGTGAGCTAGCTGCAGCAACGACGTCAGACGTGTTGCGATGAGAGCAAAAACGGGGAATGCAGCATGCGTGTTTATTGCGATTCTGCCTCTGTGGTTTGTATGCATAGCTGATGCAGTTGTTTTTGGGGGCCCTTTCAGGATTGCACTAGGGATGTCTGTAGGCTGAAGCAAGCGTTGCCGTGGGCCCCTCGCAGCCAAAACATCTCAGCCCAACCCGCAACGCCTGCAGTACCTCGACGCCAACGCAACAAGCGGCCCAGGCTCCAATCGACGCAGATAATACCCGCGCCTGCTCTGCACCACTGACGACACGTACGGCTGACGAGGTGATTGTGCTAAGATTACTGCTGCCGCAAAGCTTCACCTGGCTATACACAATGTTCCGACGTTCACGCGCGCGGCCAACCAACATCATCTGAGCAGCACTGCCAGGCACCCATACGAGGCTGTGAAGCGCAAAGTCTCTGCAGGCTGCCCAGTAACCGCACTGGCACTCACACGCCTACCTGGCGCCCTCAACTCCTCTCCCCTTCCTTCACAAGACAACTGTCGCCGCAGCCATGGTCAAAGCCGATCCCACGCGAAACTACTATGCCGACCTGAAGGTCTCTGCCACCGCCACCGAAAACGAGATACGCAAGGCTTTCCGAACGCTTGCGCTGCAGTATCACCCGGATCGCAATCCTGGGCGCGAGGCCGAATTCGTTGTCCGGTTTCAGGAAATCCAGGCTGCACACGAGATACTATGTGATCCCACCCAACGAGCAAAGTATGACGCAGAGAGGAGGAAATACAGGAATGCCTCTGCCTCCGCAAATACGCCCAACACGCCGAGAACAAGACCACCCCCTGCCCAGCGCAACACGTACACAACGACTACCCCGAATGGGTCCTACTATCGCGCTCCTCCTCCGAGACCGCAGGCACAGCGTCCCCCACCACCCCAACACCAAAACTCGTATACCACGGGCGCAGACAGGTTTACAAACAAGAACTTCCGCCCGCCTCCAACCGCTCAAAAGCCAGACCCGAGACCCAGAGATGCAGAAGCCCGGGCGAATGTCTTTACAGCATGGCAGAAGATGAAGCCACCGCGGGGCGAGGACGCTCGACAACAAAGCAACAATGCCCACAGCAGCGCATACCCCAATCCTCCAAACAACCCCAACGGCACTCCCTTTGGCCGAAGTCAAAGCACAAGAGCACCTTCTTCCAAGCAGGGATTTGACCCTTCGGTGCCTGGAGTCGACGAGGGACAGGCGCGATCGTCGTATAGGAACTATGCTCGCCCAGCACCAACGCCACCCCACTCTACCACACCTCCCAAAGAAAGCCAGGCCGACAACGTCCCGTACTCAGAAGCTAACCGCGTTCGCACCCCATACTACTCTCACGCCGGGGGAGAGCGAACATCCATGTTTGAGGGTCTAGGTAGATCGGCTAGTGTGCGCAATTCACCGACCTACACCCACAGGGCGAGCTCGTCACAAGATGCGGGCGCATACTCAGATTCGGGTCGCAAGGCACAAGCAAAAGCTGCAAATGGAACTGCAAAAAAGTCCTTTGCACACGGCTACCCCGACTCGAGCGACTCAGACTCTGAACCGGAGGTTTTCACAAAGAGCAATAAGCACCACAATGCTCCACCCGTGCCGCAACATTCGAGACCCCCTCCGCCAACTTGGGCTCAGAGTGGCTTCATGACACCTGATCCAAAACGACAGAGTAATGGGGCTACAAGCCATATGCCAAACACCTTTAAGAGCAGGAGTGAGGAGAGCATCAATATGAAATTCTCGCCTTCGGACTGGCATGGCAAGTTTGAAGGCAATAATAGTTACTTTGCTCCTGACATACCAAAAGGTGCCAGCGGGAAAGGCCGAACCTCTCCCACACGCGGCAGAGCTTCACAACGCAGCGCGACAGATCGGAATCCATTTGCTGCTCAGCCCAACCCATTCGCACCTACCCACCCGATACCTCCTCCGCCTCCTGGGCCACCCCCTGGTCTCAACTTTGCTCAGCCTCCAGTAGCTCCTCACGCTGCAAAATTCAGTCCTCAGGACTGGCAAGAGACATTTAAAGATCCGCATTGGGTGTACAACGATGCCAAGGAAACCTCACCGCGTCGTCCTTCAGAAGCTACAAAGCGGCCAAAGGCGCCGCGAAAGGCGTCTGTGCAGCAAAACGGAGCCTCCAAGGCACAAAGCCAGTCAGATACATCGCGGCCCAAGTACCAAGCTTTTGCTGAAGAGCCAACGAATGGTGATGCGGATGCAATGGATATTGACTCTGGGCCACCATCGTCAGACAAAAAGGGCGCAACAACCGGGCCTACAGTGCCAAAGCTGAACACAACTCTGCCAGGCACCACACCGAACGGCTCTAGCACTGCACCACCTTCTGCTGCCACAGCTAAGCCGCCTGCTGAGGGGCTAAATGGCCTTGGTCCAGATTTCATCAAACCGCTCGTGGAGCCCCAGAAGAATGGACTTGGCGGAATGGCATCTGTTGGAGACGCACTGCCCTTCTCTTCTGAAGCATCCAACTCACATCCCATAAAGGCGAATGCAGCGAAGAGTCTCAAGTATCCCGAAATACCCCTGGCGCCTCCTGTCCCAGCCAAGTTAGATTTGGCCTCGATTGATAACTACTTTGAACGTATGGGCTCTTATGTCAAATCGTACCGAAACTACTGTAAAGTTCTCACTGGGCACTTTGTTGCACGAAGCGTGGAGATGGAGGATCTAGACGATCACTTCATTCGCAACCGTGGGGAGACGACCAAGAAGGTTGGCTTTGTGAGCTACCTGGCCAAGATGGAAGAAGACGAAAGTGTCATGGAGACATGGAAGGTGGCACAGGAACGGCATATTGTTGCGCTGCAACAGTGCGCAGATGTGCGCACAAAGGCTTTGAAGTTGTACCAGACCCTTCAGGCCTAAGATCAGCGCGCCGTCGCTTGTTTTGGGTTTGCAGGTGTGCTGACATATTTCTAGACATGGAAGGAACACGCGCCAGAACAGCGTTCAAAGTGTAGCAGAAAGGTTAGAAACGCTGATTGTTAGTGAGTCCCATATTACTTCGCGAACGCTTGGGCAGCGTTGGATGTCTGGTTCGATGTTGGGAATGAGGATGCGCAGTCCTACCAGACTTGACAGAGGCACGGAGGGTTTGAATAGCAAGGGCGCCTCAAAACACCAGCCGCTTTTATCGAGAAAGAAGAAGTATTACGGTCTTGGGTAGCGATGGCGTTTTCTCTTGTCTCGAGGCTCGGCATTATGAATACCCCCCTGGTTGAAGCTGGGAATGATTGGAATGATGGTTGGATGGCACGCATGAGCAATGTCTAATTAGTATACATATCGAATAGATGGAATACATGATACGTCTACGACTACTATTGATCAAGGGCTGCTTACAAGTGTAACGCGGTAACAGTATTTGTGGCTTTGAGTGGTGGGAGGAGATGTTCGTTTTTGAGCTAGCGCGGCCAAGATAGGACGTTGCATTTACCTCAAACCGTTGCGTGTCTAAAACACGCACCACTCTTGTTCACAGCCACACCCTTGTGTTGTAGCTGCGAAACCTCAGGCAGCCGGAGTTTGACAGCTAACCTGGGGTGCAGAGTGCTGGGAAAGGGAAGAGTTATACGCTTGTGATGGGTGGGGGGAACATGGTTCCACTATTTCCCCCTTTCTTAGTAGAGGACAAATTATGTTTCAGCAGACACGGTTCGCTGATCCCCACGGCGGATGTCCACAAGGGTCAATGAGCTACCGACGCAATCTTGCCTCAGATGACGATTGAAGATGGTAGCTTCCACCGAGGGACCTACAGTCAAGCGGGGGACGCTCGGGCACGGTACATCTTGCGATCTTACTTCTAGGCTCGAGTTGTTACGACCTTCTCTTTGGATTGTCTTGTCTTCTAAGTAAGCCTTTGCTCAGCGCTTGGCCCACCTTTTGGTCTGCCCAAAAAATTAAGTTTCCAAGAGAGGAAGAGGGAAAGATGATGCCATTGCTAATGCACCGGTCGGTGGGGACGTCCGCGCGTACATCATCGGCCCGTGACGTAAGATGTCCACGACGAAAAAGTCGAGAAATGAGTTTCTGGCGTGCGTACGATTTCTGCATGAGATTATGGAGAGTTGCAAGGAAGGGTGCACAGTGAAATAAGCCCCGTTGCGGCGGTACTTGGTCAGTACCTTGCATCACAATACATATGTCGTGGTTACTCGACCGGGAGAGGCGGAATGTAAATAATCCTTTTCTCTTTCTTTCCTCTTGTGTTGTTGCGACTTGCCAGGGCCTGAGAGCCCTTTCTTTTCCCAACCGGTGATACTGAGGGCCCTTGGTCTCTACTAGCAGAGTTTCTTGGCGGGCCAATATGGTGAGCGATTTGCTTACCCCAAAGGTCACCTCACCCACGCCATCGCCAAAGGAGGTTGGCGGGGCGGCGATACAATGGGTGTGTACGAGGAGGGGGAGGATGGTGGTTATGATGGCTGTGTTATTCTCGGTTTTTCTAGGGCTGTCAGGCATGAAACACCATGAGGTATGCCGCGATCCACGTCCAACATCCATGAAGCGGATGGTACACTAACATCATGGTAGGAATTGTCATCAAGACACCGTGGCATGTCTCCGTATTATCCATGGAAAGCATACCTTCCAAGTCTGCCCAAATCCATAAGCTCGGCGTTCAAGACACCCTCGAACTTGACGATACAGATTGAAAACGGCCAAATCGACCATGTACCGGCAAAACTCAAAAAGACGACGCCCAACTTCCACCTCATCATGCCGTTTGAGTATGAGTCAAACAACTTTTGCAAAGCGACGCTGTCTGCCATGTTACTCAACTATCCTCCACCGACTGTGGTACAGTTGAATTCCGGCCATGCGACGAGTGAAAAGCGACATGAGGTGATTCTTAACGACACGCTACATTACCTGAGCAATACGAAGTTGGTCAAAGACAAGGATCTGGTACTCATTGTTGATGCGCAACAGACGTGGTTCCAGCTTTCAAGCGATGTGATGATTGAGCAGTACAAGCAGTTGCTTGAGGATGTCAATTTGCGGTTGTTGAAGAGATATGGAACTGACAAGAATGGGTTTCAGAAGTTCAACCAGACGATTGTATTTGGAGCAGAGAAGATGTGCGAGGGCGATGACAAGGCGTGCAAATACGTGCCATTGTCACCATCTCCCGATAACTTGTACACTACCGAGACTGGCCGGCTGATATCAGAGACGCCCGCCAAGTTTATTAACGCCAGGATGGCCATGGGTCCGGCGAGCGATTTGAGAGCGTTGTACCAGGCTGCGCAGAAGAAGTTTCTGGATCGCAAGAGTCAGTCGCCGACTGTCCAGTCCGTGTTCGCCACGCTATTTGCAGAGCAACAGTTGAGTCGCGATGCCGTTGAGGTAGAAACCAGATCTCCTAGCGCAAAATTCAAAAACTTCTTCGACGGCGGATCCAGGAAGTCAGCAGCCAGACATAGACTAAACCAAGCAAAACTCGAACTCGAACTCTCCAACTTCACCAGACAAGAATTCTCCATCGGCCTCGACTACACCCATACCCTCTTCCAACCCCTCCTCTATACCGCCCCAGACGAACTCATCCCTATCGTTCACAATGACAACAACAACCTAACCGCCTATACCCACTTCAACCGCGACCCATCCTACCTCTCCCTGCCAGTCTCCCTCTATCACACAACCACACCCTTCTCGCGCCCCGATCCAGTAAAACCCAGTCTCTCCCCACACACCCACTCCACACACATCAAAAACCTCGACTACGACCCAAACATCGATGCTTTACCTGACCGCAACGTCCCCTGGACCGACATTCCCTTGATCCAAAACACCTACACGGGCGCCATCCCTGCCGCCCTCGCCGCACAGTTACCTCGCGAACCCAACCTCGCCACGTCGAAGATAACCTGGGATTCCCTTTGGTACGCAGAATACAGACGCGCGTTACTCCGCGTGTACTTCCGTGCGCCGCAGTCCGCGGTGGGATACCACGAGTCGGCTGTTGGCGGGGATCGCATGTGGGATGCGCGCGGGGGCCGGGGCGGGGTGTGGACGGCAGTGGAGCAGAGTTGGTTGCCGTGGGGGGAGGCGGATGGGGTGTGTGGCGCGGTAGAGGACATGAAGGGTGTGTTTGGGGATGGGAAGGGGGTGTGGTTGCATGAGTGGGAGAGGGATGGGGAGACAAGGAGGGTGGGGGTTATGGCGAAGGTGAGGTTTGGGGGGGTTGGTGTATAGTAGACGGTGGGTTGGATGATGGAAGTTTTGATAGGAAACATTTTACGGCGTTTTAGGGGGTTGGATGTATATAAATATCCCGGTAGTTATATGAAATAGAACTCGACATGAAGTAACTGCAAAGAAATTTTCATTTGGAAAGAGTAAGAATATCTAGCTACCCTCAACCTTTGGCTGGCTCTCCGCCAACTTAATCTTGCCCGCCTCATCATACACAATCTCGCGAATCTTGACGCACCGCAGGTGGTTGACCCCCTTGCTGAGACTCGAGTCGTGGTAGAACAAATACCACTTGCCCTTGAACTCGGCAATACTATGATGTGTCGTCCACCCAATCACGGGCTCGAGAATCCTTCCACCGTACGTAAACGGACCCAAGGGGCTATCTCCAATCGCATAGCAAAGATAGTGGGTATCCCCCGTCGAGTACGAAAAGTAATACTTGCCATTGTACTTGTGCAACCACGCCGCCTCGAAAAACCGCCTATCATGGTCCTGCGATTGAAGCTGCTTGCCCTCCTCATCCAGAATAACAACATCAGTCACATCCTCGGCGAAACTCTTCATGTCCTCCGTCAACTTGCCTACTTTGGCGCATAGGGCAGGACCAGACTGCGCCTCCATGGTCTCGTACGCACTCCGCTCGAACTTGCCCGTCTGCCAGCACTGCAGCTGTCCGCCCCAGATACCGCCGAAATACAGGTACGCGGCGCCGTCGTCGTCGACGAAGACGGCGGGATCGATGCTGAAGCTTCCCTTGATGGGTTCGGGCTCGGGTTTAAAGGGGCCTTCGGGGGTATCTCCCTCCGCAACGCCCACGCGGAAAATGCCTTCCTTGTCGCGGGCCGGGAAGAAGAGGTAGTATTTTCCATTCTTGGTGGCGGCGTCCGGGGCCCAGAGTTGCTTGCTGACCCAGGGAATGTCTTCCTGGCGGAGGGCGACGCCGTGGTCGGTTACGGGCCCGCCGACGGAGTCCATGCTGAGGACGTGGTAGTCGTTCATGTCGTATTGGTCGCCATTGTCGTTGTTGGGGATGTTGGATTCGCGGTCGTGCGAAGGGTAGACGTAGAGTTTGTTGTTGAAGACATGGGCCGAGGGGTCTGCGGTGAAGATGTGGGTGACGATGGGGTCTTTGTCCGCCATATTGTTCCTTTCTCTTTCTTTTTTACTTTAAAAACACGTGTGTATGGTATATATTTTTCGTCGGTATATGGATGATTGGATGGATTTGGAAGGAAAAAGAAAAATAAATGGTTCAATGGATTGTATTTCATATGACCCGTCCCGTTCTTATGAATGGAGGGGTATTCCTGTTGCCCCACGGTTCCCTTCCTCCCCTCATCCTCCCACCGGACAAGCTCCCTCCCTATTTACCCGCCGGCACGGCTATCCTCCCATGGCCAAGCTCTCTTCACTTGGGCATCCAAGACGGTTCATAAGAATATCCACCTGCCTCTGCTCAATGGCGCGGGTTTACACATGTTCGTCCCGTGTTGGATGTTGAATCGAGGTTCTGGTGACGTTGGGTGTTTAGCCGTGTATTCTTCCGCTCCGCCCACCCCATGCAGCCGCTCTCTTTTTTGGGGAAAGGATTAAGATTTGGCAATCAATCTGCCTCGGGTCGCCGGCCCTCCTGCGTTTTACCCGCGTTGCGATGCGCTTGTCGCGTAGGATTCCATGTTGGGAATGTTTGGTCATGGGAGGAGATACGTAAGTAGTCGGACAAGAGACATATCTTCACATGTGTCCTCTAAGGCAGCTTGTTGCTCAAGTCATGCAATTGTTCTTTGTAGCAACACAATCATTAAGATATCACAACTACTCAACAGTCTAGAAACCAGCGATGTATCGATGCTCATCAGTTACTTCCGTCACCTCAAACTTCATCCCCACCCTTACTTCACCTACCGTCCTGGGCACAGCCAACATACCATAGCAGGGCTTATACGTGATGCCCTCGTCAATCCTCCGGTACTTCATCAATATATCCCACGGCTGCGTCTTGTGTTTCTCAGCCGTATCCGGGTCAACATTAGGCACCTGACAGCGTGCGCATCGCTGGGTAATATCCAGAATGATGGGTTTCTCACCAGACATTGGTGTAATCTCGATAGTCTTCCAGCGATCTTCATCCCAAGGTGCATTGCTGTCGCCTTTGACAACGATGTTGGGCCGGAAACGGCGGACATCAATGGTATGGTCTGCGGCTGCTTTAAGACGCGTGTTGAGTTCATCAATGCTACTCTTGTTGCCAACTAGGATGGGCATAAGATCCGGGAAACATGTTGATGCGTCCCTTCCTAGGACAGCCGGCGCCCCGTTCGAGACGAGTGGTCGAGGATCGTCAGATACGGGCGGCTTGTATACAAGTCGTACGTCCCTGTCGAAGAAGGCGTTAAAGGGGGCAGTCAGCTCGGGACAATAGACGCGGGTTTCTGTTGTAGTACTCCAGATCTTCGCTGAATGGTCTTCAGTGTTCTCATCAAGCCACTCCTTTGACGGATGCGCTGGGATAGAGAACTCGAGCTTCTCATCTATTGAGTTTGGTGCTGGTGCGGTGACGGTCAGAGTATCAGTCGTTTCATCGTAGGTAGGGCGAATCAAAGTCATTTTGGAGTTTTGGCGGATGGTGAGAAATTCGTATTCTGGGTAGCTGACCCACATCCACTGGCGATCTAGCACGGTTAGTACCCTAGAATTTGGTATTGTGACTGTATTGGGAAGATGCATACCGAGATCGAGGCCTGTAGGCAAGAGCTTTGCCGACTGTACTGATATCCCATGACATGACTTGATTGGGTGTATGAAGAGCGAGGTAATTTCTGTCGGTAGGGGTAGAGGCCCAGCTTTCTTCTTCGACTGTTGGGTCTTGGTGAAATATAGATAAGTGAGGATGGGCATCACGAATGCTGACAGTATGACTGCAGCTTGGGTAGTGCGTGAAGGCTCCATTCTCGTGGTGTCGTTGCGACTCGCGAGCTGCAAGTCCAAAAAAATTCCAAAAAGAGCTGTAGTTTCTATAGTTCAATTGATGCTACTTCGCAGATCATGCAATCTTATATCTCCAACCGATTGTAGTGGCAATGCCAGACCGAATAAAGCTACAGGGCGCGCTTTGATAAGCAAAGTGCCCAGCCAAGCCCAATAGGTGACTTGTTACTCATTTGAACGATGCCCCGCAGCATTCGAACCACAAATAACGACGTGCGAGGATGACGCAAAAGGGCAGGGGAGAGACCTTTGAACTGTCATGGAAAAGGCTTAGCGTTGCCGAACCCGATCTGCAGCAACTCCGCGGCATCCTTGACTTCACTTTGTCTATGCACACTCGACTACTCCTTGTAGCCACCGCATTTCCTACATCTCAACCTCAATTCCCTACGACTAATCTGCGCTAGACGACCTCGTCTTCTTGCTGCTAAACATATATCCCTCCATCAAATCCTCATTAGGATCAGACTCTACAACGTCTCGCTTTCGCTTCCCCTTGAGTACATCAACCTCCTCCTCTAACTGACTGCAATACGCTTCCAGCTCATCCCTCTGAACTGCCTTTCTTTCTAGCTCCCGTACCCGCCATAATAGCTTGATATTGTTTGCCCTGCGGATCTCGCATTCGCGCTCCGCGGCATCTGCGCATTGTCGCAGCTTCTCGAGTTCGGCTTGTGTGTCGCTTGGCGCGTTGTGTCTGCGTTCTTCGCTTGCTTCGAATTCTTTGGGGTTCTGCTGAGAGTTCACGAGTTGGCCTTGCTTCTGCGAGAGTTCCTTTCGGGGTTTGGCTGCTTCGCGTCTGGTTTCGATACATCTACTATTTGCGCAGCACTCGCCATTCAGAGTCCTGTCTCCCCTTATAGTAGTCGATTGGCGCGGCGGAAGGCGCAATCCATCGTCGTATGCATCTTCTGTGATGTCTATGATGTCTCCGGCGACGTTTGCCATGTATCTCTTATGCTCCACCTTGGACATGCCGACCCAGTCCTTCAGCTGATCGTATTCATCGTAGTTGCAAGGATATCTTTCGTGAAATGAGCCGTTTAGGAAGGCGCTTTGCTTGCGCTCCTCAGCTGAGTACATGGCGTGGTATCGCAGTATGACCGACCGCTGGTAAGCAACGCCTGCTAGAAGATTTGGGTAGCCGTAGTAAGGGCGACGCTCCTCGATAGTCGCCAAAGTCACATAAGGCCATGTCCTTGGATCTTTCTCGTCATACTGGGGTAAGATGCTCTTAATCTTGCTTTCTAATCGGCTCGATACAGAACTAAAAGTGCATTGATATGGTAAGATTTCACGCATGGTGAATCTGGAAGATGTTAGTGGATTGCGCTACTCCAATTTGAAGGCTGGGGCATGTACCTGGGTGTCACAAAGGTAAGAGAATACCGCAGTGTTTAATTGCGAGTAAGAAAGTTTGGAACAAATGTGGTTTACGAGAGCCATTGTATGACTTCGCGGGACCTTGCGGTGAGGATGAGCTTTGTCGAGTTGGCGCCCTATTCCCTCACCTTCACCGCAAGCTGAGTTCCCCACAATCAAGTTGATATACAGCTAGGCCATCACTGGAGAATCAAGGTTGCTAGGTGAGTACAGTTCGAAACACCAGAGCACAAGGCAGAACATTCCAGTGACACCGCAGGCAAGGACTACTGACCAATCACGATACACAAAGCAGATAAGATGCAAGATTCTTGACAATTTCGAATTCCTAATACATATACATGATGTTGCAGGTAATAATCCCACATCCGCCTTCACCTCTGTGATCCTATCTCATACCCGTGCACGCCAAACGCGTGTAAAATGCATCATCAATGTCTATTGCATGACCCTAACCAAGGGTTTCCAGAGGGACTACACTCATGTCCGCCCCCCGGATACAATACAAGATATGGTAGAACCCGAACCCGAACCCGAAAAATCTATACAAATACAATTTCCCATACAGACAGTCTTGCTGGTTTGCTCGAAGCGGATGGGACGGTGACTGCGTATGGTAGTAGAATGAAAAGAAGTAAGAAACCAAGTGGCTACTTCTGTTGCAGATGGTAAGAGGTCAGCACTGTTGGTATATAAAGAAAAGATTGGTGGTGCATTGACAAACATCAGAACAATGGACGAGAGGGACTAAGGAATATACAAACCTACGAGAGACCACAAATCCAGACGATGCAAGGACAGCACCTTCTAAGCCTTCTGACTCGTTTTCTTGACAGAACCCTTGTTGGAGATGCGCTTGGAAGATCTTGTTGACTTTGTAACGGGAGACTTGGTTGGGACCGTCACGGGCGACACACTCTTGCTGGGGAGCTCGGGAAGAAACTCGATAGCAGGAACCTGCTCGCACTCATTTCCCTCAAGCATCTGGAGAATGACGTCGACAATGTCTCGAACTTCCTTGTAAGTCTTGCCACGACCAAGCGACAGGTCCAACTCACGGAGCACTTCGACGGGCGCCTCAAAGTGCTTGCCAGGAACAGGCGCGACGCACTTCTCAGCGTCTTCGGCGCTCATACCTGAGGCCACTTGGCGCGAGTACTGGTTCAAGCGGATTTCTTCGGACTTCTTGAGCGTGATCTTGTAGGTGGTACCGGGGAACTGCTTCTCAATGATGTCAAACTGGCGCAGAATGAGGTGAACTTTGCGGATCTGCCACTTTGCCTTGTCGTACGTCGCACGCTGGTAGTGCTTGCGGCAGAAGAGTGGCCACTCAGTAATGTCACGCGTACAGGCCTTATTGCGGCCAAAGTGATCCGAAATGACTTTGCGCGACAGGTCTTTGGTATACTGGCCGGTCTGACAGCGTGTGTGTCGGTCGTTCATGCAGATGAATTCGCGCTGGAAATCGGGGACGTCTTCATCTGCTTGCTCTGAGATACTATCAGACACTACCTGTTGACGCGCAGCTTATTTAGTCTCTATTCTAAGCGTTTTTTGGAGCACTTTGCAGTGGTGCCGCAAGAGGTGCTCAAAAACAAATGCCCAGAGATGCAAACACTTACTGGCTCGGTTACGAGGGTGTCTGAGGACACACTAGGTGACAAGACCCTATCTTTTACGGCCGTGTGTGGATCATGAGGTGAATCTGGTTCAATTGTCTCGCTCCCCTTCAGATTCGCAGTTGGCTTGTTCAAGAGGTTGTTGAGGCTCATGGCGTTGCGGATGATCTCGACCCTAGTGATCTCAATCGGGAGGGGGTTGGTCGGGAGATCAACCTTGCAGTTGGTGGACATGCTGAAAGCGCTGTTGAAAAGAAACCTAGAACGGAATATTGATGAGATATAGTGACTGGCAGATGTTAGTCTACTGGCGTTGACAGCGTTCAGTCCCGGACGAGGTCTCGACGCTGCTGAGCGAGAGGTTTTTGAAGTGAAAGACAGAGTACGTGGCGGTAGGATTGCGGCAGGCAGACGAGTAGTGAATTCAAGTCCTCAGTGACAATAGTCACGCCGTTTGAGTCAAAGCTTGGCCAGCTCACCCTCATTGACGTGTAGTGATGAATTGTATGACGCAGCCGTAATTCACTGCTGTGACGTACGATTCGACGAGAATGGCCCAAGGCCAAATGAGGCTCGCCAAACAACCATGTGCCTCGCAATTGAATCCAGCTGCGAAGTCCATGGGATACGGTGACCTGCCAGGTGACTGCGCAGTGCCGCGTTTGCATGTGGTCCTCATGCCTCCGCACCATAAATGGACCATCACGCACGATCAGACTTGACCAAGACGATCACATATTAATCATTGAATTAAATAATGCATCAGTTGCAAATTACCAGGCATCGTGGTGTTCGGGTGATCCCCAACGAAGACAGCACTAGACGAATGCGAAAGAGACATGACGGAATATCCTGGTAGTGCTCACAAAGACTGGAAACGAGTCGAAGAAATGTTGCATATAGAAGAGACAAAAGGTGAAGAAACAAAAGAATACAGCTGTGCGAATGTTTGCAAATCTTCACATTTGGCACTAGGAAGTGACTGATATGGTAGGAAGTAATGAGTTTGGAAGCGACGACCTACGTATACTACCCCATTCGACAAAGCTACCGAGTCACAACTACAAGGCCGCTTTCAAGGACCTTGAATTGTATTCCATGGCTGGTTAGTCAATCTCTATGAACACCTGGTCATCTTTGAACGGCAGATTGAACGAAGCCCATGCACTTCTGATTGTTCGAGGTCGAGTCTCTGGACAGCCAACGGTGCCTGAAGCTTGGTTTGATCAAGCGCTTGAGGACCATAAAATGGCTGATAACTGAATCCAGAAACTTCACAGTTCCGTATTCCAGACAACCGATGATGGAGAGATGTAGTCGTCTCGATCGACACGCGACAATGGTCTTCTATAGGGACCTTGACGGGTGAAGGAATTACGGGCTGAGCTACGCCTATGAAGCCCACAACCATAACGAAGATCCACACCGGAAATCCTGGAATGATTAGCGCAAACAAAGAAAATCTATCTTGAGATTAAGCATTTTGGAATGGGAAAAGTCGAGTCAAGTTGGAAAGCGAGGTCGCCTCTGCTTAGTCACCTATCGGAGGGAGCTAGCAGCGATAACGGACACACGTGCGCGAAGAGGCTCAATTCCGTCAACAGCCTTGGCGTCTTTTCGCGCTTGTCGACGGGTAGTGAGGAGCTCCTGGTCAACGCTGCATTCTGTTTCTCCGACAAGCAAATCGCTGGGCACGCCAGTATACTCTCTCTCGTCGCTTGATATGCGCCCATACGTCATTTCTATTACAAAAGTCCATTCTACCCACCCTCTTCTGGGCTGAGCGCGTTCGCGGCCTCTCCAACGCCATCCACCCGACCCAGCGCTCCTCCAGCCACGATGCCGCCCAACACAGGCACAAGAACCTCCACGAGACAAGGCAGGGCCACGGTCCGACCTACAAACTATTATGCGCGCACCTTTGCCGGAAGACTTACTGCCAGCGGAATGGAACAGACACCCGAGGCCTCGACCAGCGCGCCCGGCTTCCTGCCAGCCCTCACACACTTCACGGGCGCTGTCGATGCGTTCCCCAAGGAAATTATCAAGCACTTTTCCATGTTCAAGGAGGTCGAGGCTAAGCTACACGACCCGGAACACTTGCTCGAGGAGTTGCTCGACGAGATTGCCCACCAGCCCGTCACAACAAGGGTCCAAGCATCAGCCGCCGGCCAGAATGCAGCGGGAGCGGAAAACAGCGCCAACGTAAGTCCCGACGTCACATAGGGTAGCTGTAAAAGCTTAACACCTGCAGTCGTCCCAGAACCCTGAGACCCTCTCCCCGGAAGAGCAGGCCGCGATACGGAAGCGCCAGCTCTTCTTTCGCCTGCGCATGCTCATCGCAAACATGCTCCCTACGCTCGACGAGAAACTGGTAGTGCTTCAGGGCGCAAAGGCCACCAAAGACAAAGGCCTCATGCGGATGCACCACTCATACGCGCAGCTCGATGGCGAAATCAGCGACGAAGCACGATACGGTAGTCTCACCCACTGGGCTTATGCAGACAAAGAGGAAAAGAAAAAGGGCGGCCAATCTCACGAACGGCAGCGGCGTGAAGTGGCAGCGGCAAACAACCTTGCGGCAGCGGCCCAACACGTGCATGATGTCGACTCCATTGCTGCAAAAAGCGAGGCCCGGCGCGAGGCGATGCACGCGAATAAACGCAATCGGCACCAGCAGGTTGATTCGGACTTTGATGACCGACCAGCGAAGAAACCCCAGAAGAGGAAGCCAGCACCTGCGGAGACGGCGCCCACACCCGAAAACAGAGGGATTGGCCTGGGTATATCGAGCAATGGTGCAGGTCCCAACGGCAAGCGAAAAAAGACGGAAAAGGCCCTCGCTGCAGCAACACCGGCTGCTCCTCCTATGGAACGGTCCACAAGCAGTGCGCTGAAAGCTGTCAGCAATGGAGCGCGGGGTGGATCAAGCCCGCGAGGCACGCCAGTCCCAGAGAACAGCGCCGCAAAGCGCAAGCCGCGAGCAGCTCCTGCGCCCGCGCAACGCAAGAACCCAATGCCGCCATACTCGCCCCCCATGGCTGCATCACCCCTTGCTGCTAACTTTGCCATCAGCAAAGCCACTGCCGGCGCAGCAGATCGACCCCTGTCGGCGCGGGCTCGCAAGAATTCTACGGCAACGTCTGTGACATCAGGTAAAGATCAAGACGTCCCACCCGGACGTCGACCGTCCTCTTCCCACTCTATACAACAGGTTATAACCAGCAATGTGATTGCCGAAATCGAGCAAGCTGCTGGCATTGCGCGGGACAATGCCTCGACAAAAGTGGCATCAACTCCGAAGGAGCCTGCAGACGCACAACCAACATTTGAAACATCAAATATGAAAGTGGAAGACCTGGGGCAGCCAGAGCCAGAAAGCATGGAGATTGATACCCCTGCGCCGGCCCCAGCCTCAGGCCGACCCGGCCGAACGTCCAAGACTTCGACGCCCGTTGTCGGCGCCTTTCCCGAAGTAGCCATGTCGCGGAGCCGCAGCAGCCGCAATGCGAATAATGGCAGCTCCAACACATCGTCAGAGAACAACAGTACGACTACTGGCACCGTGTCGAAACGGGGCCAGAAGAAGAACGCACAACAAAATACCAATGTTGGAAATGCATCTCCAGCGTTGAAGGCCACATCCCAGGTCAAATCGAACCCTACATCGTCGGCGGCAAGCTCTGTTGCACAAGAACAAGACTATCAAGAAGCCGAGCCCGAAGCTGAGGCTGAGGTGGAATCGGAAGAAGACGGAGACGAGCCCCGATATTGCTACTGCAATGAAGTGTCATATGGCAACATGATTGCTTGTGACAACGATGACTGCCCGCGCGAGTGGTTCCATCTCGGCTGCGTACACCTTGAGAAGCCGCCTACGGGGCGGGCGAAATGGTTCTGCAGCGACGAGTGCAAGGACACACACGCCAAAGCCAAGGCCAAGGGGGGCCGTCCGGGAAGCAGTAGACAATAGGAATTAGGAAGGAGTTCAAGGCGTTCTGGGACGGGTCCGGCGACAGCTGGGTCTAGGCAAGGCCCGAAGGGAAAGGGCAAGGCTAGGTTAAATCTCTGGGATGGTTGGAATGCTCTCTGAGGGCTTCCGGCTTGGGTCTGATTTTCTTTTGATTCTTTTGTGTGGGTTCTGGCGGCGTTTTCTTTTCTTCTTTGGAAAGGCAGGTATCGTGGCGCTGTTTTTGCTACAGCAGTGGTAGTTGGGCGTGCGATATCCGTTGTGGCAGACTATCTGGCGTTTTGCATGGTTGGATCCTGCATTGAGAAGTGCATCCTCGAGTTCTCATCGCTATTATTGCATATGAGCCCACAATCATCATAGTCCCCATGTGTAGCATAGCTGATTGTAGATAATCATATTTTGACATGCTGTTAGTTGTGTTATGAGTGGTGAGGCCGAGGGGTCTGACGCGCGTGCATGTACTTGGTCGTGTGTGGACTGCCTGCCGGATCCCCGCCAACCCCAGCACTGCCCCTGGAGATCCACTCCTGTCGTGAAACTGCCTCGCTGTGATTGGCTGGTGTATAAATGCCATGCAGTACAGCCAAACGGGCCATCTGGACCCTGGCGCGCTAACTCGCAGCAATGATGCAGCATATCTCACCGCTTCAAGAGGTGGACATAAGTGCTTCAATTCCATAGATTGCTCGTTTTGTCCTGTTGTTCTTCAATTCATTCTGTCGACTCTGCAATGGCACTATCAGAAACCCCTTCAGCTGAAGAGCAGCTCATCTGCGAGCCTCAAGGTGGGGCCCCAAATGCCCCTCCAGACCTTCGCTTCCTACACTACAATGATGTTTACCATGTCGAGGCCGGGTCTAGAGAGCCAGTTGGAGGTTATGCGAGGTTTCAGACCCTGGTCAACTACTACCGCGACGATGAGAGGTTCCAAGGGCAGTCAAACCTCTTGACCTTCTTCTCCGGAGATGCCTTCAATCCAAGCATTGAAAGCAGCATCACCAAAGGTTAGGAAACTAATGTTGTTGAGCTTTGTTAACAGATGAATCTGACGGACACAATCAGGCCGTCACATGGTACCTGTGCTCAACACCATTGGTACAGACGTGTCTTGCGTTGGTGTACGTACATCCATCTTCTTGAGTTCAGCCATATCTGACCCCCAACCAGAACCACGACCTCGATTTTGGCGTCAAGCAGTACCGCTACCTCACAGGCAAATGCAAGTTCCCATGGCTTCTTGCCAACGTTCACGACCCAGCCCTCGGCGACGGCGTACCGCTCGGAAACGCGGAGAAAACAGTTATCCTCACAGCATCTAATGGCATCAAAGTTGGTGTTATTGGACTTGCTGAACGAGAGTGGCTCGATACAATCAACTCTCTACCACCAGACATCATCTACAAGAGCGCGTCAGAGACGGCAAAGGAGCTCATTCCTGGATTGAGAGAGCAGGGTGCTGAGATCATCGTTTGCGTGTCGCACCAGCGTGAACCAAATGACAACAAGTTGGCAAAGCAGTGCGGAGGAGAGTTGATTGACATAATCCTCGGTGGCCATGACCACTACTACTCGTACAGTCTCATCAATGGTACACAGGTGCTGAGATCTGGCACAGACTTTAAGCAACTCTCACACATCGAAGCGTGGCGAAAGCCAGAGGGTAAGGGCTGGGACTTTAAGATTGTGCGACGAGATGTCGTCGGCAGCATACCTCAAGACCCACAGGCTATGGCGTTGGTCGAGGAGCAAACACGAGAGATTAGGAAAAGGCTGGACAAGCCGATTGGATACACTGCCGCGCCTCTCGATGCTAGATTCACCACTGTACGAACAAAGGAGTCAAACATAGGTAACTTTGTCTGTGACCTTATGCGATACTACTACTCAGCCGACTGCTGCATCATGGCAGCAGGAACTATCCGGGGTGATCAAATCTACCCGCCTGGCGTGCTGAAGTTGAGAGACCTCGTCAACTGTTTTCCGTTTGAGGATCCTGTTGTGGTTCTCAAAGTCACTGGTAAAGCGATACGAGAAGCACTGGAGAATGGTGTGAGCAACTACCCAGCTTTGGAAGGCCGATTCCCCCAAGTCTCAAACATTATCTTTGAAGCGGACTATTCACAGCCGCCCCACTCGCGCATCAAGAGCGTTATGATTGGCGAGGAGCCAGTAGACGAGACGAGGGAGTACGTGCTAGCTACGCGGGGATACATGGGCCGTGGAAAGGGTACGTCATCTCGTCTTTCTTGACAGTACCCAAAACCCCCTTTACTAATAATTCCTCAGATGGCTACACATCCCTTCTAATCGAAGAAGAAGGCGGTGTCGCCAAAGAAATCGTATCCGAAGAAAACGGCGTGCTAATCTCCACCATTCTCCGCCAATACTTCATGTCGCTCAAAGTAATGGGCAAATGGAAGCGCTGGGGCGAATCAATGAACAACAAATTCAACTCTATCCAGACCAACCTTCAGAAAAACCACGGCCACGCATTCCATGATCCCTCACCTCGTTCACCAGACAAATCCACACCCGCCCAGCACCCCAGCATAAGCAGAGTCGTCGAACAGTCCAGTCCGCCTGATTCTTCGGAATCGTCAGACCCGGATGCAGACGAGGACGAAGACGATGGACCTTTGATTGTAGAAGACAAATCGAAGCCTATCAAGTTCTCAGATCACCAGATCGAAATGATCCGCCGCGTAATGCGTAAATGGTGGCGCGTAGCAGGTCTCAAGGGCAACCCTTCGCTCTGCGATGAGCTGGGCGGCAGCGAGTTCCAGGTCAATTGGACACGAGCTATCGCGCCGAGGTTGGAAGGTAGGATCAAGGACGTGGGACCTAGTGTTGCTATTGAAGCCTAAACCTAAAGCTTGAACGTAGTGATCTCATAGATGGAAGAGAAAATACAGAAGAGGGCATGAAGATGAACATGACATTAAACATTTTCAAGTATTCTATACCTGCGTACATGTCCCCTTACCCTTTCCCTTTGTAGAACGGATTCTCCCTTTAACGCCAATAAAAAGTCTAGGCTACGTACGTACTCAGATTCTACCATTGCGTACCACGACGAAACATTGCAAAAATGGGTAGAAAAAGGGTAAAGGAAAAGAAGCAAAGGGTTTACATAAAATTTTCCTCTCGGGAAAAAGGAGGGAAAAAAAGAAGAAGAAGAAGAGAGCGTGTAAGGGTATACAAAACAAGATTACATGAGGATATTATATCTTTTCCAATTGATGCGTCGAAAGGAAAAATCCGGTTCCGTCCAAGAAAAAATGGAAAAGGACAACGTAAATCAGCATCTCTTTCTATCTTAACAAAACGTCATATCTTCGCCAGTCTTGGCCAAAAGAAAAAAGGCTATGAGGACAAGGGAATTACAAGTTCTAATGCGGCGTCGTCATGGTCCTGGAGAGATTGGACCGCTGCGGCAACGACTCCTTGCGCAGCTGTCTCACAACCGCCTCTAGCTTTCTCCGTTCTTCTTGCTCAGCCTGTTGTATATGTTAGTCACACTGCATCAAACCCCCAAAGCAGTCAGGGAAAAAGAAGGGAAAAAACATACCCTCAAAGCCTTCAACCCCTCGGCCGTGCGATCCCTCATCATCTTTCTAAAATCCTCTCTCAACATCCTAATACTCGTAGCTCCCATGTCCAACTGCATAGCACCGGAGCCAGTCCCCATTGGAGTCCCTGGACTCCTAATTCCCAACCATTTGACCTTCTCATCGCTGAGCTCCCGCTCAAGCGCCTCCTTGTCATCCCTCAGCTTGTCAATTTGAGACTCAAGCGCATCGCGATCTTTTTCATTGGCAATAGCGTCACGAGTGAGAGCCTCGTATTCGGCAGCCATGGCAGAGAGTTCAGCCTTAAGGTTGCGCTCTGACTGGCGGGCTTCGGCTTCGGATTGGGAGGCCACGTCTTGAACTTTGCGGAGGGCCTCGAGTTCGCCGCGGAGAGCTTGGTTTTGGTCGGCGAGCTCGTCGAGTTCTTTTTTGATGGCCGGGTTAGCGGCAGAGTCGGCGGCGCGCTGGGCGCGGGTGCCGTAGGCGCCGTCGAGTTCGGCTTTGGCGAAGGTGAGTTCGGTGGTTAGGCGGACGATTTCGCCTTCGAGTTTGCGAAATTCCTCTTCTTTTGCGTTGAGCATATTGGTTGCGTCGAGGGAGCGGGCTTCGGATGCTTCCTTTGCCGCAGTCACTGCTTGCAGAGCAGCTGTGGCTTGGTCGGTTCTTTGCGTCAATTCGGCAAGTTGAGTTTTGAGAGTTTCACCTTCGCCGCGGGCTTCCCTTAGCTCCTTCTCAAGCATAAGAGCGCGCTCCTGGGCATCCCGTACTTGGGCCTCGTAGCCAGCAGTACGTTCCTCTGCCTCTTGTGACGAGACATTGTATGCACTGTTGCGTTGTTGGTGGTCTTTGAGCTCCTCTTCGTAAGAAGCAGCGCGCTTCTCAGCGTCTTGAAGCTTGCTCTGGTAGTTCACAGCCTGCTCCTGGACGTCCTTAAGCTGATTCTCGTAGGCGACGACACGCTGCTTGGCCTCCTTCAGTTCCGATTCGAATGCAATCACACGCTCTTGTACATTGATCAGCTGAGCCTCAAGTCCCGCATTACGTTCTTGTGTCCCGCGCAGAACCTCTGTATCGGCATTGCCCTTTTGCGCATCAAACTGCGACAATTGGCTCATGGCCCGCTCGAGTTCATCTTCCATCGACTTCTTTTCGGACCTCGCACTGAGAATTTGAGTGTTGAGACGCTCAAAGTCTGCCTCCTTTTGTGCATCAGACTTGCTATTGAGCTCACGTTGCTGTTTGATCTGGCGCAGAAGAACCGACTGCTTCTCTTTGAGGCTAGTAGCACGCTTGAAGAGGAATTGAATCTTTGAGGAAAAGGCGAGAAGCGAGTACTGCTCATTGCTGTTGAAGTCTTCGTCAGGAGAGAGTTGTTCGTCGGCATCTGGGTCTTCGGCAAGCAGTCGGCGTCGCTCACGCTTGCGTTCGAGCGCCTGCTCCTCACCAGTTTGGATCATGTCCCACAGACCCTTGATTGTACTCTCATACTTTTCAGCCTTTTCAGAATCCTCGCCCATGGAAGCACCAGAGCCAAGTTCCTTGATGCGCTCAGCCATAGCAAACTGGATCTGCTCGAGGTTGTAGAACGTATCCTCCATGTAATTGAGCTGCTCTGTGGAGCCATTGCCGTTGATTGCTGGTGGTGGAAGTATCTTCTCATTTTGTTCATTCTCGGAGCGGGAAACGACCGAATAAAGTTGGTTGTTGATATTCTCCAGACGACCTTCGACCTCACTTAGCGTCTGCCTGGCGTTTGTGCGGATATTGGCTTGTTCTACGCTGATGTTGCGGATACCTTGGTCGAGAAAGTCGAGCTGGCGGTCAATGGTTGAAGCATCCAATGTTCCTTCGAGCACAAGTGGCGGCAAAGAGTAATCCTCGTCCCGTTCGGGGTTGGCCTCGATGATGAGATTGCGTAGTCGCTCATTCATTTCTTGGAGCCGCGTGGCCAGTGCGCCAAATGCTTGATTCGACCGCTCGGGTTGGTGGTGCGTTCCGTTCTGGAGAACAGTCATGAGATTGTCGAGGTTCTCCGGGGTTCGGTAGAGGCTTCGTTCGTCAAAAGCACCCGCGCTCATACCGTTCAGACGGGTATCATCGTACGTGTCGAGGCTGGCGGGGCTGTCTGGTCTCCGAAAACGATCCTCTGACTGGTCGTTTTCTTCCCGCTGCTTGGGTCCCTTGTGCGTGAGTTGGAGTACGGCGGCCGTGTGCATGAGCAATTGCATGTCGATCATGCGCATGCGAGACTCAATCTCCAGACATTCGCGGATAAACTCCTCGACCTTTCGGTTGCTCGATTCTAAACCCTCCTGCTCCTTGGCATCATAATCAGGAACTGGATTGCTGCCCTTGCTGGCCAGGCCTCTCTTGTGGCCGTTTCCCTTAGTGCCAGCGAGGCGGCCGAGCGAACGGGTGGCATCGCGGATCTTGGTTTCAGACTCGAGTTTGCGGCGGACTGTGGCCAGGCGGGTGTCGAGCACCTTCTGCTCCTGCTTGAGCGCGTCGACCTCCTCGACGGTGAGAATGTCAAACTGCTGGCTGTCTCCTATAGCCGTCTCGACCAGCAGGTGCATAGCGACAGGGTCGGTGTTGAGGGCATCGAGGCCGCGCTTTCCCGAGTTGCGCGGTGTGTACATGCCGTTTTCGCGGACTGTTTCCCGGCGGCCGTCTACAAAGACGTCTGGAGGGGGAATGAAGGCACTGGTGCCAAAGCGCGGTGAGATTTGGTAGGCCATGGGGAAGAAGCTAGGCGACGGAGCATCAACACCAGACGGGTAGTTTGACGTGGGCGAAGGGAAACCGAACTGGGCACGGGGACTGAGAGCGTCGCCCGCATAGGGGAACTGGGTGCGCAGGCCATTGTTGCTCATGGTGGCTCGCAGTCGCAACGGGCGGCGAGAGGGCGAGTCGAGGCGGTGGGGAGCGGAGAGGGAGCGGAGAGAGAGGGCGACGGGGGCGCAGAGGAACAGGATGCGCGTAGCAGCCAGCGAGAGAGTTGGGGCCTCACGGGGCGCGAGGCATGGCGGTGGAGGGTGGCAGCGAGTGTTGAGGAGAGGAGGGCGCTACGACTCTACTCCATATGTATTAGAGCAGCATCGAGGTTGGCCTCAATGCGGTGCAATGCCGCCCGTCAAGGGGCGGGAGATTCGCTACTTCATGCGCTTGGCAGGCACACAGCCATCCACATCCACATCCCCACTACCGCCCATTCCGCCCAGGCCTTGGTCTCGCATTCACATTCGTTGGCCGGCCCGTTTCCTTTTGACTCCACCATGGCCGCCACCTGCTCTTCTGCCCGAATGTATTGTTCTTGTGCACTTGCTCAGCGCTGCGGCTGCAACTCCGACGACGCGTCATTCTCTTCACGCCAAAGCTGACCATCATGAGCGCACGACCAACTTACTCGCAGCCTCAGATAGCCCGGTATTTCGATCGGCTCAAGCTACCGCAGGAACAGCGCCGATATCGCGTGGCCGGCCTGCCTGACGCCGACATCTTGAACTACCTGACGCTGCTCCAGAAGCTGCATCTTGCAGAGATTCCCTTTGAGAACTTCGCGCTGCACTACTCAACCCACCACTCAGTGTCTGTGCACCCGGAGCAGCTGTTCAACAAGATCATCGGCGACAATAATGGCCGCGGTGGCTACTGCATGGAAAACAACTGCCTTTTCGGCACCCTGCTAACCTCGCTCGGATTCACCCTCTACTCGGGCGCCGGTCGAGTCTTCGAAGGCACCAGCTCGGGGGGTTGGATGCACTACATCAACTTTGTCACCATTGGCGATATCAAGTACCATGTTGACGTTGGCTTTGGCGGCGATGGTCCGATTGCGCCCATGCCTCTGGATCCCACAGGCACGGTGCAGAAGCACATTCAGCCTGCGTCGGCTCGCCTCCAATGGCGCAATATCCCCGGTAACGTGGACCCTAACCAGCGTGTTTGGGTCTACGAGTACCGGAGGAGCGATGCCAGCGACTGGGAAATGAAGTACGCGTATTCCGAGCTCGAGTTCCAGCCGCAGGACTATGTCGCCATGAACTATTTCACCAGCACTAGCCGGCACATCTTTTTCACAAGCAAGATTATAGCACACAAGAATATTCTTGAAGACGGCGAGTTGATAGGCAAGATGAGTATGGTAGCTGCTACGCTGAAATGGAACATACACGGGGAGAAGACCAAGGAAATCGAGTTCAAGAGTGAAGCAGAGAGAGTTGAGGGGTTGGACAAGTACTTTGGCATCAAGCTCACCCAGGCAGAGCGCGACGGCATTGCTGGTATGCCTTCCGAGATTAAGTAGAAAAGAATTGATTGCTTAACATCTACCTGGTGCGTGTCGCTTGACATACTGCGTCGTGCGTGTACTAGAGAAGTATATAGGCCTAGAAGAATCGTTGCTCGCACTGGGGCGTGGTTAGCATCAACCTGAATGTATGTCGTCTGTCTCAGTACGTACCCTCCACGGGTTGTTGAGTTCGAAGCCGGCGGGGGCGACGGCCTGGTCGGTCTGGCCACGCATGAAGCCCGTCAGTCGGCGGTCGCGTTCCATCACTGGCGTCGTGTGAGTGCATGCATAGCATGAGGTCATGGTTGAGTGGAGTGGTACTTTGCTGTAGCCATGTTAGCAGCCGCTCGATGCGCTCTCAGCGCTCACAGTCCACAACTTACCCTGTCCCATGCATCGATACCCCGTCGCGTTCGCTTTCCACCGTTCTGAATCTCCTGGAGCTTTCCGACCGATACTGCGCTGAAGGCGAAGAACTGCAGCCCGGTTAGTCATCTCCCCCGCCCGCCGCAGCCCGGCGCCATTGACTCACGCCAGTCATGATAGCATAGGGCAGCAGAGCCTCGAACGGGACACCCATGATTGCGGTTGTGTATATGCAGTCGCAGTGGTGCTGTTGGGGTGGTGGTGGTTGTCAATGTCGTCGTCGTCGACTACGAAGCTAGGGCAGAGGTGCCGGCGTCGTCAACTGAGGATGCGGCCGTGCGTGTCTTGGCCTCCCCGACCTACGGGCAGAGAGAGAGCCACTTCAGACGACCAGAACGCTCCGCCCACGCCGTTTCCAGACGAGCTACAATTATTGCCAGTGTCGCGCCGACTCTCACTTTCATACGAACCACGGATCCCGATACCTTGACCTCGCCTCTCCGCGGAACAATTGCGCCCGCTGCCACTGCCCTCCTCCGGCTTCCCCACAGCACCCAACAACGCGACCACGAGCCCGCCACATCTCACTGCAATCACTGGCTGCCGGCGGGATTCCTGCCACGTCTGCTTCTATCCAAAGAAACGCGGTTGGGCGTCTCCCCGGCCCGCATCAACGCGCTGCAGTGCAGACACGACGCGTTCACCGGCCGCCGCTCCCACTAGCCTCCGAGGCTGCCACTACCCACCCATCCCATGTGTTAAGGCTCACACGACCCTCGGACTGCGACACTGGCGTTTCTAGCCTCAAAGGTGGCCTCTGCCGTCAACCTGGCCATGGCGGAGCTCATGGGTCAGACCGCGAGCAACACCGATCTGGACGACCTGGATGCTGATGGCGAATATGAGATGGATGATGTCGAGTACGCGCAGCCTCCTGCCGCCCAGCCCGCCCCCGACAACCACAGTCATACAACCGATGCTGAAGGCTCAGATGTGGATGCCGAGGGCGAAGAAGTCGACGACGACGAAGACGATGCTGAGCCAGTGGGCGATGTCAAGATAGCGCGTCGGGCGTCCGTTTCGGACGAGGAAGACGACTACGATGCCGAAGATGCCGCAAAAGAATCCTCGGATGCCAAGTCCAGCGACAGTGACGACTCAACAAACGCCGACTCTGAAGAAGAAAACCAGTGGCAGGGGAGCGAAGACGGCGACGAAGACGAGCTAGTCAAGTCGTCCAACCCCAATGTGTGCATGTCAGTATTGCTCTGGGCAATTCCAAGTCCGATAGTGTAGACTGACTCGCACCAGATACTGCAAACAAGACGAGGACAACGACCCCAGCCCAGACTTTGAAGAGTACCTCTCCTGTGCCGTGTGTGGAGACAATGGTGAGTGGTCCACTGCGAATGTTTGGCCTTGGTTTCGGTAGCTGACATATTGTCCCTGCAGCACATCGGCAATGCGCTCATGGCGCTAATACGCTTAGTCCCAATGACGGTATGCTCTCTTGTCACGCCCAATCTGGCTCCACTAACAAGTGCTAGATGCAAAGCGTTGGCGATGCGATCACTGCCTCGACAATTTTCCAACAGAGGAAGAGGAGGAGGCCCAGCCCCAACAGCCTGCAGCTCGTCGTAGGCATTCTTCCAACAAGCTTACCAAGGAGTTGCTCCCTTCACTGCGTGGTGTTGACCCAGCAGGCCATTCCATCTTCAAAGACTTGATCCTTCCAGATGAGCAACCAGACGGCCTCCGTTCGCTGCGGAAGCGCAAAACTTCCCATGGAGATGAGGCATCAACGCCTATGCCGTCACGGCAAACGAGGAAAAAGAGGAGACCATCTGAGGCCACTCACTCGGATGCGGCCCCATCAATACCTACAAACTCACCCAGACCGCCGTCGAGAAGCGTGCGAAGTGCTCGCAGCGCCATGGGTGATGGTCATGAAAGTGGGGGCGATGCAGAGCATACTGGATCAGACCGGGAAACCACCCGTTTACGACCAGCACGAGCGCGGCGTGGACAACCAAAAAGAACCGACAAGAGGCCACTCGCGTGGATCGAAGAAGCGCAAGGTCTCAGCTTGATTATTGCCTTCCATCTCAACAACGAAAAGGTCCAAAAGATTGTGACTTCGAAACCAAAGAAAAAGGCCCCGCTTACCATTGAACAAGAACGACAAGAGAGGCGGCGTGAGAGAGATCGAGAACGTCGCGAGAGAAATCGCCGTGCTGCACAGGCGGCGCGAGAATCACCAGAGGCCTCACACTACCCAGCTATACATCTTCAATACCCCACACCTTTTGCAGGTTTCATGGACAAGGAGACCGACGAGTCCAAGAGCAAGCCCTACGGCGGAGTGCTTTCCGAAGCTGATGCGGACACTTCCAAGACATACCCTACGCAAGCCGACCGGAAGCGCTTCGATGACGCTCGGATCAAGGCTGAGGAAGACTGGAAAGCCAAGCAGGCTGCTCTTTACCCACCTGAGCCGATACGGTCACACAAGCAAGCAGCTACTGCAAGCAAAATCAAGTGTGTTAATTTTGGCGGATGGGAGATCGACACTTGGCATGCTGCTCCCTACCCGGAGGAGTATAGTAAGAACAGGGTGCTTTACATTTGCGAGTTCTGTCTCAAGTACATGAATTCCGACTATGTCGCGTGGCGACACAAGGTGCATACATCCCTGTTACTATCCTAGCATTACTAACGAACCTAGCTCAAATGCCCAGCAAAACACCCTCCTGGCGACGAGATATACCGCGACGGCAAGTACTCTTTCTTCGAAGTCGACGGCAGAAAGAACCCTGTATACTGCCAAAACCTCTGCCTGCTTGCCAAACTCTTTCTAGGCTCTAAAACGTTATACTACGACGTTGAGCCTTTCCTGTTCTATGTCATGACAGAGAACGACCAGTTCGGCTGTCATTTTGTCGGCTACTTTTCCAAAGAAAAACGACCAAGCTCACTCAACAACGTCTCGTGTATCCTTGTGCTGCCCATTCACCAGCGCAAAGGTTACGGGCAGTATCTGATTGAGTTTTCCTACCTACTCACCCGTGTTGAGCGCAAAACTGGCAGCCCTGAGAAACCTCTGAGTGACATGGGTCTTGTAAGTTACCGCAAGTACTGGCGACTTGTGCTATGTGAGGAGCTACTGCAAAAAAAACAACCAATCAGCATATCAGCCATATCCGACCGCACGGGCATGACTGCAGACGACATTATATCCGCACTGGAGGGCTTGCGGGCTCTGGTCCGCGACCCTGTCACTAAAAAGTACGCACTACGGCTCGATCTGGAGTACTTCAAGTCCTACATTGAAAAGTGCAACGCCGCAAGTAATCCCAAGATTAATCCTGAATGTCTTGTTTGGACTCCGTACGTTATGGGTCGACTCGGTCAGTATGAGGATGGTCCAGCTCTGCAGACAGTCCAACAGCGTGACGAAGGCGAAGAGAAGCCCGCAGCAGAAGAGGGCGTACAGATGGATGTTGCAAAGACGAATGGCAACGGTGGAGACATTGAACCCTTCCCACCTGCTCCTGCACATGCGCTCGCTGCCGAAGATTCGACTAACGGCGGCTCCCCTGCTCCCGGAACACCCCTCGCAAACGGATCTACAATCGCTCTAGCAGGTTCACACATGGAGGAACCTGCCATCCCACCAACCCGCTACGAAATCTTCCCACCCATCCCCGGCCAACCCGCTCAGAAACGGCGTCCAGGCCGCCCATTCGGGTCGCGCCGACGAACCAGCACACCAAACCGCATCCGCAACACCCCCATGACGATCCACACCGCGCCCGTCTCGAAAATCCAACTCTCCCCCAGCCGCGGCGCAAAAGCCCAAATGTCGCCCTCAGCCAATGGAGGCGTCCTCACCCCCGGCACCGTATCTCTGCGCCGCACCCGCAGCCGCCTCGGCGAAACCGTCACAAACGGCGACGAAGTCGAGCACGATGCCTCGCGCGGTGGCGGCGCCGTAAAACCTCTTACGCCCAATGGCGGTCGGCGCAGTACACGTAGCTCGGCCAGCTCGTCCCGTGCGAGCTTCGATCTCAAGAGGAAAGGGCGCGAAGTACCAATTCATGAGGAAGACGAAGAGGATGAGGATGAAGATGCAGAAGGAGAAGAAGAGGAGGAGGAGGGGGAAATGGAACGGCATGAGGAAGAGGAGGAGGAGGAGGAAGAGGATGTGGATGGTGAGTATGATGAGGATGAGGGGTTGATGGATATTGATGCGGAGGGAGAGGATGATGATGATGTTGTCATGGGGGGTGCGTGATTCCTCTTGTTTGTTCTTCTTTTCTATATTCCCCCTGTCGCTTCTTCTTACTTGTGAGTGTTTGTCACATTCTCTTCTCTCCGTGCTTGGGCATCAGGTAGAGATGGGAATGATTGTCTTTTTCTTTTCTGATAGTCCGTTATCGAGTTGGGCGAAGAGGGAAGGGAATAACAGTTATCCCTTTGTTTTTCCCCTCTCTCCTATCTCTTTTGCTTTTTTTTTGTGGTTTCGCTTGTACCACTATTCTTACTCATCTTGTCCTGTTTTATTTTGCTTCTGCGCTTTTTTTTGCCAACTTGTACGGCATTTAGTTGGAGATGATACCTTGGGAACTTGTCATGGGAATGATTGGAGTATTGGGGGGTTCCTTCTTTTTTGCGCGCGTGTGTGTACGTGTGGATAGATGTGTGAGGAATTTTCGATATGGTTTTTTGCCATTTTTGATTATTTTTTGCATAACGTCGAAATAACTAAAGAGTCTTTTAAACCAGCGGCGTGACTAGAAACTCTAGTGCTTGTGCGTTGTTTTTGACTTGGGTTTGTGCGAGGAGTGAGAAGTGGGGATGTGGTGATGGATGGGTCTCTTCCCCTTTCTTTGCTGACAAAGACAAGGTCGGATTAACTAACTAACTAACTACGAGGACGTAGTGGGAAGTTATACTTGGCGCAGTTTATCCGACTACTCTTCCTCATCCGGCATCAACACCAATTCTTTCCGCCTCGCTGCGCAAATTTCCATCTGAGAGCATACAAGAAAGGGGGAGGGAGAAGATCGACAAGACAATATAGTCCATGTCACGTGTACACAATATCGCAGCAGAGAACCGACTTTTCTTGTAAATCCCCAAACACCCCAAGTACACCACCATGATCACCACCCAAACCCCATCGCCGTCACCATAACTCTTCCACATGAACCAAGTCAAACGCATCATTTGAAAAAAATAGTTGAATTACATCTAATGCTCCATCATATCGCATCGCACCCAAGATCCCACACGCGTTACACGAAAAAAAAACAAAATCCAATCGCTAAACCCATTTCAGTTTCGCCATGAAAAAAAAGTGTGTCATCGAACATGCTACACGCTCATTGCCCATATCAGTAATAACCCTCTCTCTCTCACACACACACATTCCCCACAAACCAATGCCAAAAGTTCCCAAAACGAAAGAAAAGAGAGAGAGAGAGAAGAGATTATACACCCCTCCCCCCCCAAACCCCCCAGCCACAATCCTCAAAAAAATACGCACGCCGACTCCTCTCCCACGTTATTTTGAAATCCCCCTCCCCCATCCCCCTGCTGCAATAACTGAAAGTGTGTGTGTGTGTGTGTGTGTGCTCCGTTTTCCTCATCCCATATATCCATCCATCCATGAACTACCCCCGTTCCTCTTTTACGACCCCATAAAAGACGGATCATATGCTAAATTCCACGCATAACTCGTATCGTGTCTGACCGGCGCCTGCAAGCCCTGATTCTGCAGAGTCTGGCCTTGCAACCCTTGTGATTGTAGATACGGCGTGTTAACAAACGGACTGACGTTTTGGTAAAAGCCCGACATGAGACTCGAGGGGTTGGCGCTCTCGACGCTATCTTCACGGCGTTTCTTGGCGAGCGGTTGTTGTTGTTGCTGTTGCTGCGACTGATCGCTCGTAAGGTCGCCGCTGCCGCTGATACTCCGTTTGTTGCTCATCATGCCGCGGGCTTCTTTGCGGAGGCGCAAGCGCACGCCTTGGTCTGAGAAGGCGCGGGAGAGGTAGGTGGATTCTTCTAGCCCTTTAAAGTCTTTCGGGAGGACAACGTTGAATTTGTCGGATAAGACGTGGCCGAGGCATTGGTATGTGCCGTATTCTGGGGGGTCGAGGGCGGCGCCTTGGTAGCGCTCGAGATCTTTATGTTGTTCGAGGTCGGAGAGGGTGAAGTAGGAGGGTTGGAGTTCGTAGAGGGTGAAGCGGAGGCGGTAGGTGCCTTGGACTTTGATGGAGATGTCACCGAAGATGAAGAAGGCACCGTCTTTGTTGTTAACGTCTTTGAGGCGGTGGAGCGATGAGACGAGCGTGCCGGCTAGGACGTCAAAGGGTGTGCCTTCGATTGGTTCGTCCTTGTCGTGCTTGTAAAGGGAGACGCTGACGAAGAGGTAGGGGTTTTGCAGGAATTGTTGGCTGGGGTCTATATCTGAGCTCACTTTGAGTTCGAGCATGGGTGGTGGATCAAGTGGCTTCCTGAACTTCTCCTTGCCCTTGACAGTGACAAGAGCCTCTTTGGGCTGTTGCCGTACAGACAGGAAGCATGATGATGGACTCAGTGCGCCTGATGTTGTTGTGTTTGTGATGGGGAGCGAGTATATCGGCGACGGTGTGGGGACTTGGGTTTGTTGATATGGGACATAGGCTCGTTGTGATGGATATGATGCTTGCAGTGAGTAATTATAAGAGAACGCCATTGTCGTGGCAGCGTGGTCGCGAACGGGGTTCTAGAACAGGCTTCGTCTATGGTTGTGTCGGTGGCAGTTGCAATGGTAGTGGTAGTAATGGGGTTTGTTGTGGTAGTGGTCAAGGTAGTGGCTACTCTTCGTGGGTGTGGTTGTCGAGGTGCTGTGGTTGTGGCTATGAAGCTGGTGTGCAAGTGTTCTATGGTAGTGCAGCCGACCTGGGCTGTGGTTGAAGGCAATGGCGACCTATATAGTGCCCCAGAATATTGAGAACAGGCGAATTTGATGATGTATCGATAGACGGTAGCGAACGTTGAGGTAATAATCCAAGGGGTCGGGCCAATGGAACAAAGGGCAGTGCAAGGTCGATAAGCCGACTGGTAATGGTGAACGTTGGTATGAGCCGTAAAGGGACAGTTCGCATGGGCGCTACGCCTATCAGAGCCCTCTGTTTGTAGGGCAGAGGTGCGGAATGGTGCTGCCTGACCTGGAAAGTCCAGTCGAAGAGAGGTAAAGTGCCGTTGCCCAATGTGATGATTTCTGCACTGCCGGTTTTGGATCTGAGGTGCACCACTGGGGAGCCTCGTTATGGTAATGGTTTGGGCGGCAGTGGGAACGGTGGTCTGCCTGTTCAGTGGGACCCAACTAGAGGCCCGTTGGCGCCTGCGAGGGATGACTCCACACCCAACGGCAATATCCAAGTCGGAAATGGCGCAGCTATTGGGAGCAGCAGCAGCAGCAGCAGCAATAGTAGTAGTACTAGTAGTACTAGTAGTAGTAATGGTAGTACTAGTAGTAGTAATGGTAGTACTAGTAGTAGTAATGGTAGTAGTAGTAGCAGCAGCAGCAGTCTGAGTTGCGCCTGTGATGATAAGTATTCGCAGTCTGCGCTCCTTCATGTATTGTAATGACAAAGTCTTTTTCCACAATACATAGCACCTAGGTACAAGTACAAGGTGGAGGTGGTAGCAGGCAAAAAGCTACTCAAAGGGGATAAGAGGCAAAGGGTCCTCTTGTGGTGGCAGCGAACCGTGGTAGAGAGGTAATTGGTGTAATTCCGATCGTAGCCACGGACACGGCCGCTTTTCAACGGCGTCGAAGGGGGGGAAATAGGGCTACGCTGGTGGACCAAGTCAGAAGCGATGGCGAACCGGGGAAAGAGCGTTTGGGCAGTGTGGGATGAGTTGTAAAGGCGAGCAATGGAAGACTGAAATACACAGCTTTGAGAAGAGTGAGGTCTGATAGCTCGAGAAGAAGCAACGTACAAAGGTAGTGCATGCAGTAGGAGAGCTGGCAAGCGTACTTTGAAGCGTCCGTCAGAATCGGGGCTCCTCTACAGACGTCGTACGGGTCCGTGGCGGCTTTGCTAATGATTCGCTACGCAGGCTCTAGTCTCTGGGAGCAACTTGTGCCGAGCGCGGCCGATCAAGGTTGTAGGGTCCTTGACTAACGTGCGTGCTAAGGGAATGAACAAAGGCGGCGTGGATCATGCGAACAAGCTCTAGTGTAGCCAATGGCAAGAGTGTCTGGGGGTATTACTTCTTTTGTAGCCACGGTTACATCCAAGACTAGTATCTTTCGCTTGTTGACCAAGTGTCGGTGGATCCCGCTGCTGCTGCCCGTGAGAAACCCCTGAAAGTAGTGATGATGTGTTGGATGTGCGGTGGACCGTCTTGGAATGGACCGGTTGGACGGTACAGTGGAAAACGAATGTGCTCTGGGTGATGACGGAGTGGGAGCATGCAACGAGGACGAGGTGGGAGGGCTGGCCAGGTGGTATGCGCATGTGCAAGCGTGCGGATAACGGTTGGACAGAAGAAAACGAGCGACAAAGATGGACTGGGGCAGGGGCAATAGCTGTCTTGGGAGGGCAGCAGCAGCGCTGGACGTCGAGAAGCACTTTTGAATAAAGTCGCGGATTCAGCAGGTGTTGTTTTGCAGCTTGGTTGCAGCACCAGCCCGTCTGTGCTATCAGTTCCGAGCGAGGGTGTTCCATGCAGCCGAGCGATGAAAGACTAGGACAGCACAGACGGCGCAGCGGCAGGACCTGAGTAGCAAGGAAAGGCCTGGCAGTGCTTGGATCCAACGGTCATCCCAGGTTTGGGCAAGGCAGGGCACTGTCGACGGATATTGAACGAGGGCCCCGGTTGCGTGCGGCGGGAGAGCCCCACGCTCGTAAGCTGGTAAACACCCAGAGCAGGAACACGGGATTTAGCCATCTGGAACACTTTAATTGACGAGGCTACATATAAACTCCCGTTCGACGCCCAATATATCGCCATGTGGCCGTCAGCCAGGCCTTGATGCGCGGCAGTTGGAGACGACAGACGCGACCAAGGCCAGCAATGACTGCGGCCGGGCGAGTACACACGACGAGTGCTGAACACGTCCCCAGGCACAGTACGTCGACAAGGCCGAGGAGGGCCTGATGGCAGCCCCCGGTACGTGCCTTTTTTGCCTCGAGGCTCCAAGAGTGACAGACGGGCGGAGGCTAGCACACGGCGACACAATGATGATGGCGTTTCACAGCACATGACGGTACACAGGCACACGGACACATGGCGACATGGTAGGCGGGAGCAGACTACCTGTCGTCAATGAAGCGGCCGGGGAACGCACAGAGAGCAGTGCAGGGAGCGGTGGGTATTGAGCGGCTGAGGCGCATGGGCAGCGAAAAGGCCCAGCCAGCAATGACGCACGGCGGGTGCAGCCAACGACCTCAATAAAACAGCAGCACGAAGCTGGGGCTACTTGGGCGGGGGAGCAGAGGAATTGTCTTGTGTAGAGGAGGCGGCCGTCAAAGAGAAGTGGGGAGGGATGATCGCCATGGAGCATTTGGGTGGCTGGGATGTTAGCAGGGATGGGGGGTGATGTGCAAGCGAAAGACTGCCAGTCGCGCCGTTCGAGTGGCCCAAGGAAATTCTACGACGTTGCACTGTGTGGCCCGCACCCCCGTTCACCATCCCTTTAGCCACCAGGCCGACCAGCAAATGAGCCTGCTAGCTCGGCAGCCTTCCTCTCTGACAGCAGCACTAGATGTCGCCATGGCCCTAGGCGCCCTCTGCCCGGGAACTGCATCGCCACGCCTGATCGTCCATGGCCATGTACCATCTCCGCCATCTGCATCCTCGCCATCGCCCGCAGTGCCTGGGCCACCACCGCCGCCTGTGCTCACGTGGTTGGCGCTTTCACCCTCCGTGCGCTCCTTGGCCGCCCCCCGCGCAGTTCCCGCCAAGCACATGACCGCCCCCCCCCTTCCCGCGCCATTGCCGCTCTCCATATGTCGCCAATATTATCCCAACACCCGCCTTGTATGCGCTTAATTTACTTTTTCGCCTGCTATTAACCCATATCCACCGCTGCACAATACCGACAAGTCTCCACCGACCACCCTCCGCCCATGACGCCCACCAATTCGTACAATGCTCATGTACTGGCCATCCATGACAAGACACGAGCTCCAAAACGCGCACGTTTGCACCAAGCATCGCACAGATGGATAGTTGTCCCGCTTTGGCATCCATGAACACATCCATCTGGTCCCACAATCCGTCACTGACGCCCATATTCCCCTCTTCAAGCCAAAAACTTTACTCCGCTCCAAAAACCAATCTGGACCGGCTTCGGCTTCGGCTTCTCGAGCTCGCTTTGACAAATCTGCTGGCCAATCCCGCCCCTTTGAACCTATGTGGGGTCACTGAATGAGTGTAGCTTGCACTTACATGCTGTACTTGCTATAGGAGCCTTGGAAGCCTCTCTTCTCCTGCGTCCCATCTGCTCGTATGCTAGCAGTGCTCGGCCCTCACACGCAAACCGGTGACTCCAGCTTGAAACATGCAACCGTGTGCAGTACTTGGACTTGGACTATGCCGTACACAGCAAATGTGCCTCATGCGTCCACGCTTATGCCGCCCTCGTAACTGCCGCACTGTCCGGAGAGATGAGAAATCAAAACGAGCAATTTTGCACTAGCAACCACGGCAGCACCGCGTGATGAACATGCTGCGCTGTTTACTGCACCTACACTTGTCGTGCATCTGAGCTAACAGGTCAGTGACATCAATCGACCTCAAGTTTACGGTCAAACATGTACCTCGAAGTACTTTTTTCCACACTACCAAAAGACTGTAGGGGGAAGTGTCTATCTTGATGTGAAACTCGACGACAACTAGTCATGCCACAGCTCCGTACTACTACCTCTGCCTGGGAAAGACGGCGCTCGTAGCCTCATGCACCTCACTGAGTCTTGGCAAGATAACATTTGACATGTAGGTACGTACTGCGGCCTACTCGGCACGTCATTCGTGCAAAGCCCAAATTTGTGGGCTGTACCAGACTCAGGACAAGCTCCCACAACGTAATCACAGCCCACAACGTTTCAGCTCGCCCATTGTCCATAGATTACTGTCACACCTTTTTCCTGTGGCAAGAAGGTACCGCGTGACAAGTACTATCAGGCAGTCTTCACTACGCCTCCTCACATCCTGCTCTAGATCCAGCTCATCGGCCGATGCAAGACCTTCTCGACTCGCTGTGGGTCATGCAACGGAGCCGAGAAGCTTTGGTAAATGAAGGTAGAGTACACGCACATTGTCACTGGCTCCACGCCAAAATATCCATGATCCCGGGAACAAAGAACAAGATGCAGCAGGCGGCCTCGACACCGGTTCTCAGGCCCTACCACTCGATTGGCTCTGAAGGGTTTCCGGAGATACCGTAGGCCCAGTTTCCTCGGAGCTGCCTACGCTAGCTGGACTAGACGGGGGAGGGGTGCTGGGCTGAAGGTAAGGGAAGAAAATCTGAACTGATGGACTGTACGTACACGGAGACGCCGCCAAGTAAGCTGATAAGTAGACTGCATTGCATAAGCTCACGGCGAGTCACAATCACGAGACTGTTCAGAAAAAGGAGGCAAATACGAAAGACAGTCTCAGTTGCTCTGTACAGCTACGTAAAAATAACTCGAATGGCTAGCTGTAGTCATCTTGCCCTTTGCCCCAAGCACCAGCAAAGACTCGGCATACGATTGGCCACTGCCACCCCCCAACTCGATACCTCTCAACCACGGGTCAGGCTCCCAACGGCGTCGATTTGGGCCCGGCGTTGAAGCTCCAAGACCCGGAGTCCGCCGCGGGTGTGTGTGTGGCTTACACACCCTACTCTACTCACTCTCTCCCTGTGCTTTGCGTAGCTTGCCGCTGATCAACCATTTTTCTTTACTGCACGTGCGGCGGCGCAGCCACACTTGCTTGTGGGATCCCCATTGATGGTGGAGGAGGCCATCAGCGTCCAAACATGTTCGCTGCCCTCATGTCCCCGTGTGGCTACGTCAGCTTCTCGAGTCGTATCATGAATTTCTCACTCTGGGGCGGTGCAGTGTATGAGTCGGACTGCTCGATGCCTGTGTCATCTACAATCGTGGTGCGGTAGTTTGAGTATAGGGCCGCGACTATGTACTTCATTTCTGTGTCCACGTCAGCATATTGCGTTACCTACTCAGCTTACGAAGCTAATAGGAATTCAAAGTCACTTTCTCCCTCCTTTCCTCCTTGTGTGGCTATGAAGAGGGGGAAAGGGGGGATACGTGACTAGTAGATACTTACGGTACACTGCCAAATGACTTCCCACACACATTCGACCACCACTAGTACACACAGTGTAAGCGTAAGCCAGCTCCGATTACGTCAAAGGAAACCAAACAACCAAAAACAGGGTCATACTAACCTGCCGAATGCCCAAAACCATCGGCTCTCCATGTCCCTCCGCTTTTCGTCGGCCACCTTGTCGAGTCCCAACCAGCGATCTGGTCGCCATTCACTTGCACACTCGTATACGTCGTCGTTCAGATGCAGCAGGCCCGCGCTGGCGCTCACCCTGACTCCGCCCGGAACATGGTACGATGTCTCGTCTGTTGGGCCAAGCCGGCAGCCTTGCGGGGGCGTGAAACGCGGTTGTGGGCCGGGAATCGCAGAGTGAAGACGCAGGGTTTCCCATATGACGGAATGTAGCAACGGAAGGGCATCGACGGCCTTCGGGTCGGGCAGATTGGGTGCTGAGGATACTGCCAGGCGGGGAGATAGGCCGAGGAGCTCGTCCTGGAGACGAGTCTGAATATCTGGGTGCTTGGATAGCTCGTGGACGACGTAGTTGAGCGTTATAGCAGAGGTGTCGAAACCCGCGGCCAGATGATCCAGGACTTCACTTGCCATGGCGGTAGGATCCGACATACTACCCGAACTCTTACTTGCTTCCTTTGCCATGCTGCTCTGCAGCTGCTGATAGACTACAGGCCGGTCCTCGACCCCTGCGGCGGCGACGCCAGCATCCAGCACACGCACAGCCTCATCGCACATTTTGGTCACCCATCCCTCGATCTTGCCATTTGCCTCGTCGACCCATTTGGGTGAGAAGCGGTAGCCCAGCCATCTCTCTGCCAGGCTAGTCAGGAGCGGGAACTCTTGCGGCCAAAAGTTGAAGGATCGCCGTGAGTAGTATAGATCCAAGAACCAGGCGAGTTGCTGGGGGTCCTGGATTAGGTTCGACCCTGCTCGCTGTCCGAAGATGTAGGACGTCACAATATCCATTGTTGTCGCACTGAGCAGTGCGTAGATGTTCAAAACTCCGTTTTCGGGTCCCGTGCATACGGACTCTAGATATGGCAGGAAGCGCTTGTACATGATTGTCGATGCCTGTATGAGCAGCGATTCACTAGCAAGAACATGCGACTTGCTGTAGATGTTGCTCAGCATGCGCTTTCTCTGCGAATGCAGCCTATTACCGCCCGTGGAAAACATGTTGCCGGTTCTGCCAATTCACGCGTCAATGCCCGCTAAAAACCATGTGTGCTATTGTTTTTTCTTCAAGTCTCAAACAGGGCAGTTCATTGCTCACCCGCTATAGTTTGTAAAAAACGAATACCAATTATACCCGTTTTTCGCATTGACTTTTTCGAATCCCCCGCCGTAGACATCGCGGATACCGCCCTTGACGCAATTGATACTGATTTCTTCGGGGCCCAAACACACAATTGGGCCCAGTCTTGCATGTGCCTCTTTCAGCGTCGCATTCTCAATGTGTCTCCAGCGCACCCAGGCTATCCACAGCGACGACACGTGCGCCGTGGGATGCGCAGCGGGGATCTTCCGCAGCGGATTGCGAACGTACGCCACGAGCACGTGGATGACAACGAGAGCCGGGAGCAAGACGGCCGGCGCAAGCAACGACGATGCTTCAATCATGGTATGGTGATCTATCGAATTTTCGCGTTCGGTTCGTTTAAGTAAAACAATGAACGAAAGAAAAAAAAAGAGAAGAAGTCCGCGCACTCAAAACGTTCCTTGATTTCTTCGCATTGGCAAAAAAGAAACAAGTTCGTTAGCAGAGAGGTGTAGCCCCTCTAGTTACCTTACTTACCTACGCAAAGCTTAGCTTTAGCTCCGATATCGCCAACCTTTCTTTTGTTCGTTCTTCCTTTTACCGACCGACGCAGGAACAAATGCGCGTGCACCACTCGCAAGGACCCGAGAGTATCCAAAAAAAAAAAAAAAGCAAGGAGTCAAGAAGAAAAGAAAAGAAAAAAAAAAAGCGAAGCCGTATCTTTCGCCCGTCGAAACTCCACAAACCCAAGTGCGGGAATCCCTAATGTCCCCTTTAGTTAACTTAACGACCCGCAAAGGTCCAGTCATTCATTACCCCCCATCTTCTCGTAATCTCACGCCTTATGTCAAAACCCCCCCGCAACCTACCTTTACCCCTCCACTCCACTACCACCACCACTACTCTCGGCGCAACACCCGATATCTTATCGCCAAAACCCACTTCCACCCCACCCATGTAAACGCACAACCCCCGTTCTTTGTGTCTCGTTCAGTCCTAGTCCTTTGATCCAACATGCGCTATCACCAAAACGTGATTAGTGCGTAAAGTGCGATTTAGCGCTGTTTTTTTTTACCGAAGCGCTTGAGGCACAGGTGGCGCTGTGGGGTTCCAACGTTCTTGCGAGTGCGTGCGTGTGTGGGTTTGAGGTCTCTCTCTGTCTCAACGGGTTCAACGAAGGTTTGTATTGAATCCACTCTCTCAATGGGGCGAATGGGCGATACATTTCTCGTCCTTTCTTTTCTTTTCTTTTGTGAGGCCTTGTTCATGTGTATCGCTTTGTGCGATTCATGATTTACCGTTTTTTTTTTACCATTTACTGTTTGAGGTTTGTGTTTTGGTTTGCACGTGCATGTGGGTTGTGTCGGAGGGGGCTTTTTTGTTGGTTCCCTATCCTTTGTGGGTGTGAAGGCAGTTTATTTACCATGGTGATCTGGGGTTTCTTGGGGCCATCGGGAATATTGCTATGCACATGCCTTTTGCTGTACCATGTTTTGAATCGTTGTTTAAGTCGTTTTTTAGACTTGCGGTGTCCGCTTGGTTTGCTTGAGGCGGAATGTCCCGTGGCGTGGTTCGGTATGTCGGCACCCCACTTGGGGCTAGGCTGGGCGAGGGAACAAGGAGTGGTGAGTTTGTGCATGGCGGTGGTTCATATGCGGGTACATGTTTAGGCTGTCCGGTTCTTTGTTTTTGATTTTGGCGCGGATGGTTGGTGGTATGGTGGGCTGGGCTTTCGGTATGCATGCATGAGTGTGAGCGAATGACGTTTTGGGCGATTCTTGGTTACACGACATGTTTCGTTAGAGAAGAGCGTTAGTCGGCTGTCTCATGTGGTGTTCTTGTGTTACGACATATTGTGCGAGGGTAGGGTACGAAAAGCGCAGTGTTGTTGTTACTTGTTTTGGAAGAATAGGTTGACCGGAAGGGGTATTGGAGAATGTGCTAAAGAGCTCATCTGGAAATACATCTATAAACTTTCTTTCGAGAGATAGTACTGAGCTGATGGAATCTTGAGGGAACATAGTGTGATGAATGATATTACTGGCAATAAGTTCCGAAGAACACTACGGATACAAGAAAGTCCCTTCTTCCTTCCCTTGTATTGATTCTACCACAGCTGTGTAGCATGCATATCCACACTTTCCCATATTACCAAATTTGGGTCTGCATATGCCATCAAAACATTCACACTATGCTCGGAAGTACCAGAAATCGCATGTGCTCTCTAAAAAATCGCACATCCTTCTTGATTGCGGTGCTTGAATACGTCGAATTAAGTCATACTCCATATTGTTTCCCAAGTGGAAACAGTATATAGTCATGTTGAGAAAATGCGTTGTCTCAATGAGCGCATTAGGGTTCTCAAGTCACTTAATTACAGCCCATCGGGAAATATAGATTAGGTATTCTCATCGCGAAACTTACTTTCCCGTTTAATTAGCAACTGCAACTCTCAAGAGACAAGTCATGATAGGTCTTGAAACCAAGGGTAGCGTTATGATGAGTAATAAAAAGACAAAATTATGGCATTGGGGAACTCAATGAGAACCGAGTCATGACCAGCTAACTAACTACATGTGAAGAAAGTCAGAAAATCTGCCAGTCCGACCCTGCTTCCGATACAAAAGTGACATAGGGCAAATAACCCAGGTTACATGACATGTTCCCCAAATGCAGTGCATTAACAACTTGATAGTTGATTTAATACTCTTCATCACCTCTTTATAGCCCTGAACCCAATAGCAGTCCTCTGTTCTGAGAGAAGGAGCCGATATGTAGTGACATCGTCTGGACCACCTTCTTCCCACCAGAAAGCCAAGGGTTGTGTTTCGACGGAAAGCAGGTCACTGAACCTCAATTGTAGCTGATAGTCAGGGAGCCGAACTTCTTACCCTTGACCGTGACGTAGAACTCTAAGCAAGACTGCAGAGATATGTTCACTGTGACTTTAGCAGAGTAGTACATGCGACCAGACGGGCTGGTGCGCTGGTGCATGTCGTTCTCAGATAAGTCGCTCATATCATAAGCGAGCACTGCGACCCGATGGACTGGCTGGTATAGTGTTAGTTATGTTAACTTCTGGGAAAGGTGCATCCACCTTGTCTAACGATTGCGGAGGAGCGATATCTGCATCGCACGAGAACAGCTCCAATGTACCAATACATGCATCTCCAATCCACCAATTAGTTATCATCTACAGATGCATGCATTGTCTTTGATGTGAGAAGGTCTTGCCCCTTTCCGATCAACTATTTCATCTGGTGTTTCGCCATCTTCCTGCCATCGTGTGTGTCGATGTAGGCGTCGGCGTCATCATGGAAAAAGATATTGAAACACCGAGCACAGCTTGTACCGTAGTGTCGACGGCTCTTTCGCTTCAAGACTGCACCACTGCTTTCCTCAAGACCTTTGGCTGCAGCACCTCGAACTGTGGCTGACCAACTGCAACAGGAATTAGTACACTTCTTGTCAGAAACTTGGTGATACTGACGCATGTGGAGGTCAAATCGCTTGTATCTCGTGCATCTCTACGAAGTCTTTGATCTTGGCGAACATGTATGGCGATTCTGAGAAACCGCCAACCATGAATATATACTGGACATGTTAGTAAACGTAAGCCCGCATCACATCAAGATAGTTGGATTGCACGAAATTCAGCGTTGCGATGGTAAATACACCTTGATCTTCATCTTGTTCGTGCGGGCGCGCTGAATTTGCTGTTGAATCAGCTCATATACTTGGTGGATGCACACATCAAACATCGCTCGTGTATCGTCACTGATCATGTTAATAACGACATACGGAATTTGAGCTGTAAACTTACGCTGTGATTCTCAACTCTCCATCGCTGATTCCTCTCTTCTCGTCATCATGAATAGCACTCAGCGGGTTTGGAAGGAACAAGTAATTCGACTGAGTTCCTGAAAAGCCATTCTTGACTTCCAAAGTGAAGTCTTGAAGAAGCTTGGCCGCCTTCTTCGTGAGCGAAGTACGGGGAATATCCTCACTTCGACAGCCAGCAATCTTGACAAAATCTTGTGTACCTAGACGGCGCTCAAGCCATTGGAGAAATGCACGGTCGACAAAGCTGCCACCACACTGGGCACCGTTGCCTACTGTGCTTTCTTCGATTATTGTCGGTTGAACGCTCGCAATCTGGTATGCAATAAGGTCAACAGTTCCGCCTCCCATGTCGCAGACAATGAAGCCGTCACCAATCGCTAACTGTGCATCCTGTGCTGTGCCTTGTAGCATCTTGATTGTGTAGAGTGCAGCAGCTTCTGGCTCTGTCGTGATGGTAACAGGCGTTGTCATGTCTCCATTTCTGAGAGAATTAAAGCCGGATTTCTCAATAGCCTGCATGGTTCGATACTTGGCGATGTCTGACCACACCGCTGGGACTGTGACCACCAAAGTGATAGGGAGCGTTCTCCACAGTTCTTTGCCAAACTTCTCATCGAGATTCTTGATCAAATGAGCTTTGACTTGCGCCAGGAAGTCGGCGATTATCTCCACGGGTGATTTACGTAACTCGAGCAGAGACAACTCGTAAAGAATCTTAGCAACCTCACCATCTTCGCGGTTATCCAATTCAAGCTTGGTCCACATATGTCGCTTCTCATGTGGGGGGATATCAGAACCCCATCGAACGCCTTCTTCCAGATAGGCTATCTCGCTAGGTACTTTTTCTCTTGTACCGATCTTGCCATGACGTGAGGGCCAGTCTTGTATGACTTCGATGTGTGGCTGCTCGGATGCGGGATCGGATAGTTCGCAAAACGACACACCTAGAAAATTTAGCAGAATGTTTTGTGATATAGACCATGCCACTTACCTGTGTATGTAGTGCCGTAATCGAGCCCGACGATCAGTCGACTACCTCCCATGTTTTCTTGGTTCCTGGAGCCTGAGATTTGAAGTCTGAGTCGGTGTTGAAGTTTTGACCTGTGGTCTATCAGGAGTAAAGCCGGGTGAGCGAGCGGATTGTTCGCACGAACAACAAATGTGAGTGATGACTAAGACGGGCAGTAGTCGAAGTGAAAGTGAAAGTCAAAGTAGCGCCTTATCGCAACTACTGCGTCTAGCTTGCAAACTCTGACCAATATTACTCACCATAAGAACTTTCGATAAACTTCTACTCTCCTCATCGACCAAGGAGGGTGATCGCCTAGATGAGTAGATATGCGTGTATACCGCGACAATCAACAATCCTTAACACCAACTGTAAGTTTAGTCGTGACTTACCGCACTTCTGATTCATCGTCATCTTACTTTTCATTTGGTTTTAAGGAAAACGAGAAGTACCCGCCTACGCCAATTGTCCTTCCCAGAAACGGTGACAGTCAGAGCTACATCGATCGTCCTGTCAATACTCCAGAGCCTAACGAGGATTCCACGCAGTCAATGGGGAACATTGTAGCAAAACTAGGCGGTCAACTGCAGTACATTAGCACCGTCTTCACAAATCAAAACAGAGAAAACCAGGAAATACGGGAGGGTCACTATAATCAATACAGCATGGCAATGGCTCCAGAAGCGGACCCCAATAAACTGACTACGGCTTACGGCAGCTTGAACAGGGTGAAGAGCTACGATGATGAAAGAAATGAAGACCCATATCCGAAAATAAGGGCGCCACATGGAAAGTGTCATGGACTTCATTCTCATGACCTTACGATGAGCTTTGCACAAACTGTGTCGAGCCCCATCCACGCTGAAGTGGGAGCGTCCAACGATCTGCGAACCCAATTGAAAACCCTGAAGGTAGAGACACAGGTCATGAGAAGTGAGCTTGAGGCTTTACGAACACTGTACCATTCAATGAATATATGCAAAGATACCCAAGAAGCCAAGCTTAAGGAATCGCTCCAGAATCTTGCCCTCTCTCAAAACGAAGCGCGGAGCCTGCAGACTCAAGTGCAAGCGTTACAGAAAGAGATGCTCGCTCAAGTATCAAAAGTCGAAGTCATTTCTGATGAGGCATTTGCTCGGGACTTCTACGCTCTGGCTTCCCTGGTGAAATCACTCAGCCGCACAGTTCAGCCAGCACAGGATGTGAACGTTGTAGATGTTCTTGATCCCTTTGGGCTCGTGCATCGTGTAGCAAAGCAACACTGGAATACACGCGCACACAAAAAGGCCTATGTCGAGGCATGGATATGGTCTGCTCTCATTGACATAATTTTCAGGAATCCTTTCAGTTTCTGCGAATACCTAACGCCTCTCTATGATACCTGGCGCTTTCTCTTCGGTAGGGAGTTTACAAGCAACTGGCCGAAGCCGACCCCACAATCTGAAAACTGGCGGTGCATCACAATGAAGAAGTTGTTCGGAGATATTGAGATTCGAAACGTCATTGCAGGGCAGAATTATGGAGAACATCCGGCATTGGACAAAGATGTCTTCGATCTGCAGAAGGGAGTGTTCAAGAAACGGAAATTCACTGTCGACATTATCAGATCGTACCTCGCAGCGGTGACACCAAAGTCTGACCTTTTTCATATTCCAGAAATTGTCGATCGGGCATTCGTATTGGCTGTGAACATGTCCATGCAACCTTTTCGCGTCCAGGTTACTTGGCCGCACGTTGGAGTCGATTATGAAGCAAACTGCATGTCTCCGATTCCCGATCGCAATGGCGAAGACATCCATGAAGGTGTTGTTGCATTCGTTGTTAACCCTGGACTCACTCGATGGGGCGATGTACACGGGCGGAATTTCGAGATGTGCTACGAGATCGTACCGTCTCTGGTGCAACTTGAGCCAGTGCAGGCTAAGCATAGAGATCTTCGCAGCCGTGTCGTAATCAAGCAGGAGGAGGAATATGCTTAGTGATGAAATTGAGACTGGAGAAGATACCGAAACCGGCGTCGACATGGAGACTGAACATTGAAGTGAGGAGATGAGGGAACATGACTCGATTGACACTGGCACAGGGGCATGAGAGGGAGGAAAGGGGGCTAGGAGTTTGCGGATCGCTTTCTGTGTTCAACACATCATTGTACTTAGACGGAACAGAAGATGACATGGCACATGCTACCTATCGGTAGTATTGAGAGAATTGGCGTTCAACACGAACCTATCCAGTTAATGTGGCTGCTTCTACGAACTTAGCTCTCAGAATAGGAGAGAACGTAACGAGGCATGAGCTCATAGGAAAATGCAAAAATCGATGACGAGACGTATGAAGCCCGATGTGCGTATGTGCCGTCTTTGTCGTGTGTCATTGAGCTTGGGCGGGGATCGAAATTGGAGAGGGGGATAAAGTGTTGTTCACGTCACAGGCGCGTCGACGCGAGGACATTTCTGGGACTAGCGTGCCGAACGCGTCGGCCGCATCCTCGATACATACAACCACCGCCGGCTCTGTAATGTGCCATTCGTACCTTTTATTATTTACCTACCCAATGCTGGGTATTAACACTCGGAAAACCTCATTCCACGTTCATAGTATCCTTCACAACTCACCGAGCGCGTCTTTGTGCGCGCTTACCCTACGCCTCCACGCTGGCTAGACATACACACCCACCTTCGCCATGTACCTCCCACGGAATCTGATAGCACACCTCTATCAGAACCTCGTAAAAAGAACACATGCCGCCGCACCACCAGTCCTGCTCCTTGTCGCACTCGAACCAGACGCGCTATGTGCCTGTCGAATTCTTACCGCGTTACTAAAGCGTGACTACATACCCCACAAGATACAGCCAATAGCCGGTTATGGCGACCTTTCACGGGCAGCAGATGAGCTGGTACGGCCAATGCGGACAACCGAAGGCGGGAGCGGGGGTGTTGTGGTGTGTTTGGGTGTGGGAGGCATGGTAGACATGGAAGAGATGCTAGGCCTGGACGTGGACGAGAATGGAGAAGGTGGAACTGGCGATGTTGAAGTCTGGCTCTTAGATGCACGACGACCATGGAATCTAACCAATATTTTTGCGGCACCCGTCAGCCAAGACCCCGCTACGGGAGAATTGGTGCGGAGACAGGCTGGTGTAGACAAGGGCAAGATCCTGCAGTCCTACCAGTCGTCAAGAGGTGGAATCATAGTCTTTGACGATGGTGATATCGAGCAAGAAATGCAAGCAGAGCGGGAGGCATACGTGGGGCTCGAAGAGATGCCAGAGGTGGGGGAGGAAGATGACCTGAGTGACTCAGAACCAGAAGACGAAGAGCCCCCGTCAGGGCAGGCGCCAAAGAAGAGGAAATCATGGGGTGAGGGGGATGATTCCGAAGACGATATGACAGACGATGAGCGGCCAGCACAAAGACGGAGGAGCAATTCTGTGCGTACAACTTTCACATAAAGTGGAACATGAACTAACAACTTCTAGGGTGGTTCAATGCCATCCTCACCTGAACCGCGACGGCGGCGGGGTCTACTGGCAGCAAATCAATTGGGCGGATCCTCCGACTTTTCACGCTCAGACTCCCGCAGCCGTTCTGTATCCCCATCAGTAGCTGCCCCAAAAGAGCAGTCAGTCAAAAGCCTACGAAGGCAACTTATTAAGAAGCGAAACAAGTATGCACAGGTTCTCGACAAATACTACGAAATCGGCACATCATACTCGGATCCTGTCTCGTCCCTGGTATACAACCTGGCCTCAGAGCTTGGCCGCGAAGACAACGACTTGTTGTGGAACGCCATTGTAGGTGTCAGCAGTCTGGAGTTGTACGGGCGGACAGGAAGCGGTGTTGGACTCAATCCGCTCTCAGCACAAGGTGGCTCAGCCGGCTGGAATGGCAACCGAGGAGAGAGTATACGTTCAGTACTACGAGACGAAGTACGGCGGCTCAACCCCGTCACGGATGCGACAAGCGTATCCCGCGACGCAACAATGGGTGAGGTGTGGGGTGTCATTCCAACAAGTGCTCGCTCAGCAACAGACACAGCCATCCGCCTCTCACCAGAACCCCGCTTCCTCCTCCTCCGACATTGGTCTTTATATGAGAGCATGCTACACTCTCCGTATCTCTCCGCTAAACTACACATCTGGAGTGATGCGGGGCAGAAGCGACTTGCCAAACTGCTCGCAAAAATGGGAGTCTCCCTCACCGAATGCAAACAAAGATATACACACATGGACATGGAGCTGAAGCGTGGCTTACGGGAACGTCTTCTCAAATTTGCCCCACAATACGGTCTGGACGGCTTAGTCCCTCCAAAGTCAAGTACAGGCGATTTAAAAGACGGCTGGGGCTTCGTCCGCTGCTGGGGCTGGAAAGCCTGTCTCTCGGCCATCGACGCAGGCGTAGTCCTAGGTGCCATTCTCGAAGTCGGTGACGTAAAGAGCCTGAACCAGTCCGCCCTTGACAGCTCAAACTTTGTCGGCACAACCGACCACACCGAGATGCAAACCTCCACTCAAGAAGAACAAGACCTCGCCCAAGAACACATCACCAGCCGCTTCTGGACCGCCTATGACGCCCTCGGCAACATCGACCTCCTAGTCGAACACATAACCACAGCCCAGCATCTCCACCGTGCCATCCTCCGCACCGGCACCGCCCTCATTGAAAAACGCCAAATCCGCCACCTCCGCGCCTTCCGCATGGCCGTCGTAAAAGAAGGTCCAGACGTCCACCTCTTCACGCACCCAGGCGCCCTTACCAAACTCGCCCTCTGGATCGCCGAGGCCATCGTCGAGCTCAACGGCACAAAGGGAAAATTCAAGGGAAGCGAACTCGTCATGGCGGGTCTCGACGACTCGCGCGGTCTCTACGTCGTTGTTGGTCTAGGAGGCAGCGGCGGGACTACGCAATCGGCCAAGTCGCGGCTTCAGAAACGAGAAGCCCGCGCCGCGGCGAAGCAGGAGAAGGCAGCGATTAAAGAGCGGGAACGCGCAATGCGTCGGGAAGCGCGGCGTGCACGCAACCTTGCTGCTGGTCTGGAAGAAGATGAAGTCGAAGATGAGACCGAGTCTGAAGCTTCGGATTCGGATTCTTCCTCTGATAACGATTCAGAAGCCGAAGAGGATGAGCGTAAGGGTGGCAAAAATCGCTTTGGCAATGCGTTCCAGGAGGTTGTCCGCGAGACCGGGGCGCGAGTCCGCATGGATAGTTTCGAGGCGTGTGTGATTGAGATTAAGAAAGAGGATTTGAGCGGGTTTTTGGAGAAACTGAGTCAGAAGGCTGTTGTTGGTTGAGTGATGTTCTCGTGAGTCTTTCTTCTCCTCATTCTCTCTTCGGTCTTTTGGTTCTGGGGGTTTATAGCTGTCGCGGAAAGAAAAACGTTGATTGGAATTTTCAATGCTACGGAGATATATGGGTACGTATCGGGGAATTTGTTCGGTCATGGCTGAAGCGGGGGTGGGGGTTGACATGTTGATACCCGTGGGTTTGCTTCTTTTCTTCTTCCTTTTCTCTTCTCCATCTTTGTCTTCTTCTTTTTTCTCTAGCTGTTTCGTTTTTATTTACGGCAAAGTTGTTTTTATTGAAATGTGACAAGCGAACGATTTAGAAAACACGTATTCAGCATCCTAGTATTACTATTATTATTATTATTTCTTCTCCCCCTAAAGAGCATAGCACAGCGTTAGCATAGTAGAGCAAAACAAAAAACGTATACACATACACAAAGATACAAGCAGTCTTCCAATCAAGACCATTGCAATTCAGAGTATATTCTCAACCAAAAAAGGAAGAATAAGAAAAAGTGGTATCTTCTGTACGAATGCGCGACAAACACCCAACCCATTTTCCCTCCGCTATTACTCTCACTAGCAATACCATCCCTACTACCTTATTTTGTAAACGACCGTCCTTTTTGGCCCATCATGAGCGGCTCCTCGTCGTCACCATCATCATAGCTTCCCTCCCCACTGCTTCGTCTCTTTCCCCTCCTTACTTTGACGCCATCAGTCAGCCTCCTCTTCACCTCCTCAATGTTTCCATCAATAGTGCTAAATGGCTTGAGCTGGAACCCGCCCAGATTCATGCTACTATTACTCCTACTATGGCTCTTCTTGGGCGTCTGCGGCCTACTAGAAAAGAAGTCCTGATTTGCCAGGTCGTGGAACGATTCATTGCGTGGTATCTCATTCATGGAACCCGGCGAGGCGGGGTAGTCGTATGTTTCGATATCCTGGCCAGCTTCTATTCGAGCGTCTTCATCAGACTTCAGTGGCGGGGTGCGAGGACGCTCGTTCTTGTCTCCTCGGATAAAGGGGTCTTCAATGATGCGCTTCGAGTGGAAGTCGTCATACATCTCTGGGCCAAGTTCATTGATGAGATCGTTGACTTGTTTGGCAAGGTTCTCGCGGCGCTCCTGGAGCTTGACGAGTTCACTGTTCGAAAAGGGGTTCATCATCTTCCAGAGAGGCCCAAGAGATTTGAGAATGTCCATGGCGACTTCACCGAAACGGAGAGCGCCGTAAGTGACCGTGATGTATACAACAAGTTGTGGGAGAATGAGCCAGCGCTTTGGAATACCAGCGGGAAGGTATCCGTTACAGTTGTTGTACGAGTACCAATAGAGCCCGAGACATACATACCATGCATAAGAGGCTGGTGCGGCCGCCATGGCAACAAGAAGCTTCCACGTAGCCATGACATCTCTGGCCTGGACTTTAACATTTGAAGCGGCAAGCGCCTCTTTTGCTTTCTTCACAGAGACAACCTTAGTAACAATGAAAACCAAACTAAAGAGTATCGTTCCAGGAAGGACGAGCAAACTCAAGAAAATGAGCTTTGCAAGGCGGTACACGAAGAGACCTGCGGCTTTGATCGGATGCATCTTTGCGTACTGAACTTGGTGGTCCCGGAGGCCAAGCGCTTTGAGT